CATTTTATGAGCTAAAAGTGTAACACATTAAAGCCACAATCTCAAAGAAAGAATCTCATCTTTTTGTTGAGATTTAAAATGAGTGATTGTGGGTGTTATGAGATATGAGGACCCACCTCAAATGCATGTATTGAATAAAATTTTGGAACAAAAAACGATGGGTTTTCCAAAATACATGAACTCAAAGACTCATTCATTTAGAACCATTACTTCCGAACGACCCCCTAAGCAACTATCCCAACTTGAGACAGAAGTAGTTATGATGCCTATACTGCTACTTCTTTTGCATTCTCGCGGGATAAGAAAAAGTCTTCCTCTCTTTTTCACTCCCCCATCCCTCCTAAAGGTCTTGATTGAATCCAATTAATGACGAATTCAATTAGTTTTAATTAGACTTTTCTCACCTCTAATTCTCATTATCAAAAATTTCAATCACAAAGTTAAACCTACAAATCTACACTATACAAAATGGTCGGGGATGTTCTAATCATTATTTATTTGTTTATATATTTGATAGGATGTGAAATAATTTAGTATCACAGGTATCCATGTCAAATACGATCAACCCGAGAAAATATGAAACACATAACACCGTATTTACGTGGTTTCCCCAACGTTAGAACGTTGAGACTAGTCCACGGCACAAGGCGATCAAACTCTTATTATCAGAAGTTCAGCCTTACAGCTTACATAAAAACGTCTCGGCAGCCCTGCTCCTCTAATATATATAGCCGAAACACCTCAACCCTAATCCCATACGTCACAAGGAATATACATGGGAAATTACAAAAAGGTCATCAACCTTTGTACTTCTAACACCCTTCCTCAAATTGATGGTGCTGGCGCAACATCAATTTGTGAGCAAGAAACCAATGACGAGCTGAGGCGACAGCTTTAGTGAGTAAATCCGCAGTCTGGTCTTCAGAAGTAATGTAAACCAGTTCAATAACACCATCAGCCACCAACTGTCGAATATAGTGCACGTGAACCTCAATGTGTATAGTACGATCATGAAGGATGGCCCAACCGAAAATGCCATAAATCCCAATCCGACAAAGCAACAGAGTAACTAATGTCATTATTCGAACTAGACAAAGACAAAAGAGGAGTAGAGAGCTGCCCGACAGCCTCCTGCTTGCATGAGATCACGACTGACGACAAGGTGCCACCACCACGATCTAGCTGCTGGCGAGAGAAACTATCGAGCATATAGACCCGACCGCGCTTGCTCCCTCTCCCGATCTCCCTGCGCATCCCCTTGTCCTGCACAAGACAACCACGATCATCAAAGATAACTCGGCAGCCCTCATCCGCCAACTGTCCTACCGATACAAGATTAGGAAGTAACTTCGGCACATAAAATGTATGGGGAAGAGACAACCGATCAGTCCGCACATGACCAATCCCATCAACCGAAATATTAGACCCATTAGCCACTTGCAAAGTAATACTAGAGCTCGGACGAATAGTAGTAAACGAAGACGGAGTACTAGTCATATGATTGACAGTAGCAGAATCAAGGTGCCAGGAGGAAGAGGATGGAGCAGTACCCGTAGCAAAAGCGGCATTAAGATCCGGGGAGACCATGTCCTGGAGCCCTTCTCGAATCAAACGACGAATGTCCTCCTGAGAAACCCCCGAGCTCGACGCAGCAGGGGTCGAGACCACCGGAGCGAGAGCATTAGCATAGGCACTTCCGGGAGCAGAGCGGCCAGGAGTAGAACGGGCAGCCCCGCTGGTCCCACACCCGAGGAAGAAGAATTCGAGCCTCCACCGCGAGAACGACCCCGACGAGCGAGCACAGGACAATCACCAATGACATGGCCCGAGGCCTTGCAATAGTTACATGAAATCTTCTTCGGACAGCGAACCTGAAATGATCTCACCGGAGGGAGTACGACCAAACTGAGGACCCCCGGACTGTACCGCAAAAGCAGCACCGGAATCAGACGAGTGCACGTCAAGTTTGGCCTGGCTACGTAGACGGGTTTACTCACGAACAAGCTCCCTAAGAACATCCTCAATACGATCAACATTCCGATGGAGTAAAGAGGATTGGACCCCTTCGAATGCCGGATTTAGCTTCATCATGAAGTGCATGAGACGAGAGCTTGCTCGATCCTTCAGAACCTCTGATGATGCCGCATCAGGAATTAAGGAAGCTGTCAACATGTCTTGTTCAGTCCAAAGAGTGAGAGCAACCTGATAATAAGATCGCACATCGAGATCCCCCTGTTGGAGAGCAGCGATCTCGATCTCAAGCTCAAACTTCCTCGAAGCATCAGTCTGAGAATGAATATCATGCAGATGCTTCCACATCGCATGAGAAGTAGGGAAAGCGCGCAAACTAAGCGCAACAGATGGTTCAACTGCCGAGAGATGCATAACCTGAGCGTTCTCAATAGCCCAGTCAGAGCGAGCCTTTGCCGAGGCATCATTGCCGGGTTCGGGAAACCTCCCATCCAATATGGGCAGCAGGCGGCGCCCTTGAACAAAAACCCTAAAATGAAGTTCCCAGAGGGGAAAGTTCTTCCTATTGAGACGAATTGAAACCACATCCAACTTTGCACTGTCCATGATAATAAAACCAAGCCGAAACACCAAGGACACCAAAACCCAAGGAGGAACAAAACCACACACGACAAAGGTCTAAGTTGAAGCAAGGATACTCACAAATGGAACACGTACAGAAGGAACCTTGCACCAACCGACAAAAGGAAGAACACTGCTGCCCAAACCGAGAATGGCAGCTAACACAAACACGAGAAGCTCCGAATACCCCAACAACGAACCATAACGAAACCCTTGAGCTGAAATCCGCCAACGAAGCACAAGAAATTCAGAGAGGCTCTGATACCATGTCAAATACGATCAACCCGAGAAAATATGAAACACATAACACCGTATTTACGTGGTTTCCCCAACGTTAGAACGTTGAGACTAGTCCACGGCACAAGGCGATCAAACTCTTATTATCAGAAGTTCAGCCTTACAGCTTACATAAAAACGTCTCGGCAGCCCGGCTCCTCTACGTATATATAGCCGAAACACCTCAACTCTAATCCCATACGTCACAAGGAATATATATGGGAAATTACAAAAAGGTCATCAACCTTTGTACTTCTAACAATCCAAACTCTCACATCCACCCATAAAATTGAATATTTTCAAATACTACGGGTGGAATCATTTGGGTTGGACAGATGGATCACTTTCCGACTTGTTTTTTTCATCTCGATGCTAACCAAAACAAAGTCTAGTGATTCACTACAATGCCTTTTTGAAGGATCGAGCAGTTTTGCAAGCAAAACCTGTGGGAAGATGATTGATATAGGGGCACGAGATCCCCGCCAAGGTCGTCTGCTATGGTTCAGGATAGGGGCTAAGATAAGGTAACTAAGCCAATATCAGCCACGTACTTAAGTTTTAATCCAATGGGTGTGATTAATCTTATTTAATGAAGGGCATGGTAGTAAATATATAATTTATTTATTTAGCAATTAAATAAATAAAAATAATTGCGGGCCCACTACTACCCCTTAGTCGCTCCCGCCGGGCGTTTTAAGAAAATTCCTCCCGACGGCCAGCCTCCCAGAGAGAGAGAGAGAGAGAGAGGCGTCGAATTTTTCGGCGACATCGTCTGTTTCGCTATGTTTTTCGGCCGAGCTATTTTGTATATTTTTAACTCTATTTTGTGATTTTATATCAATTCGGTTTGTATTGTTTATCTATTATGTTTGTAATGTTTATATGACTAATTTGAATATATTGTAATTTGTAATGTTTGTTTTTCAAGTTTGTATACTTTATGTTAAGATTTAAATACTTTGTTTTCATTGATATGTCATACAAGTTTACTATTTTGTATTGTAAGTAGTGGCATTTGGTACTGTTTGTATGTTTTGTAATGTTTGTCAATTTGTTTTGTAATGTTTGTAAGCTTTGTTATTTTTTTCCAACATGTTTATCATTTTTGTCAATCATGTTTGTAATGTTTTTTATGTACAAATTAATACTACAAAACATACAAACTATACAAATCATACTGACATTATGTACAAAAATACTAATAATACAAACTGACAACACTTGTATTACAAATCATTGTTTTTCTCTCGGACGACAAAATACGATGTCCAAAGATCTGTCACCGCCGACTCTCTCTACAGTCCTCGCTACCTCTCTCTCTGTCCATCACTGCGCTGCTTCACTCTCCTCCCCCCGTCATCGACGCTCTCTCTCCGCCAGTGCCTCTCTCTCTCCTCTGTTTTCCCGACAACAACGGCCAAATATGCTTTCTCTCTCCAACGTTGCCGCCTCCGTCGCAATCGCCTTTGCCTCTCTCCATCGCCGCCAGCACCGTCGAAGTCTCCTTTCTCTCTCTCCATCGTCGCTTTCGCCCCCTCTCTTCCACTATCGTCGTCGTTCTCTCCCTGCCGCTACTTTTCTCTCTCTCCCGTGGCCGCCGTTGGCAAACCAAAAGAGGATGGCTGGAGGGAAAAAAAAACAAATAAACTTAAATGAAATTTTGATAATTGTTTATCTATTATTTGGGCTAATACCACTAGGAAACCCGAACTATTAACTTTGTGTCATTTGTGTCCTAAAGTATTCGATACGACATTTGTGTCCCAAACTATTTTTCCGTTATAGTTGACTGGCGTTGACCGTTAATTTTTAACAAAAACTTTAGTCAGCGCTGATGTGGCATCTGACGTGGAATTTATAATATCAATTTATAATTATTTTTTATATAAATGAATAATCTAAAACAAAAACAAAATGAAAAAAAATCCCAGCAGCCATGGCCGTGAAATCCAACGACGGCGGCGGCGGTTACCTGGCTATCGACTGAGTCAGCCGGGTCTGACTTCGCTCCGGGAGGCCGCCATTTCCCTAAAAATTCTCCAAGCCGATCCGCTGGTCGTATTTGTCTATTTGACCTCAATAAATTTAACCCAGAAATTAACAAGCCGATTCCCCATACTGTAGATCCGGCTCCGACTGCTGTAGATCGTCTTCCCTACCACCGCTGCCGCCCGCCGTTGCTTTCTTTCTCTCGGTCCAGATCCATCGCCACCGTCCCTCCTCGATTTCATTCCAGCTCATCGATCCGCGTCACCCCGGGTTTCGACGGCCTAGATCGGAGCTGCAGAGCTACTGGTTCAACACACGAAGCAGCTCGTCTCTGTTCCTCCTCCCTCCCCCCATCCTCTTCGCTGAGCTCCCCAAATTTTTTTTGATTTCAATAATAATTATTTTCCTGGAAAAGAGATTTGAAAATTTCATTGGCTTCCGTTAGATTTTCCCGATCTGTTCGCTGGGGCGGAGAAGCAACATGAAAATCACGGAGCTGGAAGGGAAGGATTTGAAGGAGGAGGTGATTGCCATTTCAACCGACGACGACGAGGACGACAGCGACACGGAGGAAGGGGCGGAGGTCGAGGCGCCGGAAGATGAGGAAGACGTCGACGATGACGAGGAGGAGGATGACGGCGACGGCAACGACTCCGACGACGACGGAGATGATGATGACGACGAGGATGAGGGCGTCGACGATTGTGTTCTTGTCGATTGGGTCTTCATCTTTTTTCCTCTTCTCTCTTCTTGCTTCTTGTCGATTGGGTTCTTGTTCTTGTCGTCAATGGCGGAATTTGGGGAGGCGGTGGATCTGATATGAGGGGTTTTGTTTCTTGACATAAAAAGATAAATAAAATTTAGGTTTAATCATTTTTATAACAATATATTTTTTTAATTAAAAATATGAAGTGTCACTGACGTGGCATCTACGTGGCTGCCACGTCAACAAAAGTCAATGTTAATGTTGACTTCTGTTGGTCAACCGTTATATATAACGGTCAACAAAATCGTCAGGACATAAATGACACAAAACTATAATAGGTTGGGACACAAATGTCGTATCAAATACTTTAGGACACAAATGACACAAAGTTAATAGTTCGGGTTTTCCAGTGGTATTAGCCCTTATGTTTTTAATGTTTATATGACTAATTTGAATATATTGTAATTTGTAATGTTTGTTTTTCAAGTTTGTATACTTTATGTTAAGATTTACATACTTTGTTTTCATTGATATGTAATACAAGTTTACTATTTTGTATTGTAAGTAGTGGAATTTTGTACTGTTTGTATGTTTTGTAATGTTTGTCAATTTGTTTTGTAATGTTTGTAAGCTTTGTTATTTTTTTCAACCATCCTACACTGTGTTATGTTCATACCACCATAGTACAATTCCGTACCATGTAGTATGATCTTATGTAGCACCAAGCAGTATCACCATGTTATAGACTAGTACAAAATGTCTCATTTTTTATTTAAAAAATATATCAAAATGAATATTACTTTGAAGAGCACAACTTATCTGATTTATCTGTACAAAATAATTTAATTTCTCACCTTAAAATGAAAGAGATGTAACCCTTCAAAATTTATTGGCAGATTATAAAGTGGTTATCAACCACAAGGTTATGCACTGATCCGCTCTCGTCAGCTTCTAGATATTTCCACTTCGCGTCCGATATGCATAAGGGAATGCTTGTAGGAAGGGTATCTAGCCGATAGGGTACGAAGTTCCACCAAGAACTACAGAGCAAGGGAGACGATCTTTGCCAGCTATGTGTCTGATGTTAGAGATAAATTAGGAATAATCTTATATTTCCTTGTTCTTCTAGTATAAGTCTTAGTATTTTCCATGTCCTTCTAGTATTACAATTATTGTGGTTCTCTTACTTATTTTCCAAGTATTGTAATCTATATAAACTCTTTTATGGTTTTATAATAATACACACTATTATTCCTAAAACTCCTATATGTGGTGTTGATTGTTTTACTTGGCGTGCGTTTCCCAACGCGTTGGTTGGTTGATGGAAAAAATTGTGAAACCACACTTGCAGCACTCTTGCTCTCAAGTCTCTCCTCTCACCAAGGAAATTAAACCGGAGAAAGAAGTGAATGATTTAGCGGTCAATTTTTGGCCCACAGCGTGTCGGTTTGGGAGAAGAGAGGCTCGTGCTTGGACCATGAAAGAATACATACGGGTGCGGTGTAAATTGACCACCCACGACCTCATGACCAAGTCGGGTCGCATTTTTGGTACCACCATCGTTTGGCATATCACGATTATCGGTTATTATTTAGTAATTTTTTGTTCGATAATCGTACTTTTATATTAGTCGGTTAACCATAATTGTATAGTTGGTTATCGATTATTATATTAGGTAACCGATTAATCACTTAGCAAATGATTCAACAACGATTAGACCAAAATAATCGATCGATAACGGAACTGTTGGGGGTGTTACTAAATACTTTGTGCACAGGCTAAGTAGTAGAGCGCACAATCGGCAATGGCAGCACTCGGTATCCGCAACAGGTATATAAGGGCTTGAAGCCCTCCAAAGGAGGGACTTCCTCTCTCTCTCTCTTCACTTTTCACTTGCTACTATCTCCCTACACTTTATCTCTCTATCTATTCTCTCAACTCTCCCCACAAACAGACACTGACTTGATCGTCGGAGCTTAATCCGGGGGGCAACCCCGCCTCTTTCACAGGTCCCTTCCCTCCCGACGAGATCAGACGAACGGATCGTGAGTCAACCCCACACCAACAAATATCATTGTTCGTGTCCGGAGCTAGATGACACAAACAATTGGCGCCCACCGTGGGGCTGACTTCACACTGGTTTCTCCGATTTCCGAAGGAGAGAGAGGTCTGAATGGTATTCGATTTCCAGCTATAGGCAGAGAGATCGATCGCAGCAACCCAAAAGACCCCAATTCCTCCCAAAACCTTGAGCTAGATAGCTCCCACCACCACCATCTCCCGCCCCAAAATTCTCGCCGATTTGAATTCCCTTTCCATTCCTGGTCTGGTCTTCGATCAATCTTATTCTTCTACTCTGCTTTCCTTTCCCCCAAAATTCCTTTCTCTTTCCTCATACCAATAATCAGGGGCGGAGCTACAGCATGTCTCGGGGGGGGCCCCGCCCCCCCCCCCCCCCCCCCCCCCCCCCCCCCCCCCCCCCCCCCAGAATCTCGAAAGTCACGTATAAATAAGTCGGGATCGTGTGTACAAACTACAATTTATATATAAAATATAAACCGTGCAAAGTTAAGACATAAAGTTTCTTGTAGCCCAGCGAAAGATGAACTATTTATAACCCAAAGGTCTCGGGTTCGATTCCAAAGGGAAGCAGTTTATAGCTTTCCCCTAGGTTAATTACTTTTATGGTAGTTTACCTAAGCTACAACTTCTCCTTCCTTTTCTTTTATAGTAAGCGCCCTAGGATAATTACTTTTATGGTAGTTTACCTAAACTACAACTTCTCCTTCCTTTTCTTTTATAGTAAGCGGGCATTAAATACTTTAGTCATTAACTTTGTAATTTTTATTTTCCTTTTTAAATTATAGTTTACATCAATTAATTACCGCTTTTGCTTCTTGAAATATATTATTTTTTATTATTCTAATTTATAGTAAATATAATGTGAAAAATATTTTATATGGTTATAATAAAACAAAATTAGTATAAAAATAGATTTTTAAACCTAAATATTTTAATTATTAGTATTTTTTTAGTCTTTTGCAGTAATGTATTATGAAATCCGCCCCCCCCCCCCCCCCCCCCCCCGAGCACTAAATGCTAGCTCCGCCCCTGCCAATAATCACCTTTTCCACTTATTCCCCTTTTCGGCTTTGTTGATCGCTTCGATCTTCTTTCTTCCCCTTATTTTATGTTGCGGCAGAGTTGGTTTTTTTTTTGTTTGTTTCGGGTTCAGATTTGACACACAGTGTTCTTTCTTTGGCTGGTGGAAAAATAATGGATTGGAGTCAGTTTTGTGAGCAGGGAGCGGCTTCTTCGGAACCAGGAAGCTTTCATCTCCCATTTTACGGAAAAAAAAAGGGTTTGCGTCGGAGCTCAGACGAAAAGAAAGGAAGAAACGGTGGCTATCCTGTCACTATCACCACCATTTCAACCTACTCCACTGCTCACCTACAGTACATAACACATAGTCAAGAAAAACTGACAGCTTTCTCTGAGATGTCTTTTCTCTCTTTCAAGGAAACACTGACCAACGGGGCTACCGAGGCAAACAGGCAGAGTTATCGTGAAGACAGCTGGGTTCAAGGCCCATTCCCGCGCCCCTGGCCCACGCCACGCCAGCAACTTTGCGCCCCGCATCGCTAGCGCGGCCCACATGCTCCGCCCCAGCTCCCGCGTCTCAGCCCGCGTACTACCTCCGGCCCGGGCACGTGCTACATCGGGCCCGCCCCAATTCAAGGCCCGCCACCGCGTCGCCCTGCCTCGCGCCCCACTTACCTAGCTCGCGGCCCGCCCACTTGCCGCGGCCCACTTCCGCGTCACTAGCTGCTGGGAGATCGATCGGCCCGCCGACTCGTCCTCGATCTCGATCCGTGCCGCCCGCAACAGACGCCGCAGTCCCACCAAACCGCAGCCCGAATCCCAACTCGCGGCGGCCAGCGCCGCTTCGGGCCCAACAGGCGGTCCGTCACCGATCCATTCGCGCCAAAAACATTATCGTCGCCGCGATGAATTGAACCCGCGTCACTTCCCCACCAGACGAGGGTGTTAACCAGCAGACTAAAGCGCATTGTTACTACTAAAGCGCAGCGTGCCCTATCTATCCACTCCCACTCGCGGGACATCATATCCGCCCCACTTACCTAGCTCGCGGCCCGCCCACTTGCCGTGGCTCACTTCGCCAATGCGGCCCGCCCCCATCCAAGCCCGCGGCCCACTTTCGCGTCACTGAGCTGATGGGGGATCGATTGGCCCGCCGACTCGTCCTCGATCCCGATCCAAGCCGCCCGCAACAGACGCCGTGGGCCCACCAAACCGTAGTCCGAATCCCAACTCGCGACAGCCAGCGCCGCTTCGGGCCCAACTCGCGGCGGTCACCGATCTATTCGCGCCAAAAATATTATCGTCGCCGCGAGGAATTGAACCCACGTCACTCCCCCACCAGACGTGGGTGTTAACCAGCAGACTAAAGCGCGTAGTTGCTACTAAAGCGCGGCGTGCCCTATGTATCCACTCTCACTTGCCTCAACAGCAACACGTAACCTGGGCCCTCATCCAATTCTCGGGCTCGTCACCAGACTCCATTTGCGGGCCAAGCCTCACGCGCGAGCCCAACTCATGGCCCGCGCTCAACAGACGGAACTCTTCAAAAAAATGAAGTCACCGCCAATCCTCGAACCCGCGGCATTCCTCCGCCGGACAGTCAACGTCACCAGCAGGCTACAAGTGAGCCGTGTGTTTCAATGGCGCGGTATCTGATGTTTAACTACTCACGCCCAGTCAGTTCCACGGAACAAACAAAAAGTCGCAATAGTCATGAACTATTCACGCACACTCAGTTCCATGGAACAAAAAATAGCAATAGTCCCGCACTATTCGCGCCCACTCAGTTCCACGGAACAAACAAAAATTCGCAATGGTCATGAACTATTCGCGCAGACTCAGTTCCACGGAACAAAAAATAGCAATAGTCCCGCACTATTCGCGTCCACTCGGTTCGAAAGAACAAAAAGTCGCAATAGTCACGGACTATTCGTGCCCACTCAGTTCCACGGAACAAAAAGTCGCAATAGTCACGAACTATTCGCGCCCACTTAGTTCGACAAAAGCGTCTCAGGACCATCCGCTCGCGGCCCTCCAACGAAGTCGCCTGATCCGCTCCGCGTCAAGCCCCGACCCACAAGGCAACCGCGCAAGGTCCAACTTGGTCTCACTACCCGTCGCCAACATAAAGCTAAGTACTCTGTCTCTCTATCATTAGTAAATATTGAAATATTTTACTTGCCTGAGCGTTAATGGGGCTAAGGGGGGCTACACGCCTTAATGGAATACACCAACTAGGGGGCAAGACGCAAGAAGCTGGCACCGCGTCAGTCAAACGCGCCACCAGCTGGGGGGCAACTGGGGTACATAGGGCTCCACCCATAATTACCGACTAAGATTTAAAAATATATATATATATATAAAAGCTAGCGATGAGTTAAAACTCACCACCAGCTTGGGGGGCAATTGTTGGGGGTGTTACTAAATACTTTGTGCACAGACTAAGTAGTAGAGCGCACAATCGGCAATGGCAGCACTCGGTATCCGCAACAGGTATATAAGGGCTTGAAGCCCTCCAAAGGAGGGACTTCCTCTCTCTCTCTCTCTCTCTCTCTCTCTCTCTTCACTTTTCACTTGCTACTATCTCCCTACACTTTATCTCTCTATCTATTCTCTCAACTCTCCCCACAAACAGACACTGACTTGATCGTCGGAGCTTAATCCAGGGGGCAACCCCGGCTCTTTCACAGGTCCCTTCCCTCCCGACGAGATCAGACGAACGGATCGTGAGTCAACCCCACACCAACAAATATCATTGTTCGTGTCCGGAGCTAGATGGCACAAACAGGAACCAAAAGAAGGGCTTTTTTTCAATTGTTGCATTATTAGAGTTTATCTTAATATATAAATTATCGCTTATTATTAGGGATGACAATGGGGAGGGTTTGTGGAGGGTTTGCCTAAATCATCTCCATCCACGTTTTCAAATATCAAAACCCATACTTGCCCCATGCCATGCGGGGGATGATTTTGCAAACCCATCCCCATACCAATGGGTAATACCCACCCCGTACATCCAACATTATAATACCTAAAATTACATGTAAATTTTCAGTCATAACATTAAACGCGCTTACTATATCATGAAGTCTACAAAGAGACAATAATTCTTAATACAATTCAAAGCAACTTATCCTAAAATATCTATTAATCCAGAAGATATAGTACAATGTAACCCAAATAATTATTTTATGACTCTGATACATCTACTAAGTAATCACTAAATAGTTAATAGTTAATACGGAAAAAAAGTATAAGAGTGAAGGGAGAGTTGAGGAAAATAAATTATGTTTTGATTTGGGTGGTCACTCAATTGCATTTCTGTTGGGATTTGAAAGGTGTGAATGAGAATGAAAGGGGAATAAGCCAATAGTTGGTGAGTTATTGGTTAAACCAAGTTGAACCGAATCGGACCGAACTAATGTGGCGGTTGGAATGAAACCAACCGGTCCAACTACTATGGCGAACCGATGCAATGGTTGGGGTGTAACCACCCACTTGAAGGGTCACATCCCTTCACTCGCACCCTTTCATTGTCTATAAATAAACACCTACCCCCTTCTGTTTTCTACACAAGTTATTTTCCCAAGAAATTTTTCTGGCCAAAAGATAAAAGAATTTTTCATTCTTCATTGCATTTCCTCTCTACAAACTCATAAAGAAAAACAGAGTCGTGTGACTTCTCTCCGATCGTTGCGTTCGTCGGATTCTGGTGTTTCAAGTACCGGTACAGCCAAAAAAGGTACGTCCGTTCTATCCTGGGAGGAATAGTTCCAATAACCTTGGGTACCGTAGTGGGGAACTAAATTCCTTAATGAGAATTAGTGAATTCTATTGGCTCGGGCGTTGTTTGTGCATGTGTCGATTTCTATATATGTCTTGTGTGGCAAGAAACATACTTTTGTGAAACGTTTTCCATAACAATTTCTACTATGAATTTCTTGAGTTACCCTCAGTCCTCACTATCACTGATAGGTTACAATTTGATCCATATATTTTTTATATGTGAGAAAATGCTCTTGATGGGATGGGTATGTGTATGAGTATGGGGCGGGGGCGGGGGAGGCTAAAACCATATCCGCCCCATACTCATACAACATTTTGCAAGTTTTAACATAGGGGACGAAAACCTACGCCACAAAAAAGAATGAGTTATCGGTGACGCTGGACTCGATCACAGAAAAGATTAGTTTCGTCACGAATAGTGTTTTGCGGGGTCTAACAAAAAATTTGTACTTTTGGTGACGTTCAGTAAATTTCGTTACACAAAATGTACTTAATGTGATGATATTTTACCCATCACATAAAATTTTGTCACAAATACGCCATTAGAGTAACTTTATTGTAGTTATATGTTGGAATTTATCTCTTGTAACGTGGGTTGTGCAAATACGCCATTAGAGTAATATTTGTATGTAAACTCCCCCTTCTAATTATACTCGATGATGGAATACATAATCTCACCACCATTATTCATCTTCTTGTGGTTACCTACGTAAGATCAACTTAATTAACAACTTCAATCCTCTATATGGCACAAGAACCATACACTGCATAATGTTTATTTGTCTTTGTATACGCGTTGTGTTTTATTGGCCGGCCTTTGCGTTTGACAGCCGAGATGATGAGAGCAAGAGCTTCCAATTCAGATACCGCGTTTGGACAGGCACTCGCATTTATTAATAACAACCTCGATCTATCCAATTGAAGTCTCTCCGTTTGATTTAGCAAGTGGTATTAGCAAGTGGTATGATCCAATTATAATACATGTAGTATATACCATTTTATATTGATTTTCGTTCTAATAAAATAAGATATAGAAAAAGTGAGGCTAGTAACATCAAATAATTTTCCCGTGTATTTTAATAACCTATTAATCTTCATGCAAGCTACATTTATATTTAAATAAAATCAATATTACAAACATAATAATAAATTATCATATTTACATTTACCGTCAACATCTAAACATATATAATTAATTCAATAATTAATATCAATATTTTAATAAAATACAATGTTATAAACAAAATAATCCATCCTCATATATAAACACAACACTTTTTAACTAAGTTTAAGAAAATGATCTCATTTTCTTTAAAGATGAGAACTGTCTTTTCCGGTACTAACCGATTTTGACTAACACTTTATACAGAAAATATTTTGGTTGATCACGGTAACAGTTGAATCCTGTTGTACCGAGCGACATACCACCAACCACAATCCTACCACTCCATACCAAGGGCGAAGCCAATGAAGTTGTCCCGGGGTTTGGGGGGGGGGGGGGGGGGGGGTCCGTGCCCTCCGGGAATTTTAAGGATGATGTATAAAATAGGTATATGCTAAGTTGTATCATAACAAGTAAGCGTAGCTTAGTGGTTGGTGTCTCAATACTTTTAGTGCCAAGTCATGTGTTCGAATCCGACCTTTGTATAGGGGAAGAGATTGCTATAAGATCATGTGTTATTCAAATGAGTAATTTACAACGGGCTAGTGATACACGTTGGAGTTCACATGTGAATTTTTTGTTCGGTTATACAAATCATCTTACAAAGTTCTGGAGGACATAAAGAAAGATGGGTATAATGCCAAAAACAAAGGTGATGCTCGTGTAGCTTTGAGGAAGCTGTAATCATTCGAGTTTATTTTCATTCTACTACTACTGAATGATGTCTTTGGCACCACTGATACACTTTGCCGTGCTCTACAACATACATCGCAAGACAGTGTGAAATTACTAAAATTGTGTTGAAGGAAATGAGGAATGAAGGTTGCGATTCTTTCTAGACAAAGGTCAACAAGTTTTGCAGCGAGTATGGTATTACAGTTCCAGATTCAATGTTGCACGTTTTGAAGGTCATCCTTGTAGAAAGGTAGATAATATGAGCATCATTATCATTTTGACATATTCAATACAACCATTTATGTTATTTGCAATCTTGCGAGAAAGTTTTATCCTCTAGATTGTTTCGAAAAAGAAATAAATAGATTGACATTTTAGTTGATGATTTTTAATATTGATGTGCTTACACATCCTCCTTTAGTAAATCTATCATATGTTGCTGATTGTGTCATGGTTTACCAAAGTACGAGAAGTCGAAGGACTTTCCTTTGGTTGATTGGCTGATTCATTTTGTTCTAACTCTTCCAGTATTTACTGCTAGTGGTGAACGAGCTTTTTCTGTCATGAAGTTAGTGAAGACCAAATTGCGCAACAAAATGAGTGATGCTTTTCTAGCTGATGGTCTTATTATTTATATTGAACGAGATTTAGTGGACACTTTTAGCTTAGACCATATTTTTAGTGAACTCAAAAAGCATCATGTACGTTTAAGATGATAAATAATAATAATAATTTGTTTTATTATTTTGTTTGTTTTTTTTTTCAACCCTCGAATTTTGAATTCTAACTTCGCCTCTGCTCCATAGTATTTGTCAACTAATTAATCTGTATTTTTAATGTAATCCTCATTTGTCAACGTAACTAAAACATTATTATTATTTGATAGATCATTCGCATTCAACGAAATATCAAGAAACATACAAAATCATAACTTGAAAATATTTAACAATCACATATCCGAGAACAAAAACTAAATTAGACCTCCCGTAAAATAGAAATGAAGATCTTTTCTTGTCACACAATGAGCAAGCCAATTACGTAACACCAAATTATAAATTGACCTTCAGGTTTGGGCTTAGAAAATCTGGGTCTGAGATTTATCCATTAGAAGTTAGGGTATAGTATCATACCCAAAACTTGGTTTAATTCACGATCTAGATAGAGATATCTCATTACGAGTACCTGAAATATAGTATACTCAATGACCAGTGGCGAAGGGAGAGGGTAACAGGCTTGGTCCCGGGACTCACCCTGGTTCGGGAGGAAAATGATTAAATTAGGTACGATAATTAATTGACATCTAAAACTAGGTCATGTTTAATTAATAACAGTTGATCGAAAAGTTTTGTATTTGAATCTTGGCAACCTTATTTCTTAAGCATATGGTATACAGATTTGTGCAAACTTCAATTTCGTATAAGTTGATTTTCTTATGAGGGAGCATGCTAGTAAATGGTATCATGTATATTATTGAATATCTTTCAACAACTCGATTTGTTCATACTAAATGGTTTTGTTTACAAAGAACATTATTCGAAAGCTAAATCATGAATTATTGATTGATGTAAGATTTATTATTAAACCTCTATCAACAACTCGATTTATTGATACCAATAGTTGTTGACAAAGAACACCATTTGAAACAATACGAGTGTACGACTAACTAAATCAATAATTATTTGGTATGCAAAATGATATTCTTGATATTTTTAACTACTAATGCATTTTAATTTACCACAAAATTTCAATTTAAGATTATATTAACAAAAACTATTTTACCATGTGTATTTTTTCACCTTAAACTAAATCCTGACTACGCCACTATCATGACTACACTAGTATATAACATTTGGATAAAATGTCTATGGAGGGAAATTTAAAAAAAACCGAGGTATATGTTTTACAACACAAAAGCAAAACTTCAATTTGGAGTATTTGCAAAAGCCTATTTTGGAAGTATGTTATAATCCTTTCATTTTTATCCACAATGTTTTTATTTATATTTAATTTTAAATTGAAATTTTTTATTGTATATAAAGAAATTAAAAAAATCCACTTTGAAATTTGGATAGAAATATAAGAAGAAATAAAAGAAGGTACATTCTACATAAGGATGACAATTTCGACCTGAACTGTTTTACCCGAACTGTTTGGCCTGTTTTGGGGTGGGTCTGACCGGCCCCGTAGGCGGGGCGAGCATGGGTACTCTCATGGACCAGACCTGCCCCAAACCGCCCCATTCCTGACCCATTCTTGCTTAAATTACATGTTATTTTAGTCAAATTACTTATAATTTTCTTTTTAGTACTTCATATTTTAGCTATCATAAAATTGTAAATAAATGAAAACCTCAATTTCTCCAATAATTTAACAATATTTATCATATTATAGTTTATTTCTTGGTCTTCTAATGAAAATAACGAATATTTCTAATATTTTCCACATAAATCACATACTCATGGTCAACCCGCCCCAACCCGCGCCACATAATAAATTACCTGACTTAAACTCGACCTACCATAGGACAAATATGAGTATCGAAATACCCGCCTCACACCTTTGTCATTCCTACTTCTACAAGATAACTCCTTTTTACCTATTTACATAACTCATTATACAAAAATATTAGTTTATTAGTCAAACACTAAACTGCAATTTTTCCAACGAACTTCTGGCTTTGCTAAAAGCTCCAACTAAAATTCATTTTTTCCCCAATACTTACAAATGGTTGATGGTTGAGCTACCTAATCACTGAACAAATGAATACATCTGAATCGAACTGTTTAATTTTATATTTTTGAGCAGGCAAGATTACATGCAATCTTCCATAACAACCCCCAAGGCCCAAAATGCAAATGGTTTACATATCCATTCAATGAATTATGGATTTGCTGGGAGCATCTTCTCGTACAGAGCATGAATCTAAGAGTCTTTATTATTGCCTCGAGGATGATCGACTTACCATATAGTAACACTAATACGTATATGGATTTTGATGAGCTGTCTAAAATGTTTGGTCGAGGTTCGTGAAAAATAATTTCGACAGAGCCTCTCTCTCATCTCGTGATATGGCGATTGGCGAGGTACGAAGTAGGGGTGGGCAATGAGTTGGTCCACACCGGATCACATCGGAACGGAACGAATCGATGTTTGATCGGATAACACCGAATTGAATATAATATGGTTCAGTTCTTGATTCCAATGAATTTTATATATACTGAAGAAAAATGAACCGTATTAACATTTGGACCGGATCAAACAGACCGAATGCACTATTAATCCGGTCTTTGGTTCTAAGTTTTCTTTTACTATTGGACCGATGCCTACCCTTAGGTACTAGTAGTGAGTTGGCTGATCAAACCAGTAATTTTTTTTTTACAGATATTACGAAGCTTAACCCGGCTCGAGTGAATATCAAAATGAACAGATAGCACCCGATGATGACTCTAGGTCCGAATCAAACCGACACAGTCGATGTGCGGGCTGAAAACTAGGGCTGGCTATTTGGTCCTGTCTTTTTGGTTTTACCTGAAACCGGACCGTATAACCAGGACCGAGACCGGATAGCAAACAATCCAATCCAATCTTCGGGCCTAGATTTGAGGTAAAAATCGTTTGGGACCGGACCGAAAAATCGTATAAAGACCGGATAAGAGAGTCCAACACCTAAAATTTAACCTCCTCACCCTTTTAGGCCTTAGGCCACTCAAATTCCCGCAACCTCAATCTAAAATCAAGATCGAATTGGGACCGGACCGGATCAAGACCGGACTATATCCAATCCAATCTTTGGTCCTTATATTCTCGAAAAGAGCGAACCAAAACCGGATCAATTCGAGCCAATTTAACCGGACCGGACCGTATAGCCACCCAACTGAAAACCATGTACCCATCTCTCCCATAATCATCTTTCCCTCTCCGTCTACGTCATTGAATGAGCTTTGTCCCCCTCCCCCTAACATCAGACTCATATACAGCTGTTACTTGCATCATTCAATTCAATTTAGTATTTCATGCTTCCACGTCAACAAATTCAATGGTCCGAAATTGGAGTTTTGAATGCTTCCTATCATGCTATATATCTATATTCATATTTTCAAATGATTAAGTTCGAGTTATTTAAATAAATTGTTTTTATAGAGAGAGAAACAAGCTGAGGGATGACTATCACAATATACATATCGAGCTTCCTTGTGAAGATGATTTGCAACACATACCTGTAATGGCCTCAAGATTATCCAAATATCAAGGTTATGGCCTATGGGGAGTTGGAGAAAATACTCCCTAGTCCGTGCATTCAAAAGGAAAGATAAAATCCTACCAAAAAAAAAAAAGGAAAAAAAAAGGAAAGACAATCTTGAAAGAATGATATAAATATTCCGTTTAAATATGTCAAAATTCTGTCAAAATATCAATGATCAATAATTTAACTTGGTATCCCTGAGGTTCAAAACTAATCTATATAGGAGAGGTTGTGTTCTTCAAAGATATTTACTATAATAAACTTGTCGGTTGCACAATGGTTACAAGTCACACATAGGTTTGTTTAACAAACTCTAATATGTAGAGCATAGGTGATATATACTATACAGATAATTAATGGTACCTATACTTAACATTCGAACACCCACACTCAAATTCATGTGTGGTGCACAACATCAATTTGAATGAATGATACATCGACTCAGAGCAACCTCTTTTGTAAGAATATCTACCATCTGGTCTTCACTTGAGAGATACCCAACCTAGCTATAATTCATCCACTAAGTAACTGACGTGAATCGTGGACTTCAATATATTATGGACTATTATGCAACACATGATTGATAATCATATGTATTGCAGTAATACTAATATTATCCCATAAATGTGCATTGTGAATCGAAAAGTAATAACTCCCAATTCTCTAAGCAGTCGTTGTAACCAAACTAACTTTGAGCTTACTTATGCATTGATTGATGCTTAGCGCTTGTAAAAAGATTTTGATTCTCTGTCCTCCTTCCAACATCTCTATGATACGAACGATTGTCCAACGTGAACACATTAGTCAGAAGTTAACCGAGTATCTTTATACAACCGACATAGTCAGCATCAACAAATGCTTCCACCACAGGCTCTATGGCAAAAAAGACATCTTGCATCTGCCTCAAATAACTCAAGAAGCCCGTGAACTGCTGCAAAATGCATAATTCTCGCCACTCCTCCAATATAATTACTCGCAACCTAAACTGCATAGGAGATATCAAGCTGCATATTTGTGAGATAAATTCTATTTCCCAATAAGCTACGATAGAGTGGTTGGAACTCTAAACAAATCTCCACTGTATCTGCTCAAATTCAAGTTCTTCCCCTAAGACGGTCTACATTATGCAACCTGTGCTGACTTCAACAAATCATATATATACTCTTCAATGTGTTTGAATGTTGAATCTCAAATCCCAAAAAAAAAAAAAAAAAAGATAGATCCCCCAACTCCTTCAACTTAAACAACTTATATGAATAATTATCATCAATTCTCGTATACAAACTAAATCACTCCTTGTAACAATCATATCATCCACATAAATTAAGCAGGACCATAATCCTATCGGTGTACAACGAGCAGACAAAAATGTATCATTCCCACTCTGCGCGGCTCCACCTAAAATATAGTTCCACGAAAAAATTCCTAAACCATGTTCGGGGTACCTGCTTAAAGCCATTGATCAACTCGCAAACAATGAAACAATTGATCGAATTATCCTCACATCACACCCAGGAGGTAGCTCCATATTAACCGGATAACCATCGACTACTAATCCTAGCAGGGTCACGTACAGGTTAATCAATAAAACAAATTCGAGTATCAAAAAATCGAAACGGCACTGACTTATCGATTAACAATCTACCCCTTAATTAAACAGAAGATTATCGGTTAGGTTAGCCACTAAACCAGTTAATTAACCGCCCTAATGGTATTGACAGCTAGCGTATCGAAATGGCCAAACCCCAAAAAAATGGGGCGTGGCGTTGGGTCTCTCCATAAATGAGAACAGAGAAAAGTGGCAGAAAAAAGGACAGGTGGAAAAGCTGGCCCCTTTTTGTACTTTCGTCGTGGGGGAAAAAAAAAACACGGCCATTTTAACATCGATCCAAATCTCAGTCATATTATATAAAAGTTCATTTGACTCTCATCGCCATTATTAATAATAATAATAATAATAATAATAATAATAATAATAATAATAATAAAAACTGGGGAATTCAAAATACACGTATCGAAATGCTACATAAACCCCTCATCCCAGCTAAGCTTGAGCTATACTCAACAATCCCTTCTCTCTCTCTCTCTCTGCTATTTCCTTCCTTCCCCATTGCTTCTGTTTCTCCCTAGAAAAGACAACTGTACACAGCTTAGCTTAGCTTCCTTCCATGATGTCTACAACAATGGCGGAAGGTCTGTCCGAGGAGCAGATTGTTGACTTCAAAGAAGCCTTCTGCCTCTTTGACAAGGATGGAGATGGTACGTTTTCTTAATTCTTTTTTCCATTAATTTTTGGTCTCCAGGCAGGCATAGATATTAATAATATATTATTGAGTAAAGAAAACGGTGTCGTGGCTGCAGGTTGCATTACGATCGAGGAGCTGGCGACGGTGATCAGGTCGCTGGATCAGAACCCGACGGAGGAAGAGCTTCACGACATGATTACGGAAGTCGACGCCGACGGCAACGGCACCATTGAGTTCGCCGAGTTCTTGTGCCTCATGGCCAAAAAAATCAAGGTACGTCGCCTTCGTTACGACGTCGTTGTGCTGTTGCAGATCGATTATCCCTGCTGCTGATGTGTGTGGCACGACGTCGTTGTGATGCTGCAGGAGACGGATGAGGAGGATGAACTCAAGGAGGCGTTCAAAGTGTTCGACAAGGATCAGAATGGATACATTTCCGCTACCGAGGTAGTGATAGTAAACTTTACCACGCAATATCCCATTTCATTTTACTTTTATCATGGTGAATCTTTTACTAATTTTAACGTGACAATCAATTTAACGATATATATATATATATATATGGTGGCGTCTTCGGTGCACTCACTTTTTTGGGTGCATTCAGTGCACTCGCTTCATAATCGTCATTTAAAACATGAGATTTATGTCAAAATGATGTCAATCATCACTTATGATGTGATGAACAATAACGCACATGAATTTGCACAAAAACCATGAAAGATTTGCTTTAATTTGAAGGATTTAGAGTTTAAAGATCTAGGGTTAGGGTTAGGGTTTACAGTTTGGGGTTTAGTGATAGAACTCAAAATTGGAGGTCTAGGGCTTAGGGTAATCCGCTAATTAGTTGTTATTATATGTTATATCATCATATTATACTAATTCTACAAATGAAAATTCAAAATCCGACTCCTTAAGACTAGTTTTTGAGTTGGGTGCACTGAACGCACTCATTTTTGTGAGTGCGCCGAAGTAGTCACCATATATATATATATAGCAGCCTTCCTTTCCTTATATATTATTTTTTAACTGAGCTAAGCTACCTCATAGCAGCCTCTGCCTTCTTATATAAATAATATAACGTGTCAAACCAATTTCCTAGATGTCAATGTACAGCTGGAGACGCGTTTAGAAAATTCACTTAATTACAACCTTGATTCTCGTTAAACTACAATTAAGAAGAAACATATAAAAAAGAATAATAATTTCGTACACTTGTTTAAGGTTTTTAGTGCATAATAAACAAAAAAAAATTTGGTTTAGGTAGTGGTGTAAAAAATTGGAACTAATAACTGGATTAGATGGACACGTCATGGTGCTTATCTGGTAATTCACATGTTAGATTGGATCGTATTCGTCACCCTCCTCTTGGTTTCAAGGCATTGCCAGCAAATTAACCTGCACAAAATATTGACATTCATTGCATTTGGGTTTTTTCCCCTCTTTCTTGTTCTTCTAGTTAATCAGATTCCAACCTATTGGTTTAACTAATTAATATGCATTACAGTTGAGGCATGTCATGATCAACTTGGGAGAGAAGCTGACCGATGAAGAAGTGGAACAGATGATCAAGGAGGCGGACTTGGACGGCGACGGTCAAGTCAACTACGATGAATTCGTCAAGATGATGTCGACCATCGGATGATATAGATTATCCGTTTGTTTTTCATCGATTACTCATCAAATTTGATAATCGGCTAGCTAGCTCGAGTTCTGTCGGTAGGTAGTGCATAATATGTATGTTGTTTAGCGTCGTTAATTACTTGGTCTTGGCAATGCCGGTCATTGTAGGGATAGACTTGCACCAATGTGGTCATCAGGATGTTCAACTCATTTAAGTAGATTAATAGCTATACTTCTCCTTGATTGATCGATCTCTTTGATTTTATTTGTTTTTTTTTTTGTCTGGCAAACATATATTTGAGTTGTTCAAAATGTTGAATTGTATTCTTTCATTGTACTCCAATATTATTTGCTAAATGGTTACCTTTGTAGTGGTTTGGTTTTCTTTTAACTTTACAGGTACATCACTGCCCTCTTTTTATGGCGAAATATATAAAGGAGAGACCTGTTATGTAAAAAATGTATCAGTGAGAAGTTGGAAAATGTTGGTCTTTGTGGCCAAAAAGTCAGCCACGAGTTCATTGCAATTTACCATGATTTGCTTATCAAAGCTTATGGATGTAAATGTACTTGATTCAAGTGAGTGAGATTGGCTGGTTATTTCTTGATCACTTAAGTGGGTCATAAAGCCCAAAGCCCACTTCACCATTTTACCGCTGAACTTCCGCAGCAGTAGTAGTAGTAGTAATAATAATAATAATAATAATAATAATAATAATAATAATAATAATAATAATAATAATAATAATAATAATAATAATAATAATAATACCACTGAACTTTCATTCCTTATAAGTGATAGCAATAGAAGCTCAATAGAAATTTGTGTAATTGTGAAGTATCGATAGCATAGAAATGTCATTGAGTTGATACAAATTTATTTGTCTATTAAAATGGTTAGTTAGATGGATGGAAATTTGAACATATGCTCAATTTTAACACTTTATTGTTTTCAACTCATTATTTTAAATGAAGTGTTATAAATCATCCAATTCTCAATATATAAGAAAGATGATTGTTAATTGTCACCTTAATACTAGAATCGTCATAATTTAAAAATTAAATTAAATTTTTATTTTTTTTATTGTTAGAATATATTTTATTCTAACAAACACAATACGTCCAACAACTGGAAAAAAAATCACAATTAAGGATGCAAAAGGCTGGTCACGGTTGGGTGGATGGTGTTGCCGGTGAACGAAGAATGTGCAGAAGGTCGTGACAAAACATGTTTGAGGAGAATGATTAGATAGGGATTGTTTGTTTTATTGAATTTGGTTTGATTAATAAATGACAATTTAGTCCAAAGGAGGTAGGGGTGGTTGCTCGTTTGTCGGTTAGCGGCTAACCGCCTGTTTCAACCGATAACTGGTCGGTTAGCAGCTAATCGAAAACTGACGGTTATGTGGAGCGGTCAGTGACAGGGGGAGGCCTTTCAGTTAGCTGAGTAACCGAAGATTATTAACCGACGGTTACTCGACTAACCGAAATTAACCGGGTTCCGCCCATTTAGCCAAAATGACACCGTTCCCCTTGGCAAAAAATGACTTCATCCAGGTCGTCCTGCCCAGCCCTTCACCCCTACAAGGAGAGGTGTGTGTAACTGTAACACATTAGACAAATCTCACATTGATAAAGCACGTGAGAGATCTAAGTAAGAAACCGATTTTAACTAACAAAACACATTTTGGGTTGAATTGAAGAGTTTTTATAAGAACTTTGAAATCAAACATACTCACTCTGAAGTACAAGATGTGTGACCTTATTATAAGCATGGACCAGAAAACCGTATCGTACCGGTCGGTCAACCGGAAAAATTGTAAACCGAACCAAAAGCGATACGGTAGGCTGATTGTGCTGATTTTACCGTACTGGCCTGTTTTTTTTGTTTGACCGGTACAAAAAGAAAAACTGCCCAGTTTTGGTCTAACCGGCGATAGCCTTATTGGAAAAATACGTCTCCGTCTTAAGCACTAAATTAAAAAAAGAAGAAGAAAAATCGGCATTTAAATAATGTCAAAAGACAACTCTAATCCAAAAAGTCCATCGTTTCCTTCTTCCCCTGTTCCCTAGCCCCGCTGCTCCTCTTCTCCACCCCCTCTGGTGACTGGCGACCCACGACCAGCGAGAGGAACGAAGCAACCCGCGACGGCGAAAGGTCGAGCCTATCCCCGCTCTGCCGCTCCTCCGCCATTCCTCTTCTCTTCTTATCTGGCGACCCACGACCGGCGAGTCGAGCCGTCCCTGCTCCGCTCCGCCGCTCCTTTCTCTCCTCCTCAGCCACGCCGACCGTGCTCGAGTCTCCCTCACCTGCTCAAGAACGCCGCATCAAAGGAATCGGTCGAGCTCTTTTCCATCCCAAAGCCAACGATAGTCAATTAATCTGATTAATTAGGTAAGGAATGATTATTGCTCTATGTTGAAAATGGGTCACCGTGGTTGTATAATGCTCTATTTGGTTCTTGGTTGGTCCTGAATGAGATGAATTATATCTCTCTAATCTGTTCCTCTTTTTGGTGGTAATATTTGGTGATGGCAGAAATATTGCTTTTTTGAACGATTATGTAGTTTATTCAGTATGTTGCACTTTGTTGATTGTTATATTACCTATGGCTATTTAATTTATTCAATGCCTATTTAGTTTATTCAGATTTTTTGTCCGGCATATTCCGGGATTACTCCGAGACAGTATCCTGAATCTGCCGACATGTTTTTTAACAAAAAATTATTTTTTAATTACAAAAACAATATTTTACCGTACACAACGGTGGAACCACGGTCGTACCACAAAATACCCTACCATAGACGAGTCCAATATGACATCCGATACGGTTTCATGAACCATGATTATAAGCCACCTTAATATGCCCCGAGACAAAATTTGTAAGACTGATCCAAAACCGGCAATATCTTCGGAAAACCCGAAAAAGTTTCCGATGTTACAAAAAGGGGTAAAATACCTCGTGTGTCACTTAAGTTTGAGAATTGGGGTAGGCATACCACTTAAGTTTGAATAGGGCATCGGGTACTACTAAACTCTATTATATGTGCACCCGGTACCAGTTAATTTTACTGTTAAGTGCTTTCCGTTAAAGCTGACAGAATATTCTTGAAATCTTGACTCACTCCTACTGTCGCTCTAGAAAATGGCCAAGTGAAACCACTTCCTAAAGCGTAGTATAGCGAGTTTGGGTTTTAATGTCAACCCGGGTCCTAGATGTGATGACTACTCAGTGAATTCTTATTATCTAGCGGTAAAACTTAAGTGCAGGTTCAAACAAGCAAAAACACAAAGCAAGTTAAACGGTTGTTTCAAGTCGAGAGAGGTCACCCGGATATGGTTCCCCCTAGACTGCAGTTAAGCCGGATTGCAATTACCAAGTTCAGTTTCTATGATAGTTATACTGCGGAAGGTTCTTAAACAGTCTGAAGTCTCGACTAAAGGTCTCCAGACCCTCTCAATCTGAGTCCCCAGCGGGCGACTAACCTCCACCGGAGTAAACAGATTGAGGCCCTAACGAACCAAACCTCCACTACCGAAGCAAATTCGGTACAGAATAGTGAATTGTCGCCAATTCACTACCTACAATTAAGGGAGCTCTATTAACCTAGACAGATATTCTCATTCTAGGCTAAAGCAGAAATAACAGGAATTTGATCAGGATTCAAGTCATTCAATCATTCAAACCTCAATTGAATATAATCAAATCATAAAATCTGTACTTGGATTCATACAATCAAACCTAACGTACAAATCTAGGGTTCTCCATACCCAGATGAATGAGAGAACTACTCCATGGAGAAAGAAGCAAAAGCAGATTCAGATGCGGAAACCATACTGTGAAGGATGGATTTCTGCTTCTGGTTGTCGATCGGCACTTCTCCAAGCTCAAGTCGGGCTCCAATGGTGGTGAAGATCAAGCTATGGCACTTGGGAACTCTTGTTCGTCGCTTTCTCTCTCTAGGAATCGCTCTGTCTCTCTAAAACTCGGAACCCTTGATTTTTAGCCTTCTTTTCCCTTAAGAAGCTGTCTGTCGTGATCCCCGGTCGGGTATTTTGGGTGTCGACCGGGTATATTCAAAACGCGGGTTTAGGAACAGGGGAAAATCCCCGACTGGGGATTTATGCTTCACGACCGGAACCCTCTCTGTTTCTCAGACGCCAAAACCACTATTCCCCGGTCCGCTCAAAATAATACCCGACCGGGTATTTCTGGTCATGGCCGGGTATTTTACTGCTCCAGCACACTTCGACCCAAACCTGCTCCTTTCGACCCGAAACTCGTTCCTTCGCCTCGATGCCAACGCTAAGCCCTGAAATATGACATAAACGCACAACCTAGCGTGAAATCGGCTTAAAACATGAGAATCAACCTCTCAAATGGCTCGAGAATAGAGGTAAAAACAGGTGTAATTATTGGTCTATCAATTTCGTTTTCTAAATTTCATAATTGGTCCTTCTACTTTTCTTATGGTAAAAAAATCATTTGGACTTACGGAAATATCACTTTTTATTGTTTAGTTAGAATCCTCTTTTGAATACTTTATACCAAACCAATTTTTGAATAGAAATTTTAGAATCAATTATCATTATAATTATTTTCAATTATCATTATGTGTTCTAATAATTGAATTATTCCATGAATGTTGTAGCTTTTATAGTCATATTTTCTTTTCTACATTTTTAGCGAATGTTGTAGCTTTTATATTTTGTTTATTACTTGATTACTTTTTATCTCTTTTTGTTCTAAATTTTTTTCAATTAGTGAAATATGTTGAATTCTTTCTGATTGTGTTCCATTTATCCTTTTTTTATTTTGATGTATTGATAATCGATTAGGTTCTATTTTAACTATTTTATTTTGCTGAAACTATTTTAGCTATTTCTAATGGTGCTTCTAATTGAATTAGGGGGTTAAAATATTTATTTTATATTCTAGCATATTTATTATTCTTCTTGTTATTCATTTACTATTTTTGCTAATTTATCTATTTTATTGAAAAAATTTGATTAGTCATTCTAGTAATAATATGTTTAGAAGGTTTTTTAATTATTATATTAGATAAAATTATTGAAATATAGTTTTGGATGTTTTTAAAAGTTTTGGGGTATAAAAACGTAATTAAAAGTTAGGGTTTGATGGAAAAGTAGACGGATGCACATTTTGACAACTATAATAATACCCAGCGCCTATTCAAACTTAAGTGGTATCTCTACCCTAATTCTCAAACTTAAGTGACACCCGATCTATTTTACTTTAAAAGCGTGTATGATATATTTTACCGTCCAAATAATCAAACAAAAAAAATTACATTTCCAAACTCCAAACTTTCCTCCGATAGGCCGGAGAAGATCTCAACGCCGATGACTCCGCGGGGAAAATACAATATCCCAAACAAAACTCCACAACCTTGCTTGAACAAAAATCCCAATTGAACCAAACAATCAGACAAACAAAAGGAGAAGAAAAGAATTGTGAATGGAGACCGGCAACGGAAGTATTGATGCTCATCATCATCAATTAATGGCGGTGGTTGCCCTGCAGCACAAACAAAATATGGTCGGCCGGCGGCGGCTGTATTGCTTCTGCGCTTTCCCTTTCGACGGCACCAATACCGCCGATTCCTCTTTAGATGCTCTGCTGTTTTTGCGAGGGCCTCCGTTACAATCTCCCTCTTTCATCCGCCCCACGATTAGCGACGTCTCAGAATCACACCTCTCTAGGGTTTGAACCAATTTCTCTTCCGCATGCACCGCTTCTTCATGTTTGACCGATTCCACAGTGTGGGTCTGTTTGGTGGGAGGGATTATCGTGTTCTTGTCCTGGTAGTGCTGGAGCAGCGGAGTCTGATCGGAATAGTCCTCGGTGATGCTCCGTCGCCGGAGATGGAGGTTGAAGCTCGGTGATTTCTGCATCTTGGAATTCACGCTGAAGTTATCAGGTCCAGAGTCGGTGCTCAGCCTTCCCAATTGCTGATCGGCCTCCCCGTTCTTCGCCGGAAGCTGGATTGGGAAAGGAACAACAGGTTCTTGTGGATCGGCGACGAAAGTTGGAGCCACATCGGCTAAGAATTCGGGGCCATTTCCAGGGTTGAATTCCCAGCTGGAGGTACTGCTGCTGTCTTGGGGAGAATCTCCACTCTCAGCTGGAGCCTTCTCTTGCTCCGGTGGCGACTCTGGCTCACACCCTTCTTCGCCTTCTGTTTCATCCCCGCCATTTTCGATTCCTGAAGCTTCTCTCTGCTGCTTGATTACTTCGGAATCTTGTTCTTTGTTTGAGCTATCTGTGGTTGTAATCCCCGATTGAGGAAGCTCCATCTTCTCTTCTTCAGAAGCAGGCTCATTTAGGGATCCGTTGCTCTCATTTTCAGGCACAGTCGAGCAATCAATTTGTGACCCATTTTCTGATTCCTGATTCTCATTGTTTCCATTTTTTACCGTAAAGTCAGATTCTTCTTCAGTAGCTACCTCTGCCGGTGGACATATCAGCTGGTTTGCCAATAACACTTCCTTTATTATGTTCTCAGGCACAAGAACTTCTTCAGGATTATGAGAGGTATGATCATCTGAATGCTGATTTGCCAATAACTCTTCAGAATCTTCTTCAGTAGCTATCTCTGCTCGTGGAGATACCGGTTGGTTTGCCAATAACTCTTCCATTATTATATTCTCAGGCACAAGAACTCCTTCAGGATTATGAGAGGTATGATCATCTGAAAGCTGATTTGCCAATAACTCTTCCGAATCTTCTTCAGTAGCTATCTCGGCTCGTGGAGATACCGGTTGGTTTACCAATAGATCTTCCTTTATTATGTTCTCCGGCACAAGAACTCCTTCGGGATTATGAGAGTTATGATCATCTGAATGCTGATTTGCCAATACCTCTTCCGAATCTTCTTCAGTAGCTATCTTGGATCGTGGAGATATAGGTTGGTTTGCCATTAACTCTTCCTTTATTATGCTCTCAGGCTCAAGAAATCCCTCAAGATTATGAGAGGTATGATCGTCTAAATGCTTACCATTCTGCAAACTAGTAATGTCAGCAGAACTTGGCTCTGTGATGATGCTTGAACAATTTTTTGGCTCCGCATCGCCAGAATCCAGATGTTCTTCATGTTGAGGAAACAGACTTGTTGAACTTGAGTTGCCTTCATTTTGACTTGATACTGATTCAATCAGTTCATAGGAATCCAGATGCTCTTCATCATGTGAAGACACAGCAGTTGTGATGCTTGAACTATGATCCTTTTTTGGATCCACCTCCCCAGAATCCAGATGCTCTTCATGTTGAGGAAACAGAACTGTTGAACTTGAGTTGCCTTCATTTTGACTTGGCACTGATTCAATCAGTTCATAGGAATCCATATGGTCTTCATCGCGTGAAGACACATCAGTGGAAGTAGTAGGGTTTGGTATCTCTCCCTCCTCTGTTCAGATAGAAATGATAAAGTTGTAAAGTTGAAGGCATCAATTAGATCAAGAAGCTATTTCTGTTGGCGAAGGGAATGAAGTATGCTAACCAACCTTGTTTGCATGGCTCCTGCCCTTCAGCCAAATCAGGACTGAGTTCTTCTGTTTCCTCTACCAGATCGTCTGATTGAAGATTGTTATTTTTGCTTCTCGTCTCATCAAATCCCGGGTTGGTTTCCAGAGTTTCAGCAGTAGAAGTGGAGATCAGCATCTCTGCCGCCTCTGTTGCAGATTGAAAGGAGAAAGCTCTATAGTTAAGGCATCAATTAGACCTGTTTGTTATTTCATCTAGTCTGTTCACTCTAATTCATGATTGTGCCCATAGATGGAGTGTGACACAATTGCCAGTGTGGACATAATCCATTCCACGGAATCAATTAGGTATCTGTAGATGTAGTCTTAAAATCGGTGAATTTGGAAATCCATTATCCAAACAACCCGAAAAAGTTGTTGCCATATGGAGTCAAGTAGACTGACCTTGCTTGAACGATTCCTGCTCTGCAACCAAATCCAACTTCTGTTGTTCCAATTCCCCAGGCAAACTATGGAGTTGAAGTGCACTGTCTTTGCTTCTTGTTTCATCAGCCTCTGGGTTTGGAGATTCAGCAGTGGAAGTTAATGTCAACTTCTCTGCTTCCTCTGCAGGAGAAAGTTCCAAAAGGTTACAGCATCAATTAGTTAGATTTCTTACCCTGCATGAAGAGTCTTTAGAAATATTCGATTGTTCATTGACTATGAAGTGAATTAAGCCTGGCTAACCTTGCTTGAGTGGTTCCTGCTGTTCAACTAAATCAGACTTAAGTTGTTCCGGTTCCTCGATCAAACTACCTGGTTGAAGATTGCTCTCTGGTCTTCTTCTTGTTTCATCATCATCAAATTCTGGGTTGGTTTCCGGAGATTCAGCTGTTGGTATATCATCACGAACTTGTTGGCTCTCCTCTTCCACTTCACGATCTACAGGAGCGTAAAATCATGATTTGTGAAGTTAAATCAACTCTTCTTAGCTCTGCAGTGAGAGATCGATGCAGTGTGTTGGAACAACAAAGTTACCTCCTTTACCGCCATTCACAAGATCAAGAGCACCATCTGATCCCGGGTCATTCCCCAAAACTACAGGTTGTTGAACAGGCTTCCCTTGAGCTGGTTGAACCAGCTTTGTGCTACCCTCTTCTCCACCATTCACACGATCAAGAGCTCCATCTGATCTGGGATCATTCGCCGAAACTACAGGTGGTTGAACAGGTTTCCCTTGATCTTGTTGAGCCACCTTTGTGCTACCCTCTTCTCCTGCACCTTCATTCAGCATTTCATTACCCAGCTAAAGAAGCTCGCAAATGCAGGGAAACAAAGGAAAAGATAGGCAAGTGGTGAAAAGCAGAGAGGAATACCTTGGAACTCATCAGACGTACTGTTAGTGTTCCCCATCTCATTTCCCATACGTCCTCAGCCTGATCCAAAAACAGAGATATAAGAGAGCACCCAGCTGCTTGAAGAACCTGCGACATTTGGCAGTCTCTGCGGCAGTATATGAAGAATAATGGGGGAAAAGAAGAAAAGGGTCCCATATTCAACCATAAGAAGATGATTATGGCCACTTGCCACACCGGCCGCCAACAGTAGTGGAGCGGCTGCCTTGCCACGCTCAGTTTTCTTTTTTGCCAGGGTGTTGTGTTTGTCATTAGGGATGGAAAAATCAGCTCTGCAGAAAAGTTGAAGTCACAGAATAAGGGAAAGGCGGGCATTTGTCAGCCAAAACAGATACATTGGCCAGGCCACAGTGGAAAGGAGGCCGGCATAGCCAAGTCTTCTCATTACTTTTCTATAGTTTTTGAGGGATAGTTTTTGGACTGATTGATTGAATGAATTCTAATAGTTTTGCAATTGATTAAAGGGAAGTGTCGGTAAGCTTGGGCTTATCATTATGTCTTGAACTTCCCATTATACATAGACTCCATTGATGTAGCTAAAGAAAGGGCTAAGGCTATCTGGAGACAGACAGGGAATATAATTCTTTAGGTCAGCCTGCTTAATCTGTATTCCGTCAGCCTGCTTAATCTGTATTCTTCTGTGCACTAAACTAAACTAACATGGCAGAAGAATGTTCCTTTCTGTCCATGTAAATCTTAGATGGAGTGGGACTTAAGTTCAATTGTAGGGGACAAGTATTTGTTTCTTACAGCAGTCAGATTCTACTCCCTAATCTATACAAGCAGCAAATTCTGCAGAGCCTTCTCCCTTCTACTCCAAAACCTCTTGTAGCTTACCGAGCAACTCATGGACATCCAAGCCTTTCTTCACATACACTCGTCAGCAGAGCTCCTCCTTATCTCACTGATTACCATGCTCAGTCCTAAGTAAACAACCCACCTTACCATTTCTAAATTTAGTGTCTAGTTCGTGAATTCTGTTAAGAACCAGTTAGTTAGTCCCTAGTAATTCGAGTTGTTGGAAGAAGACTAATTATAGATCATATACCACTCTCTTACACATGCCAGCATCCCACCCTTCATGTCATTACTCCATGCTCCCATCATCAAATCATAAAGTCTTATACGAGAGAGAGTAATATTTGTTTACTAGAACATTTATAAACATTTTCTTTTATCACTTTAACTCATTCAACAACTTAATTGACTTGAATTGACCTTTCTTCGTGTAAGATACGATTGATTATTATAGTCAGGGCGAATCGAGGACCTACAGGCGTGGCCAGGGCGGCTATGGCCATCAGATTACCCCCACCGCTCGAGCCAACCCATGCCGGTCGAAGATTAAAGATAAAAGGAAGGGGTTGAGTGTCGAACATTGCATCGTTTGTAGGCTCTAAATCATATACTCAAGCCTTCAACTCTCATAATTAGGCATAACCCAATTGCGTGTGTAGAAAGGATGAACAAGTGGAGGTAGCTTTCGGTTTCGATCACTTGGAGCCGGGCATGCTATAGTGATAAGGTCTAAAGAAAAGCCGGCCATGTGCAGACAGAGGTGGTGGGTCTTCGTTAATTACTCGAAAGTTTCTTGATTAGCGTTTTAAAGCTTCAGTTTGTATTGTAATTAGCTGCTGTGGGTTTTAGTGACTTTTGCAAGCTCAAAAGGGGTTGGCAATGTATGGAGGAAGGATGGGTTGGATGGCTTGCTGGAAATGGGGGAGATCTCCCACCATGTCCGTACCTTTTCTTGAGCTCATACTCAAGTCATAGATTGGCCGATGAAATGACATGATGGCTCCCATTTGCTTGTTTTCATGCTTGGACCCATTAGGTTCTTTATGACAAGGGAAGTCATACTCATCGGTTTAGAGACGGAGTCCACCCATCTTTGCAAAGGAATAGGCATTTGTAAACGGGCCACTCTGTTGTATAAAAATTGTTGTTCAATAATGAGAAAGTCACGATTTCATCCATGTTCATGATATTGGTATCAGAGCATCAACGACACTTCTCCTCCACCTCTAAAGAAAATTGATTTCATCGGCCACGTCAACGACACTTCTCCTCCACCTCTAAAGAAAATTGATACACAACCAAATCCAACATACAATACACAGTGTGAACATGACCAATTAGTCCTTACTTGGATAACCCTCTCTTTGTCTAAAGCAGTGATGCCCAATATCATCAACAAACCATTTACACATGCTGCCTGGAGTCGCTTGCTCGAGTATATATGTGTCTGGTAGGGATGACAATGGGTCGGGTTAGGTTGGGTTTTGTCAAACCCAAACCCAAACTCAACCCCATGGGTTTATCCGTGAAAAAGATCCGGGGTAAAACCCATTGGGTTTGAAAAACTCAAACCCAACTAACCCGCTAGGTATCCGCGGGTTCATGGGTACCCATGGGTTTTTGTCGTAAAAAATTTACAATAACAAGTTTCCATCAAAATAAAAGTCAAATATCAATCTCTCAATACAAATTATTCATATATAAAACACCATTCTAGAAAATTCAAGCAAATCACAAATTAACCATACAAATTGTTCAACACCAATCTAGAAAACTCAAAAAAATTGAAGCAAATCACAAATTGTTCATCTACCTACCTTGATTGGGAATGTAAAATAATCATGTTCTTTCGTTGCGGACAATTCAGCGAGGATCAGAAAGTAGCAATGGCTACTTACGAGTTCGCGGATTATGCTGCCCAATGGTGGGAGCAAATCCAAGTTCGTCGACGGCAAAATCTGCAGGCGCTAGTTGGGATGTGGGACGAATTGCGCGGTTTGATGAGGGAACGCTTTGTTCCAGCCTACTACCTGTGAGACCTACATGACTCACTGCAAGGCATTCGGCAAGGGTCGCGGAGCGTCGAGGAGTATTTCCGAGAGCTGGAATTTCTCTTACTCTGAGCAGACGTTCGTGAAGACAGGGAGGCTACAATTTCGCGGGTTTTACATGGCCTGAACCGCGAAATTAGACATGAAGTCGAGCTGAGGCCGTTTGTTGACCTGGAGGAGTTTTTTACATCTCGTCGTGAAGGTCGAGAGGCAGCAGAAGACGACCACTGGGCGAAGGTTTTCCCCGGCAGCGAATACAGGGGCAGAACCTGAACACAATCCACCTCTGCCTCGGCTCGACGCGGTAAGATTAGCGCCCAGAAACAACAATCCCATCGCAACTGAACGATCTGGTATGATTCAGTGCTTTAAGTGCCACGGGCGAGGACATAAAGCTAACCAATGCCCAAATTCGAAAACATTGGTTCTCCGAGATGGGCAGTATGTTACTGATGACGAAGAGCAGAGTTCTGGCGATGAATTTGTCGATGAGGAGATTGAAGTCGAGAAGGCTCTGACTGGGAAGCTTCTGGGAGTCAGCAAGAGAGCCCTCACTGCTGAGGCTTCCCCGGATTCTGACCAAAGCGAAAATATGTTTCACTCGCGGTGTTTGGTTGCCGGAAAATTGTTGTCCTTAATCGTCGACGGCGGTAGTTGTGACAATGTCATTAGCCAGGACGCAGTGTCCAAGCTTGGGTTGAAGACACCGCGACACCCTGAACCATACAATCTCCACTGGTTGAATGATTACGGGGCAATCCAAGTGACCAAGAGAGCCAAGGTGAGTTTTGAAATCGGAGGGTATCAAGACGAACTTGATTTTGACGTAGCTCCGATGCAAGCTGCTCATGTGTTGCTAGGGAGGCCCTGACAATTTGATCGAGGTGTCTGTCATTATGGAGGCACGAACCAGTACAAGGTTCGGCATAAGGGGAAGAAGTACTTGATGGAACCATTAACCCCGAACGAGGTTCGAGAAGACAGGCGACAACTGGAGGCTAGTCGGCGGCGTTTGAAAGACGAGTCTGCGGAGGCACGCTGAGAGGAAGCTGAGAAAAACCATGGCGTGATCCGACGGTTAATGCTCACGGGTTACAAGAAGCTGAAAACGCCACGACCTTGCCGGCGCTGTGCCAATTCGCCGGAGCAGGGCAGGAGAGAGAGTCAAACGGGTGGAGCTCTTGGGGGGGTTCCGACCCAATCCAATGGCGTTGTCATGTTCCCTACAGCCCCGAAAATCTCTTCCATTGACAAAGTTGGACTGATCCCTTCTGTTTTGCAGTATCCCAATCGAGCTTCACCTCCTCTGCAACTACCCCTGAACAAGGAACAAGTGGCCGAATGGGTTGAGCAGTTCCAGGACGATTCAACCCAAATGAACGATGTGGAATCATCGGGGAAGAGTCCAGGCAGCTGTTGGACTGATCAATTACAGTTGGGAATGCTCAAATTGGAAACGCCCAAATCAAAATCTCAAATTCTGGGTTTCCAGGACTTGAATGCGGCTAGTGGCGAGAAGAAGGAACACATCGATTCGACACAAATGGCGACGAGTCGAGCTCAAATGCTGATGCAGAACTTCAATTCGAAGCTTGGCGAATCCATTGGTTCCCAGGAATTGAGTTGTCGATCCTTGGAGATGAAATTCCCAATTCCTCGAATGAAGAACATTGACCTTATTTTCCAGAACTATCAGTTTGAGTTGCCAACTTTCAATCCCATTTGGGATCGATTTTGTGCCGAATTTGAGAAGCGAAGGGTACTAGCTTTGAGGACAAAGCTTTTTGAAGAGGGGAAGCCTGATATGATCCTGGATTGGCCCATTATCAAGCTAGAGCTACTGGCCAAAGAAGCCAACCCAAGTCAATTGAAGAACATGAAACCCAAAAAAGTAAGTGTCGTGCTTGTTTTTGGTTGAGGGCTTGGCCGAGAAACCCAAGCTCGAATTGAGCTCTTTTATCGATCCAAAACGGCATTGATCGTGGGCGAGCATCGACATATAGTTGCTGAGCCTTCCTCCAGGTGTAGGATTACACACAACTTCCATCCAACCTCGTTCTTCCTCCTCGGCAGAACACCAAATCCAGTTTCCGACGAGCTCAACTCAAGGGAAGAGCTTGACTTGTAGTTCTTGTTTTTTAAATCAAATTAAACTTACTGGGGGGTTTATCTAACCCTTCTTTTTGGCTCGGACCGTGTCTTTATGAGTGCTTGGAGCTAGGCCATCAAGCCCAACTCCTCTTATTTGTCATAATTGTGGGGGTAATGGGCATAATTGGCCCAATTGTTCCAGCCCAAGCTATTTTACTAGCCCCCTTATTTGACTGGCTCAGCCTCTCACCTAGCCCAAGCCTCTTAGTCAGCCCATTATTCCGAAAAGTGGTAAGTGGATTATGGTGCTAATCATCACCTCACTTCGAATCTTGATAATCTGGTCCATCATCCCGAGTACAATGACACCAATCAAGTAATCTTTGACGATGGTAAAACTCTCTCTGTCTCTCAATCTCTCATTATGGTTCTTCTACTACATCCATTCCCCATTATTCATTTCCCTTGATAATTCTTCGTGTTCAAAATGATCAACTTAATCTTCTTTCGATAAGCTCTCTTACTCGTTTTAATCCTATTTTCATTGAATTCATTGACTCTTATTTGTAATCAAAGACTGTCACGCGAAGCATGAGCTATATCATGATGATACGGTTGATGAGCTTTTACACTCTTTCTCTCCACATCAGTCGATGTCTTACACCTCGTGTCTTTTCCGATTCACTTGATCTTTGGCATCTACGTCTTTGACATGCTAATCTTCGTGTTGTTCAACACATAATTGTCTAGTCATCAAATAAAGTACTCCGATCCTTCACCTTTTTCAATTAATGACAAGGTAAAATAGTTACAGCCTCTACCCAGAACCCCCCAAGCAACAGCTAGTGAAGCCACCCTACAAAGTCAAAGGAATCTATCTCTAAAGAGCACAACAACATGGCTTGTCTTGCCACTCTATGGACAACCGAGTTGACAGTTCGCGGGACCGCTCATTCCTCTTTCTTATATCATGGAACTTATATGTAGTTATCTTTGGGGCCATGCTCTTGTTTTTCCTATGATCATGAATCGTATTATGTTTTGTTCTATGATCATTTTATTAAGTTTAGCTGGATTTATTTTATTCAATATAAATCCTAGCTTCCTAATGTTTTTATTCAATTTTGTCAACTTGTTGAAAAATTCGTTGGCCTTCCCATTAGATTTTTTTCCCCAGTTTGATTGGGATGGTGAATATCAAGCACTAATTTCTTATCTTATGGAAAATGGTATTGTTCAACATTCATCAAGTACATATACTCCCGAACAAAATGGTTCTGCAGAACGAAAACACCTTCAAATTGTCAACAATAGTTGAACAAAGTGCAACTTCTTGTCTTTGACAAGTCTTGCTATCTTATTAATCGTACTCCTACTCCTCTTATTAACAAGCATTCACCATTTTTGGGAGTATATGTCTTTTAGTTGTTCAATATTCATCAAGTACATATACTCCCGAACAAAATGGTTCTGCAGAACGAAAACACCTTCAAATTGTCAACAATAGTTGAACAAAGTGCAACTTCTTGTCTTTGACACGTCTTGCTATCTTATTAATCGTACTCCTACTCCTCTTATTAACAAGCATTCACCATTTTCGGGAGTATATGTCTTTTAGTTGTTCAACATTCATCAAGTACATATACTCCCAAACAAAATGGTTCTGTAGAACGAAAACACCTTCAAATTGTCAACAATAGTTGAACAAAGTGCAACTTCTTGTCTTTGACACGTCTTGCTATCTTATTACTTTTTTCAATCAATCCCCCCCTGATATTCTCAATCTCTATGTCTTTTAGTTGTTTATGTTATCCATGGCTTCAGCCTTACACTTCTCATGAACTACTACCACTGATTTAGGCATAATTACACATATTTTACCCCTCATATCTTGATTGTTTGACTTGGTTATCATCTTTCCTCGACTCATTTTATGCTAGGTTGTGCTTTTTTTGTCACATTTCAGGTCCTAGTACATGTGGGAAGGTCCGGGACGAGTTTCGCGTCATTCGGAGGTCAAAATTAGCCAAAAAGTGGAGGTTGTACAATGTTCACGAGCATCACTCAGTTTTCATGCTTTGAGGGGGTGAAAATCACCCCTGGACCGTGAAGTTAGCAAATTCCAAAAGCCATTATGCGTCTCGCTGACCTAAAAATTGTCACGGTCCTGTGACCGTGAAAATGACTCCGTAACCATGAAAATAGCCCAAAATGGTGCGTTTTTAGCCGAGATCACCCTCTGCTTGCTATTATTCCCCCCCCCCCCCCCTGAATAGTGATCGTGAAGTCGGCACTGTCGGGCAAATATAAAGACAACAGCTGGGAGAGAGAAATGGGAGCTAGTTTTTGGAGGAGAACTTGGTTCTCTCTCTAGGGTTTCGACCCAAAACACCAAAAAGGAGTTATAGAGAGAGAGTATAAGAGATCATGGAGCTTAATTGAAGCCTTTGATTGATTTTGGAAACAAGGATTCAAGCCTATTAGATGAAGAAGATGAAGATCTTGAGCATGTTTTGTAATTAGTCTTCTCTCTCTATAAATTAGACCTCTTCTCTTAGGTTGATGAACCCTAGGTCTAGATTTTGGGTTAATGTATATGTGACAAATTCTATGTTTGATTGAGTTTATTATCTATTTGATTGATGTTTTCATGAATTGCATGAGTTCAATATGTCATCTTAAAGCGCACTTTTGGCATCTTCGGGTCACTCCTAATCGTACGTTGTCCGGGTAAATAGAGCACCTTCCTATCCATCACTTCATCGTTCCAGGTCAATCCCGAGTGAGTCAATCTCATAATGGTAGGGTGGTGAATCGATCGAGTGAGGATAGTACTCAACATCAATCCAAATGATAGAACTACGGGGATTCAAACCTAAGAGATCTCCACAACTTGTAATTAGCTAGGTTAGTGGTTAGCTAGATTAGTTATTTTAGTTGTCTCACAAAGTCTCTACCTCATCAATCCTTGCACCAGTTCTGCTCCAAGTTTCACCTCTGTGAGTTTACACTTATTGGGCGGGATAAGAGAAATCATACTCACCTCTTGGACTTTTGGTTTAGAAACTTTCGGATAAGAAATAAGCACAAGAAAGGAACAGAGAAACCCATATGAACCAATGTTACTTATTAGCTTACCTCATTGTTATATTAATCATCCAAGATAGATTTAGAGATAAGTGTTCCGGTTATATACCTATCATCGTAAATAAATAAAATTTCTCTTTCTCAAGCCATTTTGTTGCATTTAAAAAAATAATGATTTTTTAAGACAAAAGATTGAGATCACACCTTTATATAGTATTGTACGTGATTCGTTGTTATTATTCTTTAGCTACAGAACATCATTCCATCATAAAATTAATACGTCGAGGTATTGAGGACCCCAAAATGGCATAGGAAATCTACTTGTAAATCTCAAGATCGTGCTCAAAAATAGAATAAGCCCCAAAAAAAAAAGAACAGATAAACCCATATGAACCAAACAGTGAGCTAACAATATTATAGCTATTACTTGTTAATTATTAGCTTGCCTCATTGTTAAGTTAATCATCCAATTTTAGAGATAAGTGCTCCAGTTTTATACCTTTTATCATTAAATAAATTTCCTTTTCACAATTCATTTTGTTTCATTAAAAAAAATGATGACTTTTCAAAACAAAAAATTAAGATCATACCATTACATAATATTGTACGTTACTCGTTGTTGTTATTCGTTAAAAACAAAACAACATTCCTCATAACATTAATACGTCGGTAATTGAGGTACTCAAAATGTCATAAAAAATCTACTTATAAATCTCAAGATCTTGCTTAGAAACAAAATAAGCGCAAAAAGAAACAGAGAAACACATATGAACCAAACAGTGAGCTATGATTGATATTACTTGTTACTTATTAGCTAACCCCATTGTTATGTTAATCATCCAACATAGACTTAGAGATAAGTGTTCCGATTATATACCTTTCGTCAGTAAATAAATAAATAAATAAATTCCCTTTCTCGAGTCAATTTGTTGCAGTAAAAAAATGATGATTATTTAAAACAGAAGATTGAGATCATACCTTTACATCATAATGTACATGATTCATTGTTTTTATTCTTTAAGTACAAAGCACCATTCTCTCATAACATTAATATATCGAGGTATTGAGGTTACCAAAATGTCGTACAAAATCTACTTACAAATCTCAAGACAGTACTAAAAACATAATTAGAGAAAAAAGGAATAAAGAAACCCATAAGAACCGAATATTGAGCTAAACAGATGATAGCTATTACTTGTTACTTATTAGCTTATCTCATTGTTTTGTTAATCATCCAACATAGATTTAGGGATAAGCGTTTCAGTTATATAACTTTCCCCAGTAAAAAAATTATCTTTCTTGAGTCATTTTGTTGCATTAAACATAATGCGAGGATTTTTTAAGATAAAAAAGTGATATCATACCTTTACATAATATTGTACGTGATTTGTTGTTATTATTTAGTACATAACATCTTATATAAGTCGAGGTCTAACTCTTAGACTTAAACAATCAGAAATGCAGCAAAGATCGATTAGAAGCACAACGGTCGCAAAACGGATAATAAACTGAAACTAATCCACACGTTGGGAAGATGGCCATGTATACGAAGAACTATTCGGCTAGCGTAATGAGCTAGCAGAAAATGTCGGGTTCTTCTTGCTGAATCGATTCCACGATCAAGAATAGGGATTCCCATCCATGGGTATTTTACTATCCAGTCCAATTGGATTGGGTATGAAATCCAAATAGATGGATATGTATAGAGTTTGATGGGTTTTTACTCATACCTATTTACTTGGGTTGGGTTGGGTTTTTAACAAATGAATATTTGGGTTTGTACCCATGCCTAGAGGTGGCAAGTGAGATCCAAATCCATTTATCCAATTCAATCCATTTAAAATGGATCCAAATCAATTTAAGTTGATCCAAATCCATTAGATCCAAATCCATTTGATTCATGGATTGATGATTGATCCACCAATCCATTAACACATATTATTTTCTTTATTCATTTTATAATAGATCACAAAACAAATCTGCTCTTAGAGTTACTCGACCTATAGCTCCAACTATTCTTTCCGACAAGGCGACGACGAAGAGCAGCGCCGGCGACCTCTCCACCGCATGCTCTCCATGTCCATATCCACCATACCACCGTCCCAATCGAATCTTCTTTCCCTCGACTGTGATTGAACAACTCCAATATGTTCCTCTCCCCCGAGTCTGAATCAGATCCAAAATCGCAACTCCAATCTATAGCCAGCGCCGACGAAATCTCCGCCTCCTGGCTCTTTTATTTGAGAACCCATCCTGCGAATCGACCTTTCCTCCAGCGTCGACGAAATCTCCACCGCCTGGCTCTTCTATTTGAGAACCCATCCTGCGAATCGACCCTTCTGCAGATAGGCGACCTCTAGCGTATCCAAGCTCTAGTCGAAATATCAGGTAATTTCAAGCTCTCCAATGCTCGAAATTCTGAAAGTTCAGCTTATTTTGAAATCTGGTCTTGCTGGTTTTCACCGCCACTTAACCATCATCTATTCAAATTGGCAAAAGCCGGAGGAGAAAGATCTTTGAAATCCATAGGAATTTTTGGTTCTTGAAGATGACAATTGCTTGACGAGACTACGGATATAAGCACCGGAGAGGTGAGGCTCCTCTTGGTTCACCACCTTACTATCGGTTTCAATTGCTTCTTTAGTTGCTTCTCTTAATGAAATCGATCGAACAACAGCAGCAGGGATCAAGCCAACCGCTCATCATTTGCTACTTGATCCAACTGAATGTGTGAAAGACTATCCATTGGGTTCCTAAGTAAACAGATATGTAGAACAGTTTTACATCGACCCGTGTCTTAGCAAGTTTGATAATTGATTTCAATTTTATAATTCATTACTTCCTTCTCCATGATGTTATCTTTTCATGGTTCACAAACGAATGGAAAAGGAAACCTAGATATAGAGATTGATAAATCATTTTTGCGGAACTAGAATAATTAGGCAACAAACTAGGAAAGGAATGCATATATTTAGTTTAATCCAACCAGTGAAGTAGTGTTCTCATGGAATTACCAACATATGTAAGTTGTGTTGGTCTTATGGCTTATGCAGAGTGTCAACAGTTTCTCTCCTCCAGTTCACAACACAGCAAATTATTGCGACATGCTTATATGCTGTTACAGCCTCTCAACGTGCTTTTGCGGTTTTGTGCTTTTGCAACCCTCTCTTGATCGATTTCATTTCAGTATGATGAAGTTCTGCTAAAATAATTATCTTCTGTTATGAAACTTGGCTCAAATTTGCTTCAGAACTTGACTAACTGCATATGATTGTCCATGCTTGTTGATCAACTTGCTCTCTTTCTAACCCAGAAAGTAATTAAATAGGGATCAACTTGCTCTCGTGTGTGTTATGTCCTTCTCTTGCTTATGCTTTGGATAAGGATCACTATTATTAAGTTGATTGTGATTTCATTTCATTTTCTCCTGTTTCACTTGGTCATGATTCCATTTGATTGTGATTTCATTGCATGGATTGATTTTAGGATGTCAACACTAAGAAAGAAATACCACGGATGTTGGTGATGGTAGTGATGGTGGTGATGGTGTAGCAACGATGTCTAGGTCTACAGATCGTACAAGTGGTTATAAAAAGCGGAAAAACTTCCAAGGTGTGGACAAATTTCGATTATATTTTCGGAAATCACTTTCCCGACAAGGTACCAAGTAGGGGTGTTCAAATGGTTTGGTTCCCGTGGTAACCGTTTTAACCGGTACTATTTGGATAATTTGGTTTGGTTAATTTGGATAATGGGTTTGGTTTGGTTAAAGTTTTTAGCTTGTTTGGTTTAGGTGGTTTGGTTTGGTTTCTGACACTCCTAACCAGTCAAACCAAATTAACCAGTTAAGTAATTAGTCATATATCTAACATATATTATATACACATATTTAATACTTTGCATAACCACTCAAGACTTAACATTCATCCCTTTTAGACTCATAAAATATAAAGCTCAATATTTCTCATATAGTGTATATATGTATATGTAAAGTGTAGACCACAACATATGAACGCCTGATTTAGATAAATTTCATACATTATGATGGATGAAAGCTTGAAAGGAAGGTCATTTCCAGCCTATGATAATTGCTAAAAGACTAAGTCAATTTACACAAACACAACAATTCATTAACCCATACCATTGTCATAAATTTTTGTTAGGTGAATACTTCTATACTAATCGTAAGATAATTGTCTTAGTTGCATGTATTTTTGTTAAGGGTCAACTATAACTACGTGTTGATTGTTATGTTTTATTCATTATATAAATTGTGAATTGTTGCATTAACCGGAAAATTTTCATCGTCAATGATAATGTGATTTTTATATTGGTTAATCTGGTTAACCAATTAACCAAACCGATTGAACTTTAGTTTGGTTAATTTGGTTGTTGTATTAGTTTGAACGGTTTGGTTATGATATTGTATTTCATGGTTAATGGAATTTAGTGTTATTTGGTTTGGTTATAACCATGGTAACCATTTGAACACCCCTAGTACCAAGAGCACAATGCAAGAATTTTCCAAAGATATATGTGGCTGGTAAAGGTATTTCTAATCTCTCTCGCTAAGTGTGTTGGAAAATTGGCAAAAAATGCAACCGAAGTGCCTATACCTAGTGCTGGAAAGTCAAAGACAATAGATCAAAATGAGTTTAAGGAGCTAATGGCCATGGCAATAATAAAACATGGATATGAATTTTCAATTGTTGAGCATGGTGGACTTCAAAATGTGATGGCTTATTTAAATGATGATTTCAAGTCATTTATTCGGAACACAACTAAGTCTTATTGTTTGAAGATTCATAAGAGGGAAAAAGAGAAGATGAAAGCTCTTTTGAGTGGGGTTCTTGGTAGGATTTCTTTGACTTGTGATTTGTGGACTTCTTGTGCTACTGAAGGCTATCTTTGTTTGACAGTACACTATGTGGATTCTCATTGGAAGTTAAATACTAAGATCCTAAGTTTTTGTCATGTTCCTCCTCCACATTCTGCTATTGTTTTGTACCATGCAATATATGAACTGTTGAGAGAGTGGCAAATTGAGAAGAAGATATTCTCGATTACATTGGACAATACTAGGTGCAATGATGTCATGCAAGGTCTCTTACTCGACCAATTGAAAGAAGATGGGACATTAGTATGTGATGTGGATTATTATCTAAAGCAACAGTAGGGTTTAGATTACTTAAAGAAAGAATGCAATGGTGAATTGGAGGGGTTATGGTCTAAAGGACCAGAAGGTAGCGGTTCCGCTACATCCCAAAATGGCCATTTGTGTTTTACTAATTATGTTGTCCAACCAATCCAATAATCCATTGGATCCTATTCATGAATCCATGAATTCGATCCAATTGCCACCTCTACCCATGCCCAAATGCACATTACAGTTTAGTACATATACTTAATAAATATGCACCTTTAGTACCCAAAATTAATTTTTTTTAATATAAGTCCTCAAAATATTGATGGAAAATTCCGTTTTGGTACCTAAATTATTTTGGTCTTACATTTTGGTGCCTAAATTTTTCAAGTTTTACAAATAGGTCCAATTTTTGTATGTGTAGTTAAAACACCCTCAAATAAATGGATATCCATTTAGATTATGGAAGCAATATTCATACCTTACCCAACCCCCAAACCCATATGCACTTCACCAATACCCAACCCATTATCAATGGGAATACTTGGGTTTGGGTATAATTACCCATGGGTGGGTAATTGCCATTCCTAATCAAGAAAGGAGAAGAAGAGAAGTTGGTGTTTGAACAACCAATTATAGGGTTTGTATTTCTGAATAAAATCGTTGATTACCTTCTATAAGACTTCGTTCATACCCTTATATAGGCTACAAAGGTTTTGGGCCAAAAATAACAAGAAAACAAGAGTTTAGGAGTAAAAGCCACATAATCTGCAAAGGAAACAGAAAACAGGTCGTCTGCAGCCTAGAGCAAAATACTCTATCATGACTAAAAAATACCCAACATGGTATTTATCAGTCACGATCGGGGGGGCCTTCTGGTCACACTACACGAACTTCCCTTCATTACCCGATCAGGTATTTGACCTCCATGACCGGGTATTTGGCCTTAAACAGCCCCAACACCAATGATCATCATTTCTTGTCCCATCGAACAAATCGACCCCCATTTTGATGAAGTTCTGGGCAAAATAAGTTTGAAGTCACCCCTTGAATGCCTTTTCGAACCTCTAAATCCTTCATCATCGGACCACGATCGTTGTATGTTCTTCGAACTCGATGGACATCTTGTGAGGCAATCCGGGTTGCATCATTCCCTCCTTCAAAAATAGTTGTCCTCAAATCTTGTGACTGCATATAGACTCTATTGAACGACTCCATCACCCTCGAACTGGAACATGCACCTTACGTGCAACGCTTCTCCACGAACTCTTGAAGTCGTCGCCTTTCTCTTATTCGAACTTCTGTGGCTGATACTTCATCTCCCACAACAAAGTCGATTTGATCAGTAATCTCACCATAATTTGGAATCGGAATCGACTTACCTCTAAGATGATCACCTCCACCCCCATGATCTTATCTTCCATTCGAGTCATCATTAAAGTTCTGGTCACTATTTCTGCACCCTTTTCCTTCTTGTTCAACTCTCGACCCTTCTCTCTACTTTGCTGCATGTGGAGTTGATCTTCATAGACCTCTTCAGGGGATAGTGGCTGCAACACGATCTTCTTCCCGCCATGTGACAACTTGTGCTTGTTGGTGAAGCCATCATATTGTGCAGCTCTGTCGAATTGCCAAGGACGTCCTAATAGGATGTGGGAAGCCTCCATAGGTACCACATCACAGAGCACATCCTCCTTGTACCTTCCAATCTAATAGCTCAGAAACACCTATCGTGTCACCTTAATGGATCCATCCTCGTTCAACCACCGCAAATAGTAGGGACGTAGATGCTTGATGGTATCAAATCCTTGCTTCTCCACCATGTGAGAACTAGAAATGTTGGTGCAAATCCCTCCATCTATAACCATTGAGAATAACCTCTCATTGGCTAAGCAACGAGTATGAACATATTTTCCCGCTGCTCAATCTCTTATCTTTGTTGAACGTTCAAAAGTTGCCGAGCTACCCAGTTGTAGTTGCACTAGCTGCTCTTCTGCTTCTTCTTCCTCCTCTTCAGTCTCGAACTCTCCATCTTCAGGCTCGGACTTGTAATCACCATTCTTTAGTAAGATCATAGTATGGTGATTACAAGTCCGAGCCACCTCTTAGCATTCCCCGCCAGAGAATGGGGGAAGAGATGAAGGCGGATCGCATCATCCGGGACACCATTCAGCTTGAACCCGTTTGTCAGCTGCAGAAAACGGGAAAGATGCACCCTGGCCTCCTCATTCTTCAAGCCATGGAACTGGATAGAAGATGTAATGAGCTGAATCCAGCATGGCTTGATCTCGAAGTTGTTTGCTGGGATAGGCGGGTAGAGGATGACCGGGCGGATGTCAGCAATCCGCGGAGTGTAGTAGTACTCCAATGTGGGACCCGGCTGCGGTGGATGATGAACTCCATGATCCTGGGGTATGGGGTTGTTCCCCAGGACCTGATTCACCGGGGGAACCTGCTGTGGATTCCCCTGGTGTTGGTTGTAGTCTCCGTCCATCCCGTGCTCTTCTTCAGAATCGCTGCTCAGGTGGCCGTCTATGCGCTCTTCCGTAGCCAGTCTAGCTCGCTGTTGTCTCCTGAGCTGGCGACAGCTGCGGTCAATCTCTGGATTCAACTGCAGTAAACCTCCTGACTGGCTACGGGTCATGCACTACCTGCACACACTCAAGCAAGCAAACCCGTGAAGGCACAAGTGGGAAAAAGCAAACAAAGCAAAAAGAAAAGCTAAATTAACAGAAATCACTTTTCTTCAACAACCTAGCCGTCCCCGGCAACGGCGTCAAAAACTTGACTCGACTCTACTGTCACCCTAGGAATTGGCCAAGTGTAACCACTCCCTAAAGCGTAGTATAGCGGGTTTAGGTTTATATGTCAACCCGGGTCCTAGATTTGCTGACTACTCAGTGAGTTCTTATTATCTAGCAATAAAACTGGAGTGCAAGTCTAAACTACCAAACAAACAAAGCAAGTAAACTGGTTGTATTCAGGTTAAAGAGGTCACCCGGATATGGTTCCCCCTAGACTGCAGTTAAGCCGGATTGTAATTACCAAGTTCAGTTTCTATGACAGTTATACTGCGGAAGGTTCTTAAACAGCCTGAAGTCTCGACTAAAGGTCTTCAGACCCTCTCAATCTGACTCTCTAGCGGGCGACTAACCTCCACCGGAGTCGACAGATTGAGGCCCTAAGAACAAAACCTCCACTACCGGAGCAAATCCGGTACAGAATAGTGAGTTGGCTCCTCGACTAAAGTCACCAACTCCCTACCTTCAATCAAGGATACTCTATTAACCTAGGAAGATATTCTCATTCTAGGTTAAAGCAGAAACAACAGGAATTTGATCAGGATTCAAGTCATTCAATCATTAAAACCTCAATCGAATATAATCAATCACAGAATCAGTACTTGGGTTCATACAATCAAAGCCTAACATACAAATCTAGGGTTCTCCATACCCAGATGAATGGGAGGACTACTCCATGGAGAAGAAAGCAAAAGCAGAAACAGACACGGAATTCATACTGCGAAGGACGGATTCCGGCTCCTGGACGTTAATCGGCACTTCTACAAGCTCAAACTGGCCTCCAATGGTGTTGAAGATCAATCTAGGGCACTTGGGAACTCTTGCTCGTCACTTTCTCTCTCTAGGAACTGATCTCTCTCTCAAAAACCCGAATCCCCCTGAATTGTGGCTGAAATTCTGCTTAAAAGGAGAAAATCCCGACTCACACGGCCAGGGTGGCACGGCCGTGCAGCTCACCCAGTTGCCCGTGTGAGTCAAAACGCATCGTTTCATTTAGTTCGAATACCAGGCTCTTTGCACGGCCAGAATGGCACGGCCGTGTGGACATCCCCTCTTGCCCGTGTTTGCTCTCGCAGAATATGGCACGGCCAACCCGGCCACTCGCACGGCCGTGTCGATCCTCTGCTCTGCCCGTGTGTGCTCTCGGCAAAACTCGCACGGCCAGGCCATTACTTCACACGGCCGTGTGAACATCAGGGCAGCCCGTGTGACCTCCTTTTTGACTTGTCTCGCACTCGATCTTTACCCAATCGACCCCGAACTCGCTCCTAAACCTTCATTCACTTGCCAGGACCTGAAATATCACAAACAAGCACAACCTAGCGTGAAATCGGTCTAAAACACGAGAAACCACCTCTCAAACGGTGTAAGAACAGGGGTGAAAACATGTGTAACTAACGGTCTATCAAACTCCCCCACACTTAACCGTTTGCTTGTCCCCAAGCAAACCTAACTCAAACCAATGCAACTCTCCAGACCTCTATAGCAACAAACAACCCAGATCGTAGGTAGAGGACTTCCTAGATCATTTAGCAACTTACGAGGTCAACCGACGCACAAGTCATCTCATAACTTCTTCGGCGAGTCGGCATCATGGCAAATAGTGAACAGAGGACAAATGAATTGTGGATGAAGAGATTCTCAAATACAACAGATCATGGACTCACATTTTTCAAGGTGCTCTATTTTCTGCTTAAGGATGGTTGGAACCCCTTTTCTTTCTATAATGCTTGTTTTCTGTTATTTTTCTTTTCTTTTTTTCTTTTTCAAGGGTCCCAACCTGCTCTTACCGGCCATGCCAGGAGCGGATGTCTCGAGCCTCGTGCGGGGGAAAGACATGTAAGGGGGCTGGAGGTAGTAGGTGGAAATTGGGAACGAATTCCCGTCTCCCCTTACACACTTTCGCCCTATTCGCACGGGAGACGTTTATTTTGAAGCACATTTTCGAGCACCTATTATTTTCAAAACATGATACAAGAGTCCATGACAGGCAGAGAATCCACAGCACCACACAATTCAAGGGTCCTAAGATCACTAATTCACTCAATCAACCAACTCAATATGAAGAAGAAATGAGACTTCTTAAATGCATCAACATCCTCCATAGTGCTACACTACCTCCCTAGGTTGCATATTACTATAAAGACTGTCAATTTAAAGCATACTGAGCAAGCAATTGCAAGGAAACACGTACTTAGAGCCCTCAAATTTAAAAATTTGGACAGTGGACTAGGCTCCAAGCACACAAACAGATCTAATGCAGTCAAAAGATAAACACCCCCCCCCCCACACTTAAGATCGAAATTGCCCTCAATGGAGAAGAGGGAAGGGATAGGGAAAGATGTTACCGGTATGCACGGACTGCAGGGGACTGGAAACGGGCCAGTCGGGGCAAGCACAGCCAAAGGGGAACAGAAGAGCTCAAACACAGTATGTTAGGTTCAATGGTCAGCCCAATAAAATATCATCCAAACCAAAAGAAAACAAACCAAACCCAAACCGGGTTACAATCCGACTCAAAACACAAGAAAGAAAATCAAACCATGGTGGGGTTGCCTCCCCACAAGCGCTTCTTTACCGTCGTATTAGCTGGACGCCAATTGCGGATACTCAGGGCGGTGCAGGAACAGGTGCCTCCAAGAGCGGATCCACATCGCTCTTGAGGTACAACTTGAGGTTGTGGCCATGCACCCGACGGATGCGACCACCCTCATCAGTCAGCTCGACCTGCCCATCTGGCAAGATGCAGGCGAGTGAGTACCCGGACGGCCAGGGTGGTCGTGGTGCAGGAGGTGGGACCAGCTCATAGTGGTCTCCACTCTTCTTACGTGCAGGCTTAGCAACCTGCTGCTTCGGCCGCCACTCCTCCTTGAGCTTTTTGTTCGGAGGCGAGGCTGGATGGAGTGGCGGCGAAGGAATGATAGGAGGGTCCTGCAAAATAGGAGGTGCAGAAGGGTACACGACAGACTCGTGTACCTGATCAGAAATGGCATTCACAGGCGTGACAGCAATCATAGCACAGTGATCAAACTCAGTCACAGAAAAAGTAGCCTGTTCATCCCCAGCACGCAAGATCAACTTACCATCATGCACATCAATTAGTGCCTTGGCGGTGGCAAGAAATGGCCTACCTAGAATCAACGGCACATCCACATCCTCATGTATATCAAGAATAACAAAATCAACAGGATATGTGAATGCACCAACACCAACAAGCAGATCCTCTATGATTCCCCTAGGATGCACAATAGAACGATCAGCTAATTGAATGCTCATCCTAGTAGGGCTAAGTTCACCTAGGTCTAGCATTTTATACAACTTATATGGCATGACGTTAATGCTAGCGCCTAGGTCCGCCAAGGACTTGCCTACATGCATGCTGCCAATAGTAAGAGGGATAGTAAAACTCCCTGGATCCTTGCGCTTCTCGGGCAGCTTGTTCTGCAGGATAGCAGAACACTCCTCGCTCAGCATCACTGTCGAGAGATCCCCAAGTTTCTTCTTGTTGGTGCAGATATCTTTCATGAACTTGGCATACTTGGGCATCTTCGACAGTGCCTCCATGAACGGTATGCTGATGTTGAGCTGCTTCAACATTGCCATGAACTTGGCAAACTCAGTCTCCAGCTTGTCCTTGTGTAGGCGAGTGGGGAAGGGAAGCTGGGGTACATGCTCCTTAACCACTGGTTGTGGCTTGGGAGCAGGGGCTTCCTTCTCCACCCGCACTTCTGCATCGTCGGCTGGAAGTGCTGAAGCAGGTAGTGGTTCCTCCTGTCTGGCCGGGACAGGATCAGCATATATGACATTACCGCTCCTGGTAAAAATGGCATCCAGCTGCTGATGCTGGTGAGGATCTCGAGGATTAGGAACAGTGGTGGCAGGCAGAGTCCCCGGTGCCCTGGTAGTGTTCTGGCGGGCCAAGATGCCCACCTGGGTCTGCAGATTCTGCAAAATAGCACCCTGGTTCCGCTGACCTGCCTCCAGTGATGTGATAGCAGCCTGGGTGCTTGTCATGAATGAAGCTAGAATGTTTTCCAGCTTCGTCATCCTGTCATCTGGGGTCGGAGCTGCTGCTGGCTCGGCGAACTGGCGCTGGGGCTGCTGGAATGGCTGCCCCTGCCTGGGCTGGTAGGGCTGCTGTGGGTCTGGCCCCTGGCGAGCCTGGAAGGGCTGCCTCTGCTGAAAACCACCTGTTGGTGCTGGGAAACCAGGTGGTTTAGTGGTGTTGCTGCTCCATGCGAAGTTGGGATGCTGGCGCCACCCCTCATTATATGTGCTACTGTATGGATCGAGGCGCCTCGCATTGGCGATGAAGGCCAACTGCTCCTGGGGTGTGGTAGACTCCCTCATAGCCTGGCAGTCCTCCACTAGGTGACTGGAGCTCTCACATCACTGACACTGAGCAACTGGAGGTGTAGCCAAACCTCTGCCCGGAATCAGACTGTTGGGCTGCTTCAATGTCTGCACTAGCTCAGCTACCTGCTGCTCGAGCCCGGATCTGGTCTCCATGGCGTGCACACCACGGTCCCGGGACTGTCTGCCTCGGCTACCCTGTCCCCAAGAATGATCTCTGGCAGCCAAAGTACTGATCATCTGGTTCAGCTCGGGTGGAGTCTTAGTGAGAATATCTCCTCCTGGGCATAGAGACTCAATCACCCTCTGGCTATCTGGAGAAAGGGCACTGTAGAAGTTCCCCACCGTGAATGCATCGCTGAAGCCATGATGGGGGCACTGCCAGAAATAGCCCATATACCGCTCCCAAGCATCACGAAGTGACTCCTCTGGCTCCTGGCGGAAGTGAGTGATCTCCCGCTGAATCTCTGTAGTCTTCGATGCCGGAAAATACCTGTGCACGAATTTGTCCGCCAGATCGTCCCAAGAGGTGATGGACAATGGGGGCTGGGTCTCCAACCACCTCTTAGCATTCCCCGCCAGAGAATGGGGGAAGAGATGAAGGCGGATCGCATCATCCGGGACACCATTCAGCTTGAACCCGTTTGTCAGCTGCAGAAAACGGGAAAGATGCACCCTGGCCTCCTCATTCTTCAAGCCATGGAACTGGATAGAAGATGTAATGAGCTGAATCCAGCATGGCTTGATCTCGAAGTTGTTTGCTGGGATAGGCGGGTAGAGGATGACCGGGCGGATGTCAGCAATCCGCGGAGTGTAGTAGTACTCCAATGTGGGACCCGGCTGCGGTGGATGATGAACTCCATGATCCTGGGGTATGGGGTTGTTCCCCAGGACCTGATTCACCGGGGGAACCTGCTGTGGATTTCCCTGGTGTTGGTTGTAGTCTCCGTCCATCCCGTGCTCTTCTTCAGAATCGCTGCTCAGGTGGCCGTCTATGCGCTCTTCCGTAGCCAGTCTAGCTCGCTGTTGTCTCCTGAGCTGGCGACAGCTGCGGTCAATCTCTGGATTCAACTGCAGTAAACCTCCTGACTGGCTACGGGTCATGCACTACCTGCACACACTCAAGCAAGCAAACCCGTGAAGGCACAAGTGGGAAAAAGCAAACAAAGCAAAAAGAAAAGCTAAATTAACAGAAATCACTTTTCTTCAACAACCTAGCCGTCTCCGGCAACGGCGCCAAAAACTTGACTCGACTCTACTGTCACCCTAGGAATTGGCCAAGTGTAACCACTCCCTAAAGCGTAGTATAGCGGGTTTAGGTTTATATGTCAACCCGGGTCCTAGATTTGCTGACTACTCAGTGAGTTCTTGTTATCTAGCAATAAAACTGGAGTGCAAGTCTAAACTACCAAACAAACAAAGCAAGTAAACTGGTTGTATTCAGGTTAAAGAGGTCACCCGGATATGGTTCCCCCTAGACTGCAGTTAAGCCGGATTGTAATTACCAAGTTCAGTTTCTATGACAGTTATACTGCGGAAGGTTCTTAAACAGCCTGAAGTCTCGACTAAAGGTCTTCAGACCCTCTCAATCTGACTCTCTAGCGGGCGACTAACCTCCACCGGAGTCGACAGATTGAGGCCCTAAGAACAAAACCTCCACTACCGGAGTAAATCCGGTACGGGATAGTGAGTTGGCTCCTCGACTAAAGTCACCAACTCCCTACCTTCAATCAAGGATACTCTATTAACCTAGGCAGATATTCTCATTCTAGGTCAAAGCAGAAACAACAGGAATTTGATCAGGATTCAAGTCATTCAATCATTAAAACCTCAATCGAATATAATCAATCACAGAATCAGTACTTGGGTTCATACAATCAAAGCCTAACATACAAATCTAGGGTTCTCCATACCCAGATGAATGGGAGGACTACTCCATGGAGAAGAAAGCAAAAGCAGAAACAGACACGGAATTCATACTGCGAAGGACGGATTCCGGCTCCTGGACGTTAATCGGCACTTCTACAAGCTCAAACTGGCCTCCAATGGTGTTGAAGATCAATCTAGGGCACTTGGGAACTCTTGCTCGTCACTTTCTCTCTCTAGGAACTGATCTCTCTCTCAAAAACCCGAATCCCCCTGAATTGTGGCTGAAATTCTGCTTAAAAGGAGAAAATCCCGACTCACACGGCCAGGGTGGCACGGCCGTGCAGCTCACCCAGTTGCCCGTGTGAGTCAAAACGCATCGTTTCATTTAGTTCGAATACCAGGCTCTTTGCACGGCCAGAATGGCACGGCCGTGTGGACATCCCCTCTTGCCCGTGTTTGCTCTCGCAGAATATGGCACGGCCAACCCGGCCACTCGCACGGCCGTGTCGATCCTCTGCTCTGCCCGTGCGTGCTCTCGGCAAAACTCGCACGGCCAGGCCATTACTTCACACGGCCGTGTGAACATCAGGGCAGCCCGTGTGACCTCCTTTTTGACTTGTCTCGCACCTGATCTTTACCCAATCGACCCCGAACTCGCTCCTAAACCTTCATTCACTTGCCAGGACCTGAAATATCACAAACAAGCACAACCTAGCGTGAAATCGGTCTAAAACACGAGAAACCACCTCTCAAACGGTGTAAGAACAGGGGTGAAAACATGTGTAACTAACGGTCTATCACTCTCGGTAGCCCTAGTCAAGAACTTCTCAAACAATAAATGATGTTCACTAGAAGCCCTAGCAAATAAGAGTACTACAAGTGTTAACATGACCATTCAAGGTCCATAATAACTTCCTGCATGATCGGGCCTAGTTCTCGCCTTTTTTCTCTTTTGTTTTTTTATATTTTCTAGAACGACTTTTCCAACAGATGAATGTTACAATAAAGAACAAAACTTAACACAAGAACTGAAATTTAACCTTTTTCGCCCTGCGGTTAAGAACACAATATCTTATTCATCTGATTCTCGCACAAGAAAGGAGGATATGTGTGTCACTATGTTGAATCAGAGCTCTGATACCACATGATATAAGCCAAGGCTCTAACTCCTAGACTTAAACAATTAGAAACACAACAAAGATCGATTAAAAGCAAAATGAACACAAAACAGATAATAACTCAAACCTAATCCACACGTCAGGAAGAGGGCCAGGCATACGAAGGAATATTAGGCTAGGGTGATGAGCTAGCAGACAACGTCGGGTTCTTCTTTCTAAATCGATTCCATGATCAAGAAAGAAGAAGAAGAGAAGTTGGTGTTTGAACATCCAATTCTTGGGTTTGTATTTCTGAATAAAATCGTTGATTGCCTTCTAAAAGACTTAGTTCGGGCCCTTAGATAGGCTAAAAAGGTTTTGGGTCAAAAATAACAAGGAAACTCGAGTTTTGGAGTAAAAGTCACATAATCCGCAAAGCAAACAAAAAACAATTCGTCTACAGCCTAGGGAAAAATACCCTATCGTGACTCAAACACTTATCGTCCCATGAACAAGTCAGCCTCAACACCGGGTATTTGCCTAAAACAGCCCCAACACCAATGATCATCCCTTATCATCCCACGAACAAGTCAGCCTCCATTTTGGTGAAGTTCTAGGCCAAATAAGCTTGAAGACACCCCTTGAATGCCTTCTTAAACCTCTAAAACCTTCATCTTCGGACTACGATCATTGTATGTTCTTCGAACTCGATGGACATCTTGTGAGGCGATCCAGGTTGCATCAACATCATTCGCTCTTAACATTAATATGTTGACATATTGGGGTCCCTATAATATTACACAAAATTTACTTACAAATCTCATGATCGTACTCAGAAACAAAATAAAGCGCCAAAATATAGCAGAGAAACACACATGAACCAAATAGTGAGCTAAACAGATGATAACTGATAACTGGCTAACACTCCCAAGCAAAATTCTGAATTGGATCCCGAATTCCGCGGTAAAAAGTACGACACCAATAACACGCTCTATGACTCGTCCATGTGGAATTGATGTGGCAAGCTAGGTTGGTTTAATGAACATAGTCTGAAATCGGTGGCCCATTAAAGTGGCCAACCGGCCTCTCCCAAACTAACGGAGAACTCTCATCATACTGTGAAGAGTGATCGACCAAACAAACCAAAAAAAACTTCCTCAATCTCCCCTGTGTATATTTGTTTCCTCCTATATTTATTCGTGGACGCTTGTCTTCATCGAATAGTGTCACTGACAAGGTAGCAGACGATCCCAATTCCGAGAAGAAGAGGGTCGTTTTTCCCTCTACATCCTTCTCTTAAGTTTGGGTTGTCGTTGTTGCAACAGGGAGGCGCAAAACGAGGATGACGAACCATAGGGAAAGGTGACTCTCTTCTTCTCTGACTTGTGAGCGTCTGCTACCTTGTCGGTGGCACTATCAGATGGTCATAGAGGCTCGCGACGACGGTGAATTCCTTGCCCTCTATCAAATAAGAATAAGTGTGGGAGGAAGCAATGTATACCGCTAAGGATGGAAATTTCGACCTGACCCGATTTACCCGACCTGTTTGGCCTGTATTGGGGCGGGGCTGGTATGGGTACCTCTCATCGAGTCGACCTGTCCCGACCCGACCCATTCTTGACTCATTCCTGCCTAAATTACATGTAATCTTATTCAAATTACTTATGATTTTCCTCTTATTACATCATATTTTAGCTATAATAAAGTTGTAAATAAATAAAAACCTCAATTTCTCCAATAACTTAACTACATTTTATCATATAATGCTTTCTTCTTTGGTCTTTTAATGAAAATAACGAATATTTCTAATATGTTTTGCATTAATTATATACCCATTGGGTCGACCGGCCCTGACCCGCGCCCCATGATAAATTACCCGACCTGGACCCGACCTGCCACGTGGCAGGTATGGGTATTGAGATACCCACCTCAGACCTGTCCCATTGCCATTCCTTTAGACCGCAGAGACAAGATCGATGAAGGGTAAGTCATCGGGAGTAATTTTTGAGAGACCATCGGAGAGGGAGATCGATGAAGTTCTCTTTCGGTTCATTTGATCTAACTCTGTTTTCTTCTCTCCGACTTCTCCTCAAACTCTATTTTCTGTTCTGTCGGACTTCCCCTATTTCGCTGTTTTCTTATTATTCCCTCCATAACCTTTGACCGACACAATTTGGGCCACTTCTCCTCGATCAGATAGGTTGGGCAGGATTTAATAAATCCATTCATGCCACATTAGGTCCATGTGGACCACTCAAAAATAGCATTACCCATTAGGGATGGCAACAAAACCCAAACCCACGGGTATCGTACCCGACCCAACCTGGTCAATGCGGATAAAACCCGCATTGACAGCTTTCGGGCGGGTTTGGGTTTAAACCCGTACATTATTCACCGGGTTGGGTTTGGGTTTAGGGATACCCGACCCATGGATGCTCACACTTATTTCGTCGCCCTACTCTCCCCAAACCCTTCCCTAATTCTAATTTCCTCCAATCTAACTCTCACTACACTTATTTCGTGTGATTTTATTTAGTGTAATTGTGATATGTTTGAATTTTCTAGAATGGTGTTTTATGTATGGATAATTTGTATGGGGAAATTGATGTTTGAATTTTATTTTGATATGAACTTGTTACTGTAAATTTTTTACCACAAAAATCCATGGTAACCTATGAACCCGCGGATACCCAACGAGTTGGGGGATTTTTCCAATAATAGCACGTTTAAAAAAAATTACAAAACTAGCATCCAGCCGAAAAAATTGACATAAATAGCACCCTTTTTAATGGAACGCACCCCTAAGGTGCGTTTTATAAGTAAACTGCACCCTACAGGTACGTTTTACTTATAAACCGCACCTTAGGGGTGCGTTCCATGCCACGTCAGCACGCGAACCGCACTAGGAAGGTGCGGTGTGCCTTCTCTGCAGAACAATCTTCAAGACCGTTGGATGGAGGAGCGATCGGACGGCGGACCGCGCGCCAGCAGAGCGATCCGTGCCATGGATCGATGACCGCATCTGCAAGGCGCGCTCAGCGCCTCGTGACTCGCAAACCGCCTCGGCAAGCAGCAGTTTTGAGTGGGGCAATATTACCCGACCGCCCCTGGGGGTGCGGTCTGATGGGTATAAATACCCCCTCCCCCCTCTCATTTCTTCACACCACAACCATTCTCCACTCTCTCTCTCTCTCTAGAATTATCTCTCTAAACCCTCCCCTCCCAAAAGCCTAGGAATTAGTGGTCTGTTGGTTGCGGCTAAGTCCGATCTGCCATCAGAAAACATTTCTTAGGTTTTTTCCTCAAAACCCGCCGAGCCTAGCCGAATCTCTGTCCGAATTTCCCGAAAAAATGAGCGATTGGTGGCAAGGAGAGGGAGTTTATGTTGATGAATTTCTAGTGGTACGTACTCATTATTCTGGTTTAATTTTTGTTGTTGTTATAAGCTTTTTAATTAATCTATGTACTAACCTCATTGTTATTTTCTCGTAGGTTGGGGAAGACATGGATATATACAACCAACGGTATTATCTCGATCAAGGACCGTTGTATCCAACCGACTTGTACGACCAACCCAACCATCGGTCAAGGGAAGTTATGGATGGCACACATGTGTGTGTGTGTTCACCGCATGGGATATGACCCAGTGGTCGTGTCTCTTGCTGTTGATGGCCCGAATCCTAAAATTGACCCCTCGTGATGATTACGGCATCTGACTATGAGCCTTTTAGTGTTGGAATGAGTTGTGTGCCATTCAAAATGTCGAGTCATTGCTTCAGTCTCAATGACGTGCCGCACCTCCTTCTTCGAGCCAAATTGTTGGCCCTTCATAAACCTAGTGAGTGGACCCCATATTGGGACCTATGGCGGCTCCATGTCGCTGTCGACCATCCAATTGTTTTCTGGAATGTGATTGTAGTAGGGGACTAGTACACGGTCACGAGCCACCTCATCATCATTATCTGAGTCTGACTCTGGTCCTGAATCATCAGCACCTTCAAGAGGGTCGGAGTTGTCTGCACTGACGTTGTTCTCTCCTTCTTCATCGGAGGGGTCACTGACTGGTGCTGGCAGGGCTTCTTCCATCAGATCCAGCTCATGAAAGGCACCTTCATCAGCTCCATAATGGTAGTTGTGAAAACTACCGCTGCCTGATTGAAAGTTGTACTGAGGTTGGTTGGGGAGGTCCGGTTGAACTTCTTCTTCATATGACGGGAAAGATTGATGATGACCTTCACCTTGCTCTTGGTACTGAAAATAGGAATGAGGATCATGGTAACTTTGGTAGGGATGATCGCCATATAATTCACCTCCACCATGGATACCAGATGTTTGACCGTGTCCAGAATGACCTCCAACGCCTACGACCGGCTCGGTGTAAACGAACATCTCGGCTTTGGAAAGATTGTTGGACCTCATGAATTCGAGCATGGCATCTACCTCATTCTGAGTGGTTATGAGATATTCCTCATGCCACAATGACCCACTTTCTCTATTTGGATATCGGTACACCATACGATTAACTCTTCTCGTGCCATCCATGCAAGTAACGTTAGTGCACATTTGATGAGGTCTTCAAGCAGCTGTCTGGTAGCGACCTTTATCTTCTGAAAATTGCCACCGACGTAGGTGACCCCCTTTCCGGTCTCTTCCGTGTAACCATCCCACCGTAAGCCAAGTGTGAACTTTTGGAATGCCATCTGCAAAAAAACCGTAGTTCAGTTAATATCATAAAAATAACAAATAAAAAATAACAATAAAAAGTAATACAAAATAAACTTACGAGTTAACGTCAATCGCAAAACCACTAAAGAAATATAGGGATACAACAGAAAAATGAAAAGGGAGAAAGAAGGAGAGGTGTGAAGAGAAGAGGTTTTCCGGGAAGTTTTTATAGGCAAAATCACTGATGAAAACCGCACCCAGGGTGCGGTTTTTGTCTGCCATGCAGTCCCACGTCTGTTATTCTGCATGGCATGTCGAAAAATAATTGACCAGAACCGCACCTTGGGGGGTGCGGTTTGTGTGGCAAAACCACATCTCTAAGGTGCGATTTTGCTAGGTCAGGCCTAAAACGCACCTCGGCCGCGTGTTTTCTGTAGGGCAGACCTGAAACCACATCTACAAGATGCGGTTTTGGTCCAGGATTATAAACCGCACCATCCAGGTGCGTTTTAGAGGTGCGGTCCATAAAAAAAGGGTGCTATTAGTATAAATTTTTTCGGCTTGGTGCTATTTTTGTAAAAAAAAATTAAAAGGTGCTATTTCTGGAAAAATCCCACGAGTTGGGTTTGGTTTGAGTTTTTCAAACCGAGTAAGTTTTACCCCGAATTTTTTTAACGGATAAACCCATGGATTTGGGTTTGACAATACTCAACCCAACCCCACCCCACCCATTGCCATCCCTATTGCTCATAACACACTTTTGACAATGACACCATAATATTGGCCCTGGTAACTTGAGTCTTGGGCTTAGGCCAGTCATACACACCACTACGATTAAAAATCAAATATCGTGGGTGTGGGCTCATTGGGCTACTTGGGGCCCAACTAACTGCTTTTAAATTGTTGATGCCGACATGAACATTTGTACATGCGTCAGTCGGTTTGAAATTATAAGCGAACAAACCGCCGCCTCTACCTGACCTACTAATTGCCCGAAGCCACACCCAGCCCTCAACGCGTCAGAATTCAATCTGAGAGCGGCGCTTCCGATTCGCCGGCGATGGCCAAGTATCTGGATCCCGATCTCGAATCCGGATCCGAATCCGAATCCGAAGAAGAAGGCTTGAGCGACATCGACGACGATGAGATCGCCGATTGCCTGAACGACAAGAGGCTAGCGGAACTGAAGGCGAAGGCTTGGAACCTGATGCATTGTCAATACACGAACAGAAAGCGAGACCTGGAAACCCTGCCGGCCGATGCCAGGAAGAAGGCCAAGACCGGTCCTTCCGCTGCTACTGCTGCTGCTGCTGCTGCTGCCCGGAAGGAAAATGAGAAGAAGGGGAAACCCACGCCGCCGTTGAGTTCGAAGATCGATTACGAAGCCCTGAAGAAATTTGCGGATGAGGAAGCAGCTGGTGGAGAGGATAAGAATGAAGAAGAGCGCGAGGAAGCGGAGAAGGTGGGATTTGGAGAAGATGGCGAGGATGATGAAGAAGAAGAATGTGGTGAGGACAACTGCGGAGATGGTTATGGTAATGATTATCAAAAAGAAGATGAGCAAGACTACGATGGCGACGGCTATTCCGAGAAAGAAGATGATGACGACTATGAACTCTACTGATCCTCAGTCAGATCCCTAAATTTTGTTCCTTTTTGCCCCCCAACAATTTTGGATGTTTCTGATTCACATTAATGCATTTGGTAATTTATATTGAAGAAGACATGGCCTCATGCATCTCTGATTGTAGCTTCATTTGATCTGAAAGAAGCAGAGCTGAAACATCAAAATGTTGAACAACTACTTAACCCAGAAGACGAATGTTTCGCAACATCGTAACACGAGAAGCAGTACCGATTAAGCATCTCTCAGCATTCGTAATTTCGACAAGTCAGGAATGGGAGCTCTTTCCCCGAGCTGATAATTAGTTACATACATGAGTTCCTGGAGGTTCAGGGTAAGGAGAGAACAACACACAATCGAGAAGGAAGAAGCAATTGCAGATGGACAAAACCACCGAAGCGAGTCTGTAAATTGAATTCAGATGCTGGAAACAATGGCAAAGTGGAGATTGGAATGGGATGTATTGTAAGAGACTGCAATGGTAATGTGATTCCTTGCAGCAAGCAGAACTGTCAAGGTTAAATAACCCGCTGATTTGGCTGAAGGAATATGGCTATGCTGTTTGGTTTACAGAAACTGAAGGAATTGGGCATGAAAAATACACAGGTGGAATCCGACTGTATGAAGCTGATTAATATTTTGGAGGAGGAATGCAGAACTGAGTTAGATAATTTGTGCATGAGCATTTTGGATGTGGGTAATGATGCTAATGTCACTGAATGAAGGTTCACTTTTTTTGGCTCACCTGTTTCTGATTCTGAGGATGGAATTTGGATTGGTTGTCATCCTACTCAGATAGACCTTGTAGCCTACGAGGTGTCTTTTTTATTTCAATAAAATCACACAAGTTTTTCTCAAAATTTTTTTTTGAAAAAGGTACGGTTCAGAGAAAGGATAGTCTGGTCTGTCCCGATGTCGCCGTCCTGCAGTGGCCTTAATAACTCGACATCAAACATGAACAAAACTTGATAAATCCAGAACAAGAATATTTCACATTAATGTCATACAGAAGAGGCAGGCATAAAGCAAGCATTTTCAACGGCGTTGAAAAATGTACAACCCAGAAAAGTGCAGTCGGCCCTGATGTCATGGCCTAGTGGATGACCGACGACCCATAATGTTTTGGAAGCATAAAGTTATGTTCTGTTACCAATGCTCCCACCCTTTATTCAGAGATTCTGAACACACACAGCACAATATTTACAGATGCAATGCAAGTATCCAAATGTATTTTTCGAACTTTCTTCTACTAATGCTGGCAAATTGGCAATCCATTATGGTACAGAGAAGCCAGAGTGGTGTGGGTCTATTATGCTGGAACAGGTTCACCGACTTTCCCATTCTGTGCAGGAGCCAAGCTTTCGTAGTAATCAACCAGAACTTTCCATCCGCCAGGGCACATGAATCCGTCAGGCGGGTTCTCTCCGGTCTTAGCAAGGGTTCGCATCTGCAAATTCAAGTAAGCAAAAGCATAAACAACCCTTGGTTCATGATAAACAATTTGCTATGCAGTCAAAAACATTTGTTGCCTTGCTGACATCTATTTACCTTGGTGCCTGATATGAAGAGGAAGTCCTGAGCACGGGATGGATCGAAGAAAGCCATTTTGCCCTGTGTCTTGTCATATGCAGCAACCTGCAAACACATGTTCAATTCGTTCACAAAGGAAAATTCAGGAATTGTAGGGGTTTGGTATGCAATATTGATTACTGAATGAACCCGGATCCTTTTATTATGTACCTTGAAAGGAAGGATGTTCAGCCTCTCCAGCCCGGGTGCCATACTCAGCACCTTCTTTCCATGGTCAGCATCATATAGATCTCTTTTTTCAACTGGGTGGCTCATTCCAGCTGGATCCCTTCCCACTATGTAAAAGTTGGCTCCTGCATTGATCCGAGCTTTCGCATGCCACTGTACCTCAGTTGGACCAGCATAGTGCATTGGGGATGGGAATATAGAAACCACAGTTGTTTCAGGATCAAGTACGCCATCCTCAAGCACCTAAGGAAATGGTACAACAGAATCATTCAAACTCAAAATTAGCATTGCAATCAAACACTTCCACTGAAAAACAGTAGTGGGAAGGATACAACACCAACCAACCTTTTCGTGTTGCTTCATTCGCCAGCTAAGCGGAACATCATCAGCCTTGGTGTAGCCTCCAAGTGGATGGAGCAGAAGGACTGGGTTCTTGTACCCCATGTCAAGAAGCCTCTTACGAGTATCTGTCATCAGCAAAGCATGGCCATTGTGCACAGGGTTCCTGAGCTGGAATGCAAACACAGCATCTGCATTCCGCCTCTCGAATTCTTCACGAAGCTCGGCAGGTGACAAACGAAACCGATCCAGGCCATCATGGTACTTGATAGGTTCTATAACCTCTAGGTCCCCACCAATCAGCCAGTTCCCAGAACCAGTAATGGTTTGCTCAACATAAGGTAAACCAGGAGCAGTTGTTCCCCATGTTCTTGCTATCCTTTCTTCCTTGGGGTGCTTGTATATTTCAATACTGAAGACAATTAAAATACAAAACGATAATCAATATTAACATTTCTTGTTCGGTGGAGGAGATTCTCTAATCTAACACTGTAAAATGCTAATTCCTAAACCTCCCCACTCAATAGCATATTCGATTGATTGAATGAATCGTTAAGTCAGTTAATTTGAGTTCCAGATACATTCTACACACAATAAGCAAGTCTAATTGACAATGAATTAGGGAACTGGGTAAGCTTAAGTACCCGAAATCAATCGAATTTTTTTAAGAAAAAAAGTGGACAACTTTTGACTTACTCGTTCAAAACCGCGATGGTATTGTCGCTAGAGTCAACGAGGGCGACCCTTTTGGAGTCAGCGATCCGCTGCTTCTGCGAATCGTCGATGGCGAGAACAATCGGCACCGACATGTTGACAACCGATCCATCCTCAAGACGGAGCGAGTTGAAATGAAGTGTTTGGAGGAACTCGGATTCTCTCATGAACCCGCGGAGGGGACTCGCCCATCCTTCGCTCAGCACGTGGACCCACTGAAGGTCGATGCTGGTCAGCTTCACCTTGGGGAGAGCCACCGCCTCCCTCCGCCGGACATCCCTCTGGGTCTTGTCGACGAATAGGTCCACCAGCTTCCCGCCGTCCGGCTCGATCAATCCGGCCCTGACCCGGACGGCCCTACTCCGGGGTTTCGCCAAGAAGGAAACTTTCAGCGGCGGGGCGAAGTGGGTGATGAATGATTTGGGAAGCGCGCGTGCCGGGCAGTGAGTTTGAGCGAAAATCGTTGACATTGAAGCCATTGGAAGGAAAAGCTGAAAGAACCAGGGGTTCTGCAACTTGGAGGAAATTGTTTTCTCTGGTTCTTTGATTCCTCCCCTCTCTCAAACCTAATAGAGGGGAATCGTCGAATTAATAATAAGAGTAGTGGCTGGGTTGGAAGATAGACAGGAGCGCCGAGAGCGACAGAAATTTATAGGGTAAAGATCGGATTTTTATTTGGTGGAGGAGGAATGAACCTGGACGGTTTCACCTTCTCGTTCACTATTTTGGCTCCTTGTCAAAAATTGCTACTTTACTTCTCAATCCCATTTCGCTGTTCTGCTGCCTGCCTCGCGTGTGCAATGAATGAACCGAAATCGTAATTAGAGAGTCGTCGTCTCGTCGAGAGCCAGACGGCGCAAGGCTCTGTTTGAGTTGAAACCCGAAATTGCCCCCACTCCTGCCGTACGAGGTATTTGTTTTGTACTTGTGAGTTGTGAGAACTGAAACAGAGTTTGAGTTTGGTCACGTTTTGAGTTGGGAGGTGGCTGTGGTTTGAGTTTGAACAGGTTTGACATGGTGGGCCCCAAGCAAGAAACAAATCATTACCCGCCCGCCATTGTCGAGGATCTTCGTCTGGTTAGGGCTGGCTTTGAGACTTTGACATGGGCCTAGGATCCAATATTGGTCCAGTCCAACGAAAATCATCGATCAAAGGATGGATGATGATTATGTCAAAAACTCAAAATACTTTACCAACTCCTAAAATCATGACACAGTGAATTGCTACAATGGTGGTAAAGGTAGTAAATGATTATATCAATGTACATTATCATCTCTTGCCATGAAGTTTTATAATGGTATGGGGTGGTATATTGTGGTATGATCAATATAAAAAGTACATTACGATCATCTAACACGTTGAACTATCATGGTGGTATCGTATGGTATGATCATATCATTATACATAGCCACCTCTTCCCATGAAGGCTCAGTGAGTTACTATGGTGGTATGAGCTGGTATAGTGTTGTATGATCATATCATAAAACATTATCACCTTTTACGACTAAGACACAATGAGCTAATATGATGCAATACTTTACCACCTCCTACATTCATGGTGGCACATATATATATTTGGATTGTAGCATGTTGATCAACGATGTTTCATTGGAGATTTTAAAGCTTGAAGATTTCGTTTCAAGAGAGGAGTGAAAGAAGAAAATATATTTAAACTACAGTCTGTTGACGAACGATGCTACGAACAGATTGTAGCCTGTTGATGGACAATTCTACAATTGAATGTTTTGATGTTATCTTCATAGTTCATGAGATTTTGTTTCAAAATTCAAAGTCATTTGACGGAAGGAGTGGAAGTGGAAGATGGAGAGTTTCGAGTTTGATGAGACGGCATTGGCGGAGCTAGGTGAGGGGATGTGGGGTCCATGGACCCCACTTGGAAAATGAATATACATTAAAAATGGTGGATTTTTAAGGTGTGGTTAGTAAATTTAGAACCATGGACCCCCTCTTCCAAAGACAATGATTTTACTATTGAGACAAACTTTGTATTTCATTTTGTTTGGACCCCACTAAATTATATTTTTGGCTACGCCAATGTGAGACGGAGTTGAGGTAACGTGTTGCTAAATTTACATTTATGTCCTTCTGTTTCCTCCGGATCAATATAGAACGATTGCAAATTTGCAACTCATCTAAAATGAATAATTGCTGGATAACTTAACATAAAAGTTATTTACCTCATTCAGACCCGCCAATAATTAGCCATTTGAGATTCAAGAGGGGCTAGTTCCAGGAATCTTCGGACTTTGGATTAAATTTATCCACTACTTTGAAAAAGAAAGCGCATTTGATCTCTTCTTTGTTTGTTTGATCTCTTCTTTGTTTGTATCTGGGCTTCTTTTTCTTTGTTAATTTGAGCACTTTATCTGTTTTAATTATTTTGAAGTGTATAATAGCTGGTTTTGGAGGTAGATTCAGAGGGTCCTAAGAGGGGAATGAAAGGCCAAGTTGTCATTGGACTCTCTCACTCGCCTGATAGGCTGCTTTCTCACTTAGCGGAGGAGTCAAATTTCCACCAAACTCCAATCACTTCAACAAAGACACATCACGTTAATCGTCGTTCTCATTGTTGTGTTTCTCGTTTGGTGTTTTGTGGTTGTGGGCATTAGAGTTTAGAGTAGAGTTGTTAAATTTGATTGGATTGTAATTAATTGATAGATAGGTGGATTTATGATTTGATGGATTGAATTTATGGATCCAAATAACATCCAAATTTTGGATCATTATGTAAATTTTGAAAAGTTAAAGTGTTAAACTGTCATTATAAACAATTTCAGATACCAAAATGAAATTTTTGAATGATAGGAATTTAGGATGGAAGTCGTGGATTCGAACAACTAAACCTAGACCTGAAACATATATTACCCTTATCAAACGCTAAGGGTTCGTTTGCTTCATGGATTTGAATCATGGATTTGATACCCAAATCCAATTCATCATGGATTTAACAAAAATCCATTGTTTGCTTGCACTTTTTTTGGAGACCAAATCCGTGGGGCCCACGGATTTTAAGGGTCCAAACCCGTGGACCCCACGGACTTATAAATCCCACATGTTGATGTGGAATTTGGAACATGACATAAATCATTGATGAGATTTTATCTATATACCCTCATGCACTTTTAATATCCAAGGTTGTCTTCAAATTTAACTATTACACATTATAATTAATCAAGTAATTAACAATAAATGAATAATTTAAACATTCAATTAATGTGCAAACATGAGTTAGATTTTTTATATCATTTCTTGTGTTCTAGTTTTCTTTGACCTTTTCATGGAACGTGTAATTCTTTGTTCTCCCGATTCTAATATATGTTGTTATATGTTACTTTTGAAAAGGAGGACAAAGAATTGGTAATTGATTATGTTACGTTAAAAGTTAAACGGAATTTTCTCCTTTATTATTATTGTCCATGTGGCAACATTATGCTTATTAGTATATATTGTCCTTGTTTTGTGTACATATCATAAACATGTCAAACATATAGAAAAGGATAGTAAGGTAATTTTGAAGTTTTGTCCTTGTTTTGTGTACATATCATAAACATGTCAAACATATATACAAGGATAGTAATGTAATTTTGGACTTCAAGTAGTAAATCTCACACCTTTAAATCCATGATAAAAACATCTCAACAAACAAAGGATTGTTACAAATCCATGATGCCTCAAATCCTTGATAAATTCTTGGGTTTTTAAATTACAAAACCCTCGTTTTTAAATCCATGAAGCAAACTACCCCTAATTGTTTTTAAGGTTTAATAGCATTTTGTACCTCTATTATTGTAAATTAACAAATATACCCCTCTATTAAAATTTTGTACAAACACACCTTATAATATTAAAACGTAACAAATATGCCCTTCTATCCAATTATTCGTTATAATGAGCCACACAATCCAAAGAAAGAAGACAGGGGCTGCGGGATCTTGGATTTGGCGTCGGCTGCTGAAATGTAGAGGGGATATCAAGCAACATATTTCTAGGCAGGGGGCTTCTCTACTTTGGGATGAGGCTCCCATGCCTTGATACTCTGTTAAAGAGTTTGGGAGACTATACGGCCTCGTAGTCCGCTTGTCCCCTGGTATGAATTGATATGGAGTAGGGAGGTGGTTCCAAGACATGGATTCATATTGTGGCTAGATGTGATTAGGAGACTGCGTACTATGGATAAACTTCTAGCTTGGGGGAAGCCTGTTTCGGGCTGTTGTGTGATGTGCCTAGGAGGGATTGAGGATTGCTTTCACCTGTTTTATGCTTGTCCCTTTATGCAGTTTGTGGTTCAAAAATGTAAGCTTACTCTTGCTCCTGTTGCTGGCCTGCAAACGTGGGAGGAAGTGGTGTAGTGTTTTGCAAGCAAATGGAAGGGCAGAACTCTTGAAGCTATTGTCAGTCGTGCTAGTTGGAGTCTTGCTGTAAGCCTCAGATGGAGAGTGTCGAACCGGGTCGCTCAATTAGTACGATATTGTCCGCTTTGGGCCAAGCCCTCACGATTTTACTCTTGGGTGTCCTCCCCAAAAGGCATCGTACTAATGAGCTTGGTGGACACTAATATACAAGGGTTCCTTCCCTTGCGTTACCGATGTGGTACTTGGATTGTCCCATAACAATCCTCCCCTCAAGACAAGGACCACGAACTTCGTGTCCTCACCTCGGCGATTATCTTGATCCGCCAGACACCTTGTATCGATGGGCTTCTCGGTACAAGGACTTTACCAAAAGTAGAACTCTCTTTTTATTTGCTTCTCAAATCAAACGTGGATCTCTCCTGGATGCACCAAACAGACGCGAATCACCTTTGACCCGCCAGACAAACGCAGGGCCACTCAATTAGTACGAGATATTGTCCGCTTTGGGCCAAGCCCTCAGTTTTACTCTTGGATGTCCTCCCCAAAAGGCCTCGTACTAATGAGCTTGGTGGACACTAATATACAAGGGTTCTTTCTCTTGTATTACCGATGTGGTACTTGGATTGTCTCATAATAGAGAAAACGTTGTTTGCGGGTATATCAGCTACTCCTAGCTTCTCACCGCTTTACAAAGCCTGGGATTTTCTTTCTTGCACCATTTGTGAAAATAATGGGATGAAACATCTGTAAATGTAATCGGGTCAGTTTCTTGGCTTGACTTAAAAATATCCACTAATTTGGAAGCCATGTGCTCCAATACTCCTTTCGATGAACTTCAATGCCGGAATGGAAAATCCTGAAACCGTAATTGGTGACATGGGTAAGATCGTAGACATACAACATCGCAAGGGTTTCTGCACTATCGTTCGAACCCCATTCGCGTCCCCGGTACTTTCTGCTCCAGCCGCCGACGATATTGAGGGGGTAGGCCTCGGGCGGAGCATTTATCGGTAGGGGAGACTTCTCGGGAGGCTTCAGGGAGACCGAAGGGTCGTGAGTGGAGGGGCTTAGTTTTTTTTTTTTTTTTTTTATAATTGAGTTGGGACATAAAACAATTTAAATCAAATTAGCCGTAAATGAGGGGCAGTTAGATAAATTCTCAGCTCATTAAACGGTTGTTTAACGGATAATTGGACGGAAAGCTACATTTGTTAATTTACAAATAATAGAGGGTACAAAATACTATTAACTTTCTTTTACTAGCAAATCCAATAACTAAGTGGCATAATTAGTAAATACTCCATTTAATACACATATATGTACCTGTACGTATTTTATTCGTTTTAAATTTTTGTATCCGTATTTTTGTCAAGCCGTTTCATTTCTTTCCGTTCATTTGATAGCTCCCATACTAAACACGTATAAAACCCGTATAACACGTTTAATATCCATATTTAATGAATTAAATTGTTAACTTTACTATTATTTATTTATTTATTTTTAAAATAATTAATTATGATATATTTATTATTATTAACATACTATTAAACGTAAAATTAGCTTAGAGAGTAAAATATCCGTACGTATGTTATACACGTAACTTTCCCGTACCGTATTTTACTAACTATGCTAAGAGGATAATTTTTTTGAGCTACTAATTCATCATCTGCTACTTCCACAACTTCGCAAAACCAATTTATGAGACGAGAGAGTGATTCACAAAACTCTGAAATATGCTCGCCTCCATACCCTTATCGGTCATTGGCACAATCTAAAGATATCTTCCTGTGTCACCTCCAGCTCAATACTCCCAGAAACTGAGATGTTTAGAAATACAGTGAGAAATCCGATTAACACCGCCAATTTACCAGTAATCCAAACAAGAACATGACCCATATCTGAAGTGATGAAACCTACTTCGATCCCTTACCATAACTTCTCTCCCATAGACCCGAGAAATAAGCTTAAGACTCTCATGGGAATCCCCACAAACCCGAAGGTTCTTCATTATTCTCACAGCAGGAGCATCCGAACGACCTTCATCGGCCACCGCCAGAGAGAATGCAATCGCCAGCCTCTCGCTGTGTACGACGGGTCATCTTCTTTATCTTCTTCCTCTCTGTCGAATAACACTTCCCTCGTGTTCGGGTTGTGACCATGTTCTTGCAACCTCATGTTCATCTCCTCCACCATGGCGAACACGTCACTCGAACATGGGTGCGTCCTGTCTCCCGTTATGAACTCGTGCATGGTGCCACCAATCTCCACCAGTGAGCTGCCAGGGAACTTGATGATCCCTGCCTCTTTCATGGCCTCTCTGACCTTCTTTACCTCTTCCCATTTGTTGGTTGATGCGTACATGTTCGATAACAGCGCGTAATTCCCACTCTTCTGTGGCTCGAGCTGCAGCAGCTGTTTGAGTGCCATTTCCCCCAACTGCAAGTCTCCGTGGATTCGAGCCCCTGCCAAGAGAGACCTCCATATCACTGCATTTGGCTTCACCGGCATGTCTTTGACCCTTTCTTCGGCTTCTTTGAGTCGGCCATTGCGAATCAGAAGATCAACTACACATCCATAGTGCTCAACAGTTGGTTCAATCCCATAAACTTGCTTTATGGACTGAAAAATTTTATGCCCTTGCTCTACTAACCCGCTATGTGAACAAGCCGACATCGCGAAGACGAATGTTACATTGTCAGGAGCTAGGCCCTCAAGTTCCATCTTTTCGCAAAGCTCAAGAGCCTGCAACCCATTTCCATGCATGGCAAAGCCTCCAATCATCGCGTTGTAGCACAGGGTATCTCTGTGAGGCAATTGGTCGAACACCTGCCGTGCAAAATCCACCCGCCCACTCTTGGAATACATCTCGATTAGAGCAGTACCCACATAGCGATTCAAATTCAGCCCGCTCTTCAGCACTAGTCGATGCGCCCACGCACCTTGGCCGAGAGCGCCCAAATTAGAACAGGCGCCAATAACAGCCACTAGGGTGACTTCATTGGGCCTAACATTAGCATTCCTCTGCATCTCATGGAATAGATGTAAGGTCTCAATGGAGACATCAGTTTCGTCCCTGTTTTCCGCAGCTCTCCGCGCATAAGCAGCTAGAATAGAGTTCCATGACGCCAAATCAGGCCGACAGATTCGATCAAACAGTCGTCTCGCGGGATCCAGCTTCCCACAATTGGCATAGTAATTCAGCAACGAGGCCTGAACAAATTGATCATAGGGCGGTTCAAGAAATTTGAACACATGGGTATGAAGAGGCAGGCCATGTCGAACCCACGGGCGAAACCCACAGGCTTTGAATAGAGATGGGAAAGTGAAGCTATTGGGCGCGACGGTCGGGTGATGCAGAGCACGATCGTAGAGGGAGAAAGCGAGATGGGTCCGATTTGTGTGATTGGCGAAGCAGGAAATGACGGTGTTGAAGAGGAAAATTGTGGGGTTGGGTATCTGATTAAAGATGCAGAGAGTGTGAGCCGGCGGAGAGGATGACGATGAAACGAACAGAAGGCGGCTGAGAGGGTAAGTGTGAAGAGCGAGGCCGGTGACGAGCAATTGAGCATGGACTTGCCTGAGATTTCCGAAGGTCTTGCATCTTTCCAGTAGCTGGAGAGTAGGGTGGGAGGAGAATATGGCGATGCTTGATGATTTCATGGGCGAGAGGAGAACAGCTCTCCCTCTGCATTGCGGCAAATCGTCGAGCAGGTGGCGAGCGGGAATATGGTTTCCCTATCTCCAAGCTTCTGATTGAAGAAGACTACGAGAAGAGCTGAATGAAGTGATCGGTTTTTAGGTACAAATTCTTAGGCCCACTTCTAAATCCCCTACCGAATCGGGCTCGTGACATGAGAAACTTGAATACCCAAGCCCAAGACAATTACGGTCCAATCCATATATATGAAGTCATATGCCAGTAATGGCAAAAAAAAAAAAAATCTCTTTTTTATCCAAAAAATTTTCAGATTCTTTTATATTATCCAAACCTATCAAAATACTAAATATTAGCCAAATGTTAACTTCCAGTTAGAATTTTTATTAGTAATATTGATTTGAAAACATGATACTGACTTGGAAGAGACCCATGAAGGTCAACATTCCAAAATTTTAGTATTTTAATTTTTAACTAAGAAAATAGTTACAAAATTATTAACGATTGCGTAAAAATGGTTAATATTTTGATACATAATGAAAGATTTGGATAAATAATAGAATTTTAATAGGTTTGTATAATATAAAAGAATCTGAAAAAGATTTGGATAAAAAATAGACATTACCAAAAAAACAAGAAAAAAAGCCCATTTAGCAGCCAGTTCAGTCATCAGTGCAAGGATTATTTTTTTGTAGAAAGAAAGACACCATCAGGCATCAGCTACATATTAGGAATACCTTGATCCATGGAAAATTGGAAAAAATCCCAAAGTGCACATGTTCTTAAAAAAATTCCCAAAATACATAAGTTATAAAAAAATTTCCAAAACTACACATGTTTGGTATTCACCGTTTTAGACAAACGCAGTGAAGGCTATCACCGCGTTTGACAAGAACGGTGAATACTTCACCGTTTAAAAAAAAAAACGGTGAAGTATTCACCGTTTTAGTCTAAAACGGTGAATGTATCACCGTTTTAGGACACGACGGTGAAAACCTTCACCGTTCTAGGTTAAAACGGTGAGTATTAGGCACGTTTTCAACCCCCTGTTAGGTGAAAATTAGGTATCAGCTACCTAATGTTCACCGTTTGAGACAAAGGCGGTGATGGTCTTCACCGTCTTTGACCAAAACGGTGAACATTAGGCAGATTTTAGTATAAATACCAGCCCACCAGCACTTACAGAAACACAACCACTCCCCCCTCTTCAAATTTCAGCAACCAAAACCGAGCATAATATACAACCGGGGAATTTTTGGTATGATTTATTTTCCGTATTATAGGTTAATGAGGGGTTTTTAGTAGTTATAGTATGATTTAGTTTTCGTATTATAGCGTAATGATGTTTTTAGTAGTTATATTGTTATGTTATTATGAATTACTTATCGTAGAAATTGTAGTACTTAATTTTTGAATTTATGCTGTTGTTAGTTAGTTGAGTTTATGTTACGTTAGTTATGAGATGGAGTAATATTAGTCGTTCAATATGGTTTTTAGTAGTTATATTGTTATGTTATTATGAATTACTTACGTAGCAATTGTAGTACTTAATCTTTGAATTTATGTTGTTGTTAGTTAGTTGAATTTATGTTACGTTAGTAATTCTTTCTGATGTGGAAGATCGGATTTATCCGCAACCACGGAGCATACTTAGAACGAGACTAGAGCGGATAAATTGAGGGAGAAAGAAGTGAAATGGTTGTGGTGTGAGTTGTAAGTGGTGGGGGAAGGGTCTATTTATAGGTGGGGGAAGGGATCTGCGGAAGGAAAAAGTGGGGCATTCACCGCGTTAGTTTACAACGGTGAAGTCACCACGTTAAACGAAGACGGTGAATGACGCGCGGATCGAGTGACGTGGCTTAGCGTGAGGCGTCGGATCTGGGAAGAAAACCACGATCTGCGCCTCACCGCATTCAACGGCGACGGTGAACGCGGCAGCGACGCGGATCGCTGACGCAAACAAACACGAGGTATTCACCGTGTTTGTCTCACGCGGTGAATACACCGCGTTTGTCCACGTCGGCGATCCGCTTCGCTTCATCGTGGCCAATCAGAGCGGTTTAATTATCACCCCTTTTGATTAAAACGGTGATTGATTCACCGTTTCAGTCTAAGACGGTGATTGCCTCGCTGGTACTTCACCGTTTTAGATGAAAACGGCGAATACGTCACCGTTTTTTTTAAACGGTGAATTATTCACCGCTTTTGTCAAACACGGTGAATATATTCACTGCGTTTGTCAAAAACGGTGAATGCCAAACATGTGTATTTTGGGAAATTTTTTTATAACTTATGTATTTTGGGAACTTTTTTTAAGAACATGTGCACTTTGGGATTTTTTCCTGGAAAATTGGCAATGCCTATGGAACTACAGGTGAGCCTATGGGCCGCTATAATTATCCAAGAAGACGCTCAAAACAGAAAGGATAAGCAAACACACCTAGTGGACTGCCGAGAGCTACAAGTCCCACGACACATAAACGAGATTCTCTAAAAAGGCAAGGTCAGAGTTTTCATAAAGTTGTACATCCTGTGATAAAAGAGAAAATCCAGATGCATATAACTATTGTTCTTTGTTATTGTCGACTTTATAAATTTGTTATCCAGTCATGTCCTAGAAGCTTATATTGAATAAAAAATGACCTTCTAAGGGTTATTTTTTTCCCCGTTGAATTAGTTACCCTTTTTATTAAGCAAGTGATTGCAAGTAAGCAATCCAAACCGATACAATGAAATGGGTCACCATTGTGGCTCCCCAGAGAAGAAGATGAAAGAAGCAGATGAAAAAAGAGACAAAACCCTCAACCATTTACCACCTACAAATCCCTACTGCTACTGCAGCCTTAACAACCTTAAATCCTGTTTCATTAGCTCCTGTACCTCCGCTGCATCCCGATCCTACTCAGCATGACACCTTCTACACCTCTCCTTCCATATATACATGATCAGAAGACACCACTTGACCCCAGTCGTCGGGGCCCTCTGAACAGCATAACAGACTGCCTGCACAGACTCTGGCCAGGAGGATCTGCACACCAGCTCAACCTGCAAATAACCCTGCACCATCCTCTTAACATACTCGCAAGTAAAGAATAAATGATCCTGCGTTTCACTTCCATTGCCACATAGAACACAACCATCTTCATTCAACTTTCCCCAACGCAAGAGCTTATTCTTAGTAGTGATTCCATCAAGTATAACTAGCCAAACAATAAAACTAAAACGAGGAACACAACTCTGTCCCCAAACCACTTTATACCAGGGTACTTCACTGTACTTAGGACGCAGGGAATTCCAGACCAGCTTGACCGAGTACTTGTCCATAGGTATACCATTCCACAAAGCGCAATCTCCTTGCCTGCTGAGAAGTGATTGAACTTGGGAACATTTCTTCAGAATTCGTCGCCAAGCCCAGGAGCTATTTGTATTCTCCTTCATAGTCTAGATGTCCCCTGTCTTACAGCGATATAGAAGCATCCAGGCAACCCATATAGCCTCTGACTGCATCATTAGAAGCCACAGCAACCGTAAAGAGCATGCACAATTCCAGGAGCTGAGATCTCGAATACCAAGTCCTCCTTCCTTTTTAGGTCGAGCAAGTCGTTCCCAAGCAATCTTAACCCTGCCTGAATCATTTCCATGCCAAAGAAATTCCATACATAACTTATGTACCCGCTTAAGAATCTTCTTAGGTAAAATAAACACCTGGAGCCAATATTGTACCAGACCTGTAATCATTGAGGTAATTAACTGCAACCGACCAGCATAGGTGAGATTTTTAGCTCTCCATGAACGAATCTTTTTAGTGATTGCTGCTGCCAATGCATCACATTCTCTATCTGTCAACTTCCCTGATATGAGTGGCAATCCCAGATATCTCACAGGTAAACACCCCTCAGTGAACCCGATAATTCAAGAGCATTCTGCTTGTATTTGACAGATTCTCCTCCAAAGAAGACTGAGCATTTCGTAGGGTTACATTTCAAACCTGACTGCCAGTAGAACTGATCAAGTGTCTGTTTGACCGCCATTATTGCTCTTGCTGATCCCACTGTGAAAATCACAAATCGTCTGCGAAACAGAGATGATTCAAGGAAATTTTGCTGCAAAGCGGGTGATATGGAATCAATCCTTGCTCTGAGGCCCTACCCAACATACCCGTGCCCTCCATAGCAATTGCAAATAGGTAAGGCGAGAGGGGATCCCCCTGCCTCACTCCCTTTGCCTTAAAGAAACCTTTCATACCTCCATTGACACAGATGCTAAAACGAGCAGTAGAGACACATGTGTAAATCCAATCCAAGTAGAAAGAAGGAAACTCCATCAATCTCATTATTGTAAACAGATAATCCCAATTGACAGAGTCGAAGGCCTTCATTATATCAATTTTGATAGCACATCTGGAAGAAAGTTGCTCTTTATGATACCCACTGACTAGATCCTGAGCAAACATTATATTATCCACTATCTGCCTACCCTTAATAAATGCAGTCTGGTTCAAACTGATTATACTAGGGAGCACTTCACTAAGTCTTTTAGCCAAAAAATTTGCAACTACCTTGTAAAGCACATTTATACACGAAATAGGACGAAATTCTTTAAAGGTCTCAGCATTCAGTACCGTAGGGATCAAGGCAACAGCAATGGCATTTACTCCACTGAGAAGTCGATTTGTCTCAAAGAAAGCAAGGACCCCTTTTGTAATATCCTCCCCACAATGTGCCACGTTCTCTTGAAGAAACCCGAGGAGAACCCATCAGGCCCTGGAGCCTAATGAATATTCATATGGAAGACTGTTTCCCTGATTTCTTCTACTGTTACTTTTTGGCAAAGTAATTCCTTACTCTCCTGAGAGAGCTTTCTTTGAATTATCCCATTTAAGTATTGATGATCCGGCTTAACTTCCGAATTAACCACTCCAAATAGGTTCTGATAAAAAGCAACAGCCGCATCAGCCACTTTATCAACCTCCTCCACCACTTCTCCTGCATTAGTTTTGATTCTCCTAATCGCCCGCTTAGCTGTTCTTATTTTCACAGATTGGTGAAAGTATCTAGTACTATTATATCCTCTATTAAGCCCTTCTTTCCTGGACTTCTGCCAATATAAACCTTCCTCAGCCTTTTTTGCAGCTTCCAATTGAGAGACTAACTCTTTTTTCGCCTGTAAATTCTCAGCACTAGGAGTAGAGAAGCAATCAACCACTATGAGAAGTAGCTGCTTCTTTAACTCCTTTACTTGGGAACTTATATTAGCATAATGCTCTTTATTCAACTTAATCAGAGCCTTCTTGACCTCCTTGAGCTTTGTCTGCACAACAAACCAAGGATTCCCATTACAACTAACTGACCACGCCTCCTCCATAATCTGTAAAAATTCAGGGTGATCACCCCAGAAGTCAAAAAAATTTAAACGGTTTTGGGAGCGTCTTCTCGAAAACTTTGATTTGTACTAAAATGCCACAATGATCCGAGAATGTGCCAGGAATTGCTTCAGTGACACAATTTGGAAACTCAGACAACCATGGAACATTCACTAGAACTCTGTCCAATCTCTTAGCTATAGGGGAAAGTTGCTGATTATTAACCCAGGTAAATAGAGGACCCAAAGTATATATTCACATTTTTACACGTAATTGTATGAGAAGAGAAGGGTGTGTTATCTGAGTATATGAAACGGTGCGTAGAGTACCGAAACTTGTAAACTGCTAATCGTTTTTGTTCATTCTGTTCTAATGATCGATAGGAGAGATAGAGTTTTGTGTTAAGTAGATCAATCCTTGCTTAACTTTCTGCTATTTTTCAAAGAAAAATTGAACAATGGAACTTGAATGTAAACCAAAAAGGATGACAATATGGGCTTATTTAAATCATTCAAATGTAACTTTATACAAATCAGCATGTCACTCTGCTCAGCCATATAGCTAGGATACATTAACTTCTGAACTGTTTTAACACAACAGAACTACTAAACTTGGTCATATATAGGTCAGATTTAAGTGCCAAACACGAAATATACTCAAAATATCTATCAATTTAACTTCAAACTTTATTTCTTTAAATTTGGACTATCCTAGCTCCAAATCAGACTTTTACTTTGTAAAATTGACAAAATGATATTGTTCTTACCCTAATTCTTATGAGTCCGCTCCTAATCAGGGCTAGAATTCCAGTATCAGTATCTGAGCTTTACCACATACTCCACTGAATTTGCCAGTAATTGAATTGGTAAATACTTATGTATAGAGATCGGAGTTGGGATTTATTTTGCATCGTACTGGTATTTAGAATAACAAAATCAGGATCGATATATATTGGAATACTAGGAAGTACCATTCCCCTCATTCAATTAGCCCTCAACTCCTCTCAAGAAAACAAATACTATGACCCTCTTAACCAGTGGCGGAGCCACATGGAGAAGAGGGGTACTTGCACCCCTTTGGGTTTGGAGAAATTTTTTTCGAGTAGGAGTATATACAAATTCGAACCAGTGACCATTTAGTTGCAAGAATAATTTCTTATCATCTCGACCGAGTGAGTTTTGTTATTCAATGCACTTTCGTCTTTATTTATAGTAATAAATTGTTGTCTTTTGTTTAAACTCGCTCATTTCTTTTGTAGCTCTACAACAGAGAAATATCTTGTCTTTCGTTTAAACAAAGCTGAAATTGAAGAAGTACCAATTGAAGTTCACTTGTTTGTTTCACAAAATCAATTCCAAGGTACTTCTAAGTTCTAATTTGTAATATTTGATGCATGAAAATCTTGACTTGTATGTACTGAACTTATTTGTTTGACGTTGTAACCGGTGTATGTGAAACTATTTTAATGTAATTGTATGAATTTAGAGTATTGCGTTGTTGACTTTTTGTTTCAATTAAAGTTGATTTTTCTATTGTATAGGTGATTTTTTTATGATATGATAAAGACACCCCTTGCCCAATTTTCCGGCTCCGCCACTGCTCTTAACCAAAATGTACAATTGATTATGACGTTCTAAGAATTGTTCATTACTATGGACTTATCATTGATGCTCATGACAATAAATATGAGGTGAACGATTTGTTTGGTGTTGTTGATGAATCCATTCTACAGTGAAAATGATATGAAGATCAGAAAGCTAACAAGTGATTTAATCAAAAAGTTATCACAAAATGTCACTTTTGGTTTGTAGTGTCGAATAAAGTTCACTGTAGTGGCCGAACTTTATACACGCTCGACGCTTAAAAACTCGCATCAACACAAAGTCTCTTCAGGCAACGGATATGCACAGTACATAAACATAGGCATGAACTTAAACAAATCAAAAGCACTGTACACAAGAACTACTTCATAACTTCAAGACTGTGTAAAGCATAATAAAAACACAAAGAGGCTTTAACGAGGAAGAATCTAATCTCCATTTCTGCGCACTCCAACACCAAAGATCCACATGCAGGCAAGCAAGCATGCTATTGCTAGCTGCCGAGCTATTCTCTCTTGTATATAAATAGAGATATGAAACTTTGGGGAAAAAAGACTGCAAAAAGGAAAACTGAAGCCATGAGACATGACAAGCCAATTCCTTTTGGCGGGGCAAATAAACTCAGAAAAACCCTAACCCCAAGATTCCTATAATATAGCAAAAGCAGAGCCCTGTCGTGGTCTGTTGTCGCCACCATTTATGCACTGCACCGCCCTAGCTAGCTAGCACTCCAACGTTAAAGCTCTCTGGTCTCTCAAATTATATATATATCTATTGGGTTTCGAACTAAAGCTCTGAATTGTGCTCTCTGAAGCTCACCAACCAATACTGCTACAGGGACGAGGCGAGTAAAGAGAAAGGCGCGGCTTGTTGTTTTACATATAAATTTGATGAGGTGATTATGGAAAGCCGCATGTGTGTGATTAGCGACAAGTTCCAGCCTTTTTCCAGGTGAATTGTTCTTTATGGTTTTGTTAATGTTTAGGGTTGAGATTTGGGGTGATACTGGTGGTGTGTGATTATTGCGTTAATAATTGGAAAGGCGGTTCACCATGTAATAATTACTTTTACTGTTTTACAAGCAGCTAGAAAGAGATTATCATAAGAATAATAGGTGGCTTCTAGGGTGACCTTGTAGAACTGTAGAAATGGGAAAAAGGGGTCCATATTCATGCACCTTGCCCTAAAAGTAAAATTAAAGGGGGAAAAATCATTATGTAGCTAACACATTTGAGAAATACTCCAAATATAAGTATAAGTAAATGATATTTTCCTCAAAATTTCATAAACCAATGGCAATTAAATTTTTTTTGGAGTCACTATATCTCCTTGAAGTACAGTTAATTAAACTGGTTCTCTCCTGATTGTGGACTAACATATATTGTGTTAGTGAACCCACGTAAATCCATGTATCGTGTTCGTTATTACTTTCAGTTTCTTGCTTTGTCAATTCTCTAATTTCCTGATACGTGGAAACAGTCGTGACAACAACAAAATCTCCATCAATGATGGATGATGAGGGAGGGAGAGAGGGAGTGTGGTAGGGCACTGGGAAAGTGGGTGATATATGGGAAAATTATATTGTTTGGTCTTCATTATGGTTCAACTTCAAATCTTTTTAGTGTTACCTACCAACCAGTGCATGGTGATATATAGTGGTCTCCAGCCCCGCTCGACCCAACTTTTTCCAGTGTAATTATTAAAGTTCTGGACTCGACTGCACTTATTTGGATCATCAGAATTGATTGCAATGGTGATTAACCCGAGTAACTAGCTTGCGAAATGATAAAAAGAGAATGTGAGAAAAAGGTAACTAGCAATATCTCAACTAGTGATGGACTCGTGAATTCCTTTTTAGGGTGTCTTCTCATAAAATTCAAAATAAAATATAACATTTAATTTCTCAACATAAATATCATACTCGTGCGAGTTATAACAAAATGATAATATTCTCTAGACGGAGTAGAAAAATAAATCAAGAAAGTAACCAAATTCATTAGTATTTGGATGAAAGATGGAATAAAATAGTATTTCATTAACTTGTTTTATTGTCAATATTTTAATTTTAACAAAAGTGACTTAAACAATCGGAAAAATCAAACCGAATTCCACACCAAGCCAGCATCTAGATATGAGATCATTTCTCATCATGAGAGAAAATAAGGGTGGATTATTTTTTTCAAAAATGGGAGGGGGAAAAGATGATAACCTTCCTACCTTTATTGATCTCCAACAAAAGTATAAAGTTAAAAGAGAAACAACAGATCCTAGTTTCATCCCACAATCGTTTGCATTGGATATGAAAATATAATGCAGTAATTGGACCTAATTATCATATAATGCAGTAATTGGGTTAAAACCCATGTTTGGGAGAGAAAAATGGTATGGAAATTGGACTATGAAAATTGGCTTCAATTACCACATTCATGGTAATTGAGAATACTACACCTCCCCTAGTAATTTGACATTACCACGTTTTCTTATTTCTTTTTCCAAATTCCACACCATCAATTCCCACAAAAGTAAACCCTATCCAAACATGAATTTTTTTTCAATTTCCACAAGTCAATTTCTTGGTTTTGTACAACATGAAAATTCAGACAAATTTCAACATTTTAGAATTTACACATCCAAACGACCCCTTAAGTATTTAGATGTAATATTTGGAACCAAATACTATATCATGTAGTTTTTTTTATGTATGTGATATATTATATAGTATTTAAACCAAATAACATATTAAATATGCAATATTTGGTATGTGTTATTCTCTAAATACAATAAATTTATGTTTAATAAATATTATGATGGGGGCTTTTATTCTCCTCAAGTCCCGGAGCGCGTTAGACATTTCATCTGGTTGGTTCTGCTTCATCGCATCAATACCAACAAAAGACGGTTCGACAGACACATTGCTCCTAATCCGTTCTGTCCAAGCTACGATAACGTGCTGGAGACTGAGCTACACATTCTGAGGGACTTCCCCACTTCCCTCTTCTTCTGGACACGAGAGGTGCCAGCAAATAGCTTGGTAGATTTTCTGTTAGCAGACCTCGATCACTGGGTTCGCACGAACATCCTCAACACAGAGGCGGACAGGAACAGAGTTCCGTGGGCATCAAGCTTCAGCATCGCCCTGTGGACGATTTGGAAGAACATAAATGAGGGCGCTTTCTGTGGTGGTAATAAGTTACTCCCCCCCCCCCCCTTTTCTTTGCGGCATGCTATCCATCTCAAGGTTCATATCTGGCATTCGGCATGGATGGCTCCCTCTCCTTTGTTGCTTCGGGGCAGTCTTAAGCCGAACCGTGTCGTGACCGATATAGGATGGGTGGCGCCACCTAGAGGATGGTGTAAGCTTAACGTTGACGGAGCCTCCCAAGGGAACCTTAGGAAAGCCGCAACAGGAGGAGTCTTCAGAGATGATCAACAACGATGGTTGGGTGGTTTCTGCTATTCCATTGGAGACTGCTCGGCGGCCTGCGCCGAGTTGTGGGCAATCAAGCAAGGGCTCGAGATGGCTTGGAAGAGAGGTCTCAGACTTCTAATTGTTGAGTCTGATTCCCGGCTAGCTATTGATTTGATCAGCATAGAGTGGATCATGTCCACCCTTTGGCCTCTCTTCTGAGATCTATTCGCAGGTTGGTGGCGGAGGACTGGTTGGTCAACATAGTACATACTTACCGTGAAGAGAATAGAGTCGCGGACTGGCTCTCGAAGTACGGTCTCGTCTATCTCCATGGTATGTATGAACTGGTTGACCCGCCGACCCCCTTGAGACCCATTTTGCAGGACGACGAGAGAGGTGTTGTTTTACCTCGGAGTGTTGTCCAAACTCCCCAGATTCACCTGTAACCCCTTTCTTCTTTGTTCTTGGCTTGCGCCTCCAACCAATAATAAAAAAAAAAAACTATCCAATACTTGTCCTACTTTTGCAACTAATTCTCGTTCATATAGTATTGTTAAAACGATGTATAAATCTCCATATGTACACCTAAAGACCTTTCTGCCCATCTCATGTGTCAATTTGCTGTGAAAATATTGGCCAAAATACTGGCAAATAAAATAAGTCATGCACTTCTTTCTGTGATTTAATTAGTCTGCATTTGTTAAAGATAGAAGGATTATTATGGACAACATGTTGATGGCACAAGAGATGGTGATTGGATATAACAAGATCATGTTATCTTCTACCCAAAAAAAAAAAAAAGATGTCGTGAAAGCCTTCGATCTAGTGCAATGACAGTACTTGTTCACTATGACGAGAATAATGAAGTTCTCAGCCATCTATATAAACTAGATTATGACTTGTGTGGGGACAAATAGGTATAATATCAATGTTAATGGGGTTTGTATGGTTTTTTTTTTTTTCTGTTAAACAAGGGGTAAGATAGGGTGATTCCTTGTCGTCTTACCTCTTCCCAATAGCTATGGAAAGGCTTTCTGGATTGTTGAATTATGCTGCTATAAATGGACAATTGTTATAGCAACCAATGTGCGAGAAGGTGCAACTCTCTTAACTTTCTTTTGCAAATGAACTCTTAATTTCTATCGACAGGTCTGCTCAGTCAATAGGGAAAGTTTTTCAAGCTAATTTCTATAGAAGTTCTATAGTCTTTCTAACCTCAAATGCAACCCACATAAATGTGAGATTTACTTTGGAGGTGAGTCTAGAAAATTCAAGAAGATAACTCTTCATCAATCTGGATTCCAAGAGGGAAAGCTCATGTCAGATACTTAGATTTATCATCGATTATTCAGAAATCCTCACAAAAGGAGTGTGATATTTTGATTGACAAACTTACTCGGAGGATAAAATCTTGGCAAGCAAAACAAACTTACATATGCTCGTAGGTTGCAACTAATCTCCTCAATCCTTATGGGCATCATCCAATATTGGTTACATGTTTTCATGCTACCAAAAAAGGTTATCAAGCAAGTGAAAGGTTGTGTTCTGACTTCCTATGGCATGGGACTGAGTCTGGGAAGGCTAATGTTTGCTTAGGAGAAGGTGGTTAAACCTAAAAAGGATGGAGGATTGGGATTGATAGACTTAATTACCTGAAACAAGACATGTGCTACAAGGTAAATATGACTCTTGGGTACTACAAGCTGGTATGGGATCGTTGGCCTCGTTGAAGGCTTACAAATGCAGGAGTGGAGATGTTTGGACAATGAAAATCATGCAAGAAGTTTCTGCCTTTCTAGAGTTGGAAACAAGCTGAAGCAAGTCATTTTTTCCTTCATCCACCACAAAATGAGTGATCGCAAACTTAAATCAAATTCGCATAAAACCTCACTCCTAAGTCCTGTTATTCTCCATGGGTAATTTAAATTATCGTTTTTGCCCATTTCTGAACTATTTTTGTTGGACCGATATGCCCCTCTTGGGTAACCGAGCTTGCTTCTGCTTTCTTTCACTAAAAAAGAGCGGTGGCCGGACGGAGGCAACGCTGGCGGTGACAGTTGTGTAAAAGGGAAAAGAGGATATAAAGTACTTTTGGTTGTTTTTCAAGTGATAAATGATAATTCTTTTTTTATTTTTTTGTAGAAATTTTCTTTTTTTTCTTTGCTGTGATGATAAACGATGCAGATTGCAGACACACACTACTGCGATGGGTGACCAGTGAAATTAAAAAGGAAAAAGAGGATATTGCAAGGACATAAATTTGACATCCTAAAACATTATAATGGCTAAATGACAAGGATTCTCAAGCTTGGCTGCCTCATTCTTTTCGACAAAACAGGTACAAATGGATTGTCGTGTTGAAATTTTATCAGGAAAAAGTTTTTTTAAAAAAAGGGAAGTGCTCTTTTTCTAGGTTTAGGGTTCCCTTGCCCTTCACGACTTGACACTCCCACTGGTTGTACATATTTTAAATTTCAATATCAACATTCACCGGTGATAGTAAACCCTCGAGGAGTCCAAGTCTACACAAAATCATCGAAAATATTTATCGAAGAAGGAAAATATAAAATCTATGTTAGTTGGGACTTGGGAGTGTAGGAAAAAATTGATAGGAACAAAAGACGGTCTAAACAGAAAGGGCAGGATAGGTTTTCTAAATTTTCACTGAACATATATTTCTCTATTCTTCTTAGGTTCTTTTAGCAATGGATAGATCAACAAACGAAGAAGATTGACGGTCAATGGTACTCGACATCAAATATCTTAGTCTTGATAAACTAACAACTAACGTTTTAGTTCAAGAGAAGCATTGTGTTCAATTCATTTACACAAAGAACAACGGTTTTACAAAAGCAGTCTCTAACTTATATTCGAAGACATTAAAGTCTTTTCATGTTATTTGAATGGAACATAATATCATATTGGGTTCCTAATATAAGATTTTCCTATCTATCGTTGATGCCACGATAGAGGTTGAAGAACTTCCTTGGACACAACCTCACAAGTTGACAAGCATACCTTGCATACTTCTAACTTGCTCATGCTCATGAAATATAACAATCTTTGTAAACAATACATCCCTTATTAGTTGAGATGCATGCACGTCGTTTGTGTTAACATGCTTCCAGTCCATGAATCTTGATCTAAATCGTTTTCTAATTATGTGGCAATCAATCACCGTATACTTTATTTGTTCATGCATGCAAGACAAAAAAAAAAAAAAAAAAAATTATTACGCGAATAGCATAGTGATCGTCATAAGAAAGCATATTCACTATTAGGGATGAGCTACGTAAAAGCACTTGAGCAATTCATTAAAGTTGGAGCTATATATTCATCGGAAAGTAAATATATAGATTGTTGTGAGTAGGCCTGCAAATGAGTCGAGTCGAGCCGAGTTTTACCCCAGTTTGAGCTCGGCTCGTTAATAAACAAGTCGAGTTCGAGCTCGACTTGTTTATTAACGAGTTGAGTCGAGTCGAGTTCGAGTTAGGTTGCTTAATATAATCTTAACTCGTATTTGATATATTCATTCTGTATATCATACATGATACATGTGATTAATGTCAAAATAAAATAATAGTAATTATTATAGTTAAGAGTTCAATATTAACTAATCTCATAATATATTTTGGTATCAAATTATTTAGTAATAAATTTTAACTAGTGAAAATTATGTTATTTCACAGTATTGAAGCAATCTATGATACCTACTTGCTTTTTAAAATTAAATAAGACGTTTGTTCACATAATCTACATGTTGAACTTCATATATGGCGAGATATATAATTTAACAATCCTATGAATCATCAAAATCAAACTTATATTGATCGATTCGCTCATAAATCGGTAATCGAGTTAGCTCTCTAGCCACAATGTTGAGAGTTGAGACATCTCATGAGCTCTAAACGAGCCAGCTCACGAGTTGAGCTCACTAGTTGTGAGCTTATATTGTAACGGGAGTGTTACATAACTAATCTTTTGTCGCAAAGAATCCGATAAAAAAAACGAAAAAAGACTAATAACATAATAACCTCATGTATGTTCAAACACTCACATGATCTCCATTCCACATTAAATAGAGATAGTTCACATTGGTCGAGGGCCCTAATTTAGTCAGCAACTTATAACAGGCTTTAGCTAATAATTAAAACCCTTTTCCCCTGGACAATCTTTTCTCCCTGTCCTCTCTTTCTTTCTATCACAGCACAGGGATGGCGACCTCACTCTCTTAGATGGTTTGTGTTTGTGGCCCAAATCGCAATTGGGCCGGGGCCCACACATGAAGAAGAAAACAAAACAAGCCATCCAGAATCAGGATGGGGACGTGGCCTAATATTAGGACGCTGATTCATTCTGATCAGACGGAAGAGAACCTCCCTGTATTTGGTACCCAAACCCACTGGATTTGGGGTTTTTACCTGTTTTGGGGTAAACTGACATTTACCAAAAGCCAAAAATTTCCCTACTTGGCCGGATTACCCTTTCCGTCTTTATTTGGGGTTTCGATTCACTTCACTTCACGAGGAGTAAAAAACGTAAATATAAATGCTTTTATAATTGAAAGGAGCTGACTAGCAAGCGTCCGGGTGAAGGTTGTCAACTCGCGGGTCGATCTACGGGTTGACCCACTTTGACCCTGACCCGGTGAGAAAAACAGGTCGCACGCACCCGATGAGTCGACCGCTACAAGGTACCAGGTTGGAGGTCAAATTGTATTATTTTTTTCTTTGTTTTGCGAAATGCGCCTATTTTTCGATTATTATTTTCGCCTAACTCAATCTTTGGAATCCTAAGTTGAACATTTGAATATTAATGTTATATAAGTGTGTGTGAATTTTCATTATATGTTGAATCTAAGTACGACATGTTATTTTGGTGTAATATTATATGTTATAACTCATATGTTAGATGAAATTTGATATAATTTATCAGGATAAGTACAATATAATGACGCTTTCCATATTTCCGGGTTAAAACGGGTGACCCATTAACCCTTGACCCACTAACTCAACCGGATCTGGGTCAACCCGCTGGTTGACAACCTTGGTCCGGATCAATTAATGTAACTAATTGATGGAGCTAATTGGTGTAGTTTAAGCGAGATTTAGTTGCTGGTTAGATAGGACAATGGTTCAACCGAACCAGTTACATAGATTAAGGGTTTTGTTATTTATCTAGTTTGAGTCAGAGTCTCAGAGATTTAATTTCCAATTTTTAATATTCTCAATTAACGATTGTATATTTGTTCATTGTGAACACAATTTTTCTTCTTCTTTGATTCATCAAAAATTTAATATGGTATTAGTGTTGTGAAACGGTACATTTTATCCTCTTCTGCTTATGGTTCTCGATTCTTCTCCAATTTTAATTTTTGATGACGAGAGTGTTATCGTATGTTCCACCAGCAATTAAAAATAATATAATTACAAAAACAAAAAAAAGTAGTTGTTAACCTCTCCTTCGTTAGGGTTTTGATTCTCGTTCTACTGGGAAAATTTTGTTGTTAGCAGAAATTTTGTTTAATAGTTTCCAATCGGATATAAATTTACTTCATTCAGTGGCGTATTTGCCTAATTTTTTATTGATAAAGAAGAAACATGTAGTGTGACGCCAATACGATTAAGGAAGAAAGTTGTACAAAAAATAATTAGAATGATAAAATCATGGTTGGAAATCCTTTCAAGTTTGAACGTGATTTTGCATTCATATTTCCATTAATTCCAATTTTTTCATCAACTAAGTGCAGAACGTTAAATAATAAATATGACAAAATAACCTGAAATTTGAAGTAATAGAAAACAAAGTAGTATTGTTATGGGAACCACAAGATGTTTATAAGAGCCAAAAGTACTTTAATAATTGTCGTCTTTGGTTTGAAATTAGAGCCAGCAGAAGTCTTTTTACCGTCTCTTTTTGTAACACCTTATTCTTTTTTTTACCTTCTACCCTAAAACCAGGCTTTATGGGGTAAAGATAAATCTCCCCTTCGCCTAAACACTTTTTTGAGCAGCTAACCTGAAGCAGACACCTGTTTTGTTAGCAGCTTTGTCTTTCTTTCTCTCTCGAGTCTCGACCACTCGCTTTCACTAATGCAATGCAAGCAGAGTTAATAAGAGAAAGCACGAAAAAATTCATTTGTGCTCGCTAGGGCTCAGGATTGATTTTACCGACTTACCCGTGGTCATATTTCTTATAAAAAATTTACCATAATGAATAATGTGCATCGTTAAGAAATATTGTGTGAAATGTTATTCGAGATTATATATGACCTACGTGATAATGTTAGGTCATGCATGAGCTAATGGGCTAAAGACGAATTCACATAGTAGAGCAAATAGCAATTATGCAACCAATATACGGATAACTCTCTTCTTTTTTTTTTCAAGAAATGTCAAAAGAGAAAAAACTATACAATCTACCCCAAAACCCTTCCAAACCAATACATCACTAAAGCCACCCTACAAAGTCGAAGGAACCGATCTCGAGAGGAGAAAGTAACAGGGCTTTCTGCGCCATGCTATGGGCAGCCCCGTTAACAGCTCTAGGAACTGCCCTAAACTCTAAGGAAACAGAAACTGAAGACAGGAGCTGGAAGCAATCACGTAGCACCGAACCTCCGAGGGAATCTGAAGAAATGCTCTGGCGAAGCTAACGAATCACCACTTCTGAATCACCTTCGACGATGACACAAGGAAAGGACTTGGAGACCAAGAGAGAGATAGCGTCTCGAGCTACAAGAAGTTCTGCGAGGTAGGGGTAAACAATGCCTGGGTGCTGGAACCCTACTGCCAACTCCACATGCACGTCTGTTCCACGAACCACTAGTCCATACGAGCAACCAGAAGCACGAACCGCAACATCAAAGTTGATCTTCAAATAGCCAACAGGAGGAGGGAACCAGAAGGTGAGGCGGGAGCTTGAGGGCTGAAGGGGAGGGACGGGTACCGGAGGGAGAGAGGGAGAGACTTCGTGGACTTGGAAAAAGCTTTGACGAGCTAGAGACTAGGCATGAGGCCGATAAGGCTCAAATACCACCTTATTTCGAGACTTCCAGATTCTCCACAATACACAAACATATAGGAGAACGTGGGTTTGGGGGGTGCTCAGAAAGCATAACATGTCGCCACCAGAGACTGAAATTCACAGTCGGGGCCGAGGTTTTATTGGCTGCGAGCTCTGTCCCACAAGTTTTAGCGAGCTGAGGCTTATCATTTAAGAGCTCGCTATAAATAGGTTGTTAATATTCTTCTCATCCCAAAACTGGGGAGGCTATTAAAAACCCTACAGGCCACTCAAAAGACACTTCAATGTTCCTTTTGTTCACCATGCTTAGGCTTAGGACGTTATTAATGGAAAATAGGTTACAAGCTCAATAATTGACTTCTTAAACTCCTCTCCCACATTGAATTTGATCCATGACATTATGACATTTTAGTATTCTTTTCATCTAAAACATGAGATGTAAACTGACCATTAATGGTTGTAAAGCACCATAAAGAGATATTTTTTCATCTCAAAATGAGAATTTAAACCGACTATTTAAAGTCGTAAAGCGCCATAAAGAGGTCGCTTTAATGACTCAATTGTATCGTCTCATCGAAAACTTCCTGTCGACGAGGCCAATTGCCAGTAAGGAAGGCCTACTGGTTTTAGCGACAAGGACATGATGCTATCCAGGCTGAGTAGTGGCGGTGAAAAGAAAATACGATTATTAAAACAAAAACTTGACGACAATTATTATAAAATAATTGTCAACCCAATTCCCCATAATTATTGACGCCACTCGTACACTCTCCTAATTAATTTGAAAATTAATAGGATTAATTACTGCAATCTCAAGCCCAAACATGGTCTGATACTTGTCAATGCGAATTAAATTCGCCTTAGACCCTGCCAACGGGACCCATTCCAACGATGGAACTTGGCCGCCAAGCGGTAGTCTTAATCACCAAAAAATGGGGATTTCAAAATCGGTAACGAAGATGGCTAATTAGCGAAATAAATTCGCCTGAGTTCCCACCGACGGGCCGGTGAACAACCACCGTAATTCAGTATTTGGCTGTATTCCTTCACTTGAAGCCAGTGAGGCTGCATGGAGGCTAAACGAAGTGCAGGGAAGAACCGGGGATAAGCCTCTTGTATAACAATCCCACATGAGAAGACATGAAAATGGGAGAGTCCCATCCACAACATCGACTGTTCGTGCCCCTGACCCCGAAAAGGAGAAATCCTCCAAGGTTTCTGACCGACACTCCGACAAAGACCATTTCGATAGTAAAACACATGATTTTGCTATTATACCCTAAAATGAAACTAATTTCACCGGCCTAATTTCGGATTTCAAAAACACAATGTTAGTGTCCAAGACCAACAAGCGCGAACCTCAGGCAGCGATAGAACAACTTATATGTTACAAACCCAGAGACTTTGGCTATAGTGCAAATCCATCTCCCCAACATTTCAGTCGGAGGTAAATAAAGAACAACGCACAATGAAACGCAAGAGGGCAAAACGCCGGCAGCTGCTCTAAACCATCCTTACCTATACAGAACCCACAGCTGATATGGCAACCAAATTGCGGTCCAGTTTGAAAGCGGTATAGATGGTTGATTCAACATGGTGGCAAGAAGCCGCATCGTCGCTCGGATTGGTTCGTTGTTGTCGAGACGCCCTCAGGATCTCGTGTAGCGACGGCACACCAACATTCGTCTGATTTCCGACGTTGTGATGCATTCGGCTTTCAGATTTCCGACGTTCATTCATCGATAGCGAATCACATTAAGAGAAGGGGAGACGAAGAGGGTTAAACCCCTCAATAAAATTTAAATAACAAAGGGTGGAAGAGTATTCTTCAAAGAACTGCTCCCTCTCACCAATATCCAAGATGTAAGCTTTTCAAAGTAGATTGTGTTCAGACAAGGAGCAAGTAGGTCACACTTTGAGTCTCGATAGTGGATACTCACATATTTAGTATTTCTTATCCAAACTTACAACATTAGATTTTGTACTTCATTATGAGCATTACCTAAACTTCAATATACGGATAACTCTCTTCGTACTATAAATTTATTCAATTAACTATGATGGCAAAAGTTGAATCAATTAGTTAGTACAAAGTTATTTTTGATGGGAACAATTGTCATTTTAGAGGTGATCCTTATTGTATGAATCGGGATATAAATAGACTAGGTAGAATTAGATTAGCCGATGTGAGATGGTGAGATCCGTACAATACATGTATAGTACTTGTGTACATAGTAAATGCGTTTAAAACTTTTTCTTACACAAAAATATGTCTAAAAATATTCCTCCATTATTATAAAGTCGTTTCATTTTTCTCTCGTTTGTTTGATGGCTCATGTACTAAAAATGTGCAACACATATAATACACATATTTTAATGAGTTGATTACAAATATATCAATTGGTCATGTGAAATTAATTCGTTATAACTCAATCAATTGATCATATAGGGTACATGTTTAATTAATCTACACAAATGATTGTCTAATGATTAATTTGTCCTCTATCAATTGCTTATCTATAGACCTAATTGATATACATTTATCAATTGTAAGTACAAGCAATCAATCAACCACCTTATATAACTAATTGGAAGATTTATAACTTAGGACTTTGCTACGGTGACATGCATGTCACCGTTATTTTCACTTTTAGGTCAATCTCATATAGGATTAGGTCGACCTAATATGTCGTTTCAGTTTTGTGAGGTTCAACAACGCGGTTGACCTTTTATCGCAAATGTTCGACCTCTTTGGGAAGCAAATAGAACGAAAGGTCGACCCAAATACCTCATAGGCCAACCATTTTGATTAACTAAGGTCGACCGCATAATTACGAGGTCGACCGTGTGCACATCGTATTCGTATTGGATAAGGATTCCAACACCATAAAGGTAACCCTAACTTATCTACCACTTAATTCAACTCATTCTCGTCCTAAATATCTATGAATACGAATATATGTCACATTCACCGCCTCCGAAACTATGAATTAGGTTTTTGTTTACGGTTAGAGCTTTTGTCAAGAAGATCCTTTGCGGTTGCTGGTACGTGATTCAAGAGGTCGACCCCGTGGAAGTTATGAGTCCTTGTTATCATTATTTATCACTGATTCTATTGGTTTGAAACGTAATTTGTACGGGCAAAAGAACCACCCACATCGACATACATAAACAAAAAAGATGTAGGGCATAGGTTGATTTCTTGTATTCGGTCGACCTCGTACCGGATTAGGTCGACCGCGAAACCAACACTTGATCTTCATTTTATGTCAAATGATGATGGATAAATGAATACAACACTTCTCTTCTATCTGGTCAACCTCTTTCTGTAAATGGTCGACCAATTTGTTAATGATTGCCAACAAGTGGTCGACCTATATACCTTTACGGTCGACCATTTTGCTTCTGACGTCAATGAAAAGGGCGACCGATGTTTTATTATGGTCGACCAACAATGACAACTTAAACTAAAAATGGTCGACCACTACATTTTAAAGCTCAACCGTGATAAGTCAGGATGCCCACATTAGTGTATTCGGGAACCTCACAAAACTAAAACGACATATTAGGTTGACCTATCCTATATAAGGTCGACCTAAAAGTGCATATTAGGATTAGGTCGACCTAAAAGTGCAAGTTACGGTGACATGCATGTCACCATAGGCATACCCTATAACTTATTGATGATCATTATATAACCCATTGACAGAAGTATAACCAATTGTTATAACCAATTTTAAAGTATAACTTGCAATGTAAGCTATAATTTCATTAAATGTAATGGAACAAGCACATAAAATCATAAGGAGGATCCTATCAAACCAGCATTTAATTTGGGAGGAATTTTACCATGCTCTAAAGCATTTATGCTTTAGTATTTGTCTTTATGGTACAACCCGAAGTTGTACCTTTAACATTATGGTACAACTTTGGTTGTACCTATAGTCCTATACTCTTTTGTACAACCTGAACTTGTACATTTATGTTATAGTACAACTTGAAGTTTTTTTTATATGGATGGTGGGCTTTATTCATCATACAATAAAAAAATACACAGTTTTGCACCAGCAATTACAGCCCCACTACAGCACTATTATAGGCCTAACTAGAACAACCAGCCATCAAAAAACAAAAACCTAGAGTCAAAGACATCCACTTCAGCAAAACCATGTAAACCTGTCTGCATCTAGCTAGGACCTGCAAACAGATTAAGACATTTTGAACCAAAGTGGTTTACCCTCAGCTGCTACTGCCAATGCAACATCTCCTGCTAGCTTGTACTCCACCTCCTAGGCCATCTTCCGAGCCAGTGCTGCTGGAGACTGGGACTTGTTGCCATATAATCTTCTACAGCGCTCAAGCCATACTTCACTAACCAGCAAACACCAAATGAGACGCCCTGTCGAGCATCTTCCCACCATGCAAACTGCAGCTAAAACTGCATTATGAAGGGACCATACAAGAGGAAACTGCCATGGGCCAAAAACTAACCGCCAAACCTCCCTGACATAAGAACAAGAGAAGAAAAGGTGCTCTCAAGACTCTGCCTCAGAAAGACAGAGAGGGCAACTGTCAATTACATTTGGATTCCATCTCTTAATATTGTCCAGAGTAGTGATTTTGTTCTGCAGAACAAGCCAAGCTAATAAGGAATTTTGAGGTATCAAAGGCCCCTTCCATACCAGTTTGACCCAAGGGATAATGGCCTGCCTTGGTCTAAGAGTCTCCCAGGCTGCTTTAATACTGAACCTGTCCATGATAGAACCATCCCATTTTACACCATCATCAGTTATGACCATATGTGGGCTAATAAGAGCTCTTATCTTGAGAATTTTGTTCCAGGCCCAGGACCCTTTCATTTGAGTTTCCCAGATGCTCAAATTTCTTAGCCTGTATTCCTTCAACCACGTTATCCACAGGGTCTCCTGATCTGCAAGAACCGCCCAGATATGCCTAGCTAAGCATGCTTGATTCCACGACCACAGGTCCCTAAACCCCAAGCCACCTTCTTCTTTAGGTAAAGCTACATGTTTCCAGGCCACTTTTGCCTTCTTACTCTGCTCCAGATTGCCCCACAGGAACTTCGAACACAGGGTTTCCACTTCACGTATGACTTTCTTGGGGAGCTGAATGATGTTCATCCAAAACTGAGTAATGCTGGCTAGAACAGCAACTATTAGCTGGAGTTTGCCTGCATATGTCAACAGCTTTGCTTGCCAACCTCTAATACGACTAGTTATCCTCTCCACCAAAGCTCTACACTCTGCTGCTTTCAGTTTACCTACAGTTAGAGGAATCCCCAGATACCTGACAGGCAGGGCTCCTTCCTTAAATCCAGAACAGCTAGCCAACAAATCCCTTTCCTCTTCAGTCACACCCACACAGGAAAAATTCGCTTTGGAAGGATTGCATCTAAGTCCTGAAACTAGATAGAATTTTTCCAGGATAGTAGCAACAGTCCCCACTGCCTCCCCTGACCCTTTTGTGAAAATCAGCAGATCGTCCGCAAAACAGAGGTGAGTTAGCCCTATTCTGAGGCACTGAGGGTGGTATGGCAACACATTCCTAGCTCCTGCTCTATTGAGCATGCAAGAGAGGACTTCCATACTTATAGCAAACAAATAAGGTGATAAAGGGCAGCCTTGCCTAAGTCCTTTCTTGGCAGGAAAGTTTCCAGTCAGACCCCCATTGATACACATAGAGAAAGTAGTAGATTCAAAGCAACACTGAACTCATTTAACAAACTTCTCAGGTAGCACCATTGCTAGCATGACAGTGACCAGAAAACCCCAATCCACACTATCAAATGCCTTCATGATATCAATTTTTAAGGCACAACGAGATGAGACATTCTTCATTTTGTACCATTTGACCATTTCATGTGCCAGGATTATATTGTCTGTAATCAACCTACCCTTAATAACGCAGTCTGGTTTGGACTAATAAGTTGTGGCAACCAGAACTTATACATTTGACGTTTAAGTTGTACATTAAAGCACCAATGCTTTAAAGCATAGTAGAAGTGCTAGTAATTATGCTAGTAAACTAGGCAGCACATCAATTGTTCAGTTAATTTCTTCAAATACTAGGCTACACATAACTTTTCCTCTTTGTCGTACTACATAATAATTCTGTTTGAACTTTATTTAATTAGGGATGTGTATTGAAGAAGATATAAATGTTAATGGTGTATAAGGAAGAAACATTTTTATATGGCAAACATGATGAGGTTCGACAATATTTTACTCGGGTTGCTAGTGATGATGATAACTTATATGGGAAAGTAGTGTTTAATGAAGATGAAGCTTACAATCTCTTCGAGGACTGGGTTTAGTGTCCGTCGAGGCAACTATAGACATTATGCTACAACAAATAAAACAATTCAACATGAGTTTTTATGTTCAAAACAAGGAAAACTAGCATGAATGATGACTAGTGTGAGGCAAAAAAGGTTAATAGGATGGTAACAAGAACTAGGTGTAAAGCCTTTATTCTGTTCAACATAGAGAATGAGGTATGAAAGGTGATAGATTTTAACCCGACACATAATCACAAACTTGCCTTGCCATAAGAGCAACATCTACTCAAATCATGTCGTAAGGTTTCAGTTGGTAAGGCAAGACTGATTGAGAAGATGAAAGACGCAGGGCTTCACACTAGAGATGCTTTATTCCTACTTATGCAAAGAACACAAAGGAGCTCAAAATGTTGGATTCTTACAAAAAGATTGTTACAATCATGTGCATAGACAAAAGATGGTGAAAATTGAAGCATGGGATGCCAAAGCGTGATGAATTAATCAAGAAGAAGAAAGCATTAATTCAACGAGAAAAAAAAACATTAGACCCAATGTTCTTTTATGTCGTACAGTTGACCAGAAGAATCGTTTGACTAATATCATTTGGCGAGATGGGAGATCCATAATTGATTATGATTTCTTTGGAGATGTTATGATATTTGTCACTACAGATCGCACAAATAAGTATAATCTTATTTGTGCACTATTTGTGGGCGTGAACCATCATTGGCAGTATACAATATTGTGGTTGTGCATTCATAATAGATGAGACTGTCGTAACATTTGGGTGGTTATTCAAGTTTTTTTAAGATTTGATGGGAAATAGATCTCCTGTTACCATCTTCACTTATCAAGATGTTGCTATGGCAAAGGCATACAAGGAGGTGTTTGATGACAACACACATCGTTTGTGCTTATGGCCCATTATCAAGAATGAAAATTTTTATTTTGGTTATATGAATGGAGATTCATCGTTTTCAGCATTGTGGAATAAGTGTTGTACAAGATGTGAGTTAGAGAAAGAATTTGAAGAGACATGGGATAAAATCGATGAAATATATGACAATGCAAGTCATAGCTGGCTTAATGGCCTGTATATGGAAATTCGTAGGAAGTGGAGCACAGTTTATAGTCATGGTTACTTTTCTGTCGGTATCAAATCATCTAAGAGAAGTGAAAGTCCAATAGTCTTTTGTATGGTATAGCAGGGAAAACCACATATCTTACTGATTTCACTGTCCAGTTTGATAACCTAGTTGCAAATTTGCTTTCAAGGGAGCAACAAGAGAATTTTTGCTATAAACAAGGTACTCCACTATTGATGAGTAAACATTATGGTATTTTAGCACATGCTGCAGCCGTGTATACCATTACTATGTACATGGTGTTCCATAAAGAATCTCTTTCTAGCATCGCAACTGCATGGACATAATCAGGTAGTGATGGGTCGACATACACATATGAGGTGAAAGAAAAGGGGTATAATAGAGTTCGGGCAGTGCATTTTCATATGCAGAAGAATGGGGTTTTATGTTACTGTAAGAAGTTTGAGGCAAATGGGATATTTTGTTGTCATGCTTTAAAATTTTTTAATATCAAGAACATTACGAAGCTGCCTGCTAACCATATTTTGAGATGTTGGACCAAAGAGGTAAAAAGAGGAATGATGGTCGATGGAGTATGAGAAAGACCCGGTCTCTATCAAAACTGAAGACATGGTTATGCTATAGGTACCTTAAGGAAACTATAGTTATATTTTGCTAGAAGAAAATAGATGAACATCTTATCCTAACAATTGAGTTAAGGTTAGGTCATATTTTCAATGAATGATATCTTGTTTCTTTGATGTACTTGTTCTAGGAATGGGATTGGATGCAAACTGTATAATAGGTAAGCACTAGGGCAGGACGTTTGGTTATCGGTTGCCGGTTAACTGGCCAGTTAGGCCGATAGCCGGCGGTTACCGGTTAACCGACTAACCAAAAAATGTGTCTGTGTCTGCGGGCGGTGTTCGGTAGCGAGGTTAGCTATGGCGGTTAACCGGCTAACCGACGGTTATCACCATCGCTTAACCGACTAACCGACACATATAACCCCCTCCCCCCATTTCTTAAAACGACGCCGCCCTCCTATTCCCTAAACCTTAATCGAACACCGACCCCTTCGCCCTTCCCTTCTGTTCTCTGCATCGCGAAGCCCTGAGCCCCTCACTCTCCCTGCCGCCAGCCTAGCCCTGAACGGCGAAGAGACTGCGCCTCCGGCCTCCTCCATCAACCATCTCCCTCCCCGACCCTGAAGGGAGACGCCACCGCTCTACGTCAGCCATCCCCTTCGCTCCGTCGCCACGACCTTGCCTCGGCCTCCTCTGCTCGCAGCCAGCAGCCGCCAGCCAGCAGTCCTCCTCTGTGGCATGTGCGACCTCGCCGTCGCGAGCTCCGGCGGCGCCATTCCTTTCCCCTCCATCGACCATCTCCCTCCTCGACTGCCACGACGACGACGAACCAGCCCCTTGCTCCGCCAACGCGAAGTCGCCGCCAACCATCCCCTTCGCTCCGCCGCCGCGACCTCACCTCAGCCTCCTCTGCTCGCAGCTAGCAGTCCTCCTCTGTGGCCTATGCGACCCCGCCGGCGCCATTCCTTTCAGGTGACCAGTGCCCCTCTGCGCAGGCCTGCAGCGCGCCATTAACTTGAAAATCTATAATTGAATTATGTAAGTGTTTACTTTTTAACTTTTTTGAATGATGAATTGACGATGAATTAAACTTGCACATGGTTATAGTTTATGAATTAAACTTGATTGATGATTGATTAATGGACAATGGTATGATTGAATTAGTGTTCTACTTGATTAGATTAGATACTTTCAAATTGGCCGTTATGGCATGAATAGTGTCGAAACAAGAATGTATGATTGAAGAATTAAACATGGTTGGATTCAGAATATGTTAGAATTTCTTTGAATCGGTAATTGAGTTTCAATTTTCCCAATTTGTGTAATTTATTTTGTAGGGCGAGACCTCTGGCTCCTCGTGGTGGACGTGGCGGACGAGGTGTCCCTACTGCTGCAACTACTCCTCGTGATGGGAGACCTCCGGCGGCTTGAGGTCGTGATGGTGCGACTGCTCCTGTTCAGACCCGGGGTCGTGGTGGGCGTACAGGAAGTCGACCTGTTCAAGCTACTAAAGCTAAACTGTCTTCATCAACTCCATCGATTCCCGCCCCTATCGATTGTGGAAGTACACCTGCCGATACACCTGTCGAGACTCCTTCTGTTGACACGGGCGCTCCTGATTCAGAGACAACTACAGGAGACATTTTTTACTGCGATAAATGGTTGAAGACGGTGGGTAAAGCTTCTTGTTGGAAGGTGTTGAAGAAGCTGATAGTTGACAGCTACCCGATGGGAGAGTGCATAGACTATCATACTCTAATCAAAGCTCATCCTCGCAAGAATGGTACCACTGCAATGAATAACCACATGCACTCATGTTTGACTAAGTTGGCAACAACTAAAAATCAGACAGTATTGCAAACGTCAAAAGGTGGTCAAGTAAGTGGTTTATGGAAGTTTGATCAGGGAAAAGCTAGATATGAATTAGCCAGTATGATCATTATGGATGAATTTTCATTTCGCTTTGTAGAGAGGGAAGGATTTAAGCAATTCATGTCTGTTGTTCAACCACTATTTAGGATACCCGGGAGGAAAGCTATAAGAGATGACTGCTTTCATATCTTCTTGGATAAAAAGATGGATTTAATTGATTTTTTTGAATCAAGGAGCCAAGGAAGAGTTTCAATCACTACAGATACATGGACATCTGATAACAACAAGAATTACATGTATGTTACTGCTCACTTTATTGGAGATAATTGGAAGTTGCAGAAGAAGGCGATAGGCTTTGTTCCCATCGCAAGTCGTACTGGAGTTGATATTGCAGAGAAGCTTGCAGGAGTTCTTGAAGAGTGGAAGGTGAAGAATCTGTTGTGCATGACCATGGACAATGCAACTTCAAATGATGTTGTCAGTGAGTTCATGAGAACGAAGCTAAAGGAGTGGGGGAAGTGATTTGATGGATGGGAATTTTTTGCAGTTTTGATGTGTTGCACACATCATTAATTTGGTGGTACAAGATGGACTGAAAGTGGTTGGTGGTGTTGTGGACAGAGTTTGGGATTGTGTGAAGTGGGTGAGGTCTTCACCAACTAGGTTGTTACAGTTCAAGAATGGCATGAAATTTCTGCATGTGGAGTCAACCAAACTGGTGTCTTTGGATGTACCGACCAGGTGGAACTTCACCTATACCATGTTAGAGTCAGCAGAAAGTTTTGATGCAGTGTTTACAACTTTGTATTTAAGTCCACACGATCATTCTCTTAGAGATTATCTTGACTCAAGAGGTGGGCTTTCAACTAATCAAGATTGGCAAGTGATTAGGAAGTTGAAAGACTATCTGAAAGTCTTCAATGACTTGACCCTTCTAGTCTCTAGTAAGTGAAATTTCTGAATTGCATTGTTTTATTTAAAAATTTTAACCATTTGCCCATTTCTATTTGTTTTATTCTAATCTTCTGTGTTATCTTCTCATTGTACATGAACTAAATATGTGACTATCCATATCTTCTTCAAGAAGCTTGTTACGGTATATGACATCATTGAGCAATTGAAGAATGATCTGCATGAAGAGATCCAAAAGATGGCTGAGAAGGTTGAGGAAAAGGTACAAAAGTATTGGTTTGAGTCATGTGTTGTGAACGAGAAGAACATGAAGGTGAACCACTTAATTTATATAGCATGTGTGCTTGATCCAAGAAGTAAACTTGATTTGGTGTCCGAGGTTTTGGCAATGATGTATGGGAATGTGAAGGGAGGAGAAATGGTTAACTGCATTAGGTAGGAAATGCGACAACTGTTTGAGGTTTACAAAGGGAAGTATGGATCAAAAACACCCTCCTCTGCATCTGAGCCTACCACTGGACAAAGGATTAAGCAGCTTGAGGAGAGGCTTAGGAAGAGGAAAAGGGAACACTTTTGCAGGATACAGGAGGTAGCTCTGCTGAGCTTGACATCTATTTAAGATGTCAAACTGATGGCATCAATGAGGAGAGTGATGATGCCAAGTTTGACATCTTGAGTTGGTTGTCTCGACACTCTGGAACATATCTGATTCTTGCTGAGATGGCTAAGGATATCCTAGCTATTCCCAACTCTTCTGTTGCCTCAGAGGCAACCTTCAGCTGTGGTGGTCGGATTCTCGGTCCATTCAAGTCTTCTTTGAGTGATATCATGTTGGAGGCATTGATTTGTGCGGAGGATTGGATAAAGTATCAAACTACCGGGGCCTGAGATAATGACGATAGGGAAGATGATGAAGATATCATGGATTTGGAAAGCGGTAAGTTCTAAAACTCTTTTAATTATTTTTTGTTCAAGTAAACATATACTATTTCTTTCTAACTAATTCAATGTATGATTATTCAATATTCTAACAATTTGTTTTTTTTAACTCAATTAATACCACTTTCTAGTCTAGAATGGAAAGTGCAAGTGATGTTGGCAATGCAGATGCAAATCTGAACATTCCAGATGGGAATGAGCAGGAGGGTGAAGAAAATGTGACGGAGGAAGAGTATGAGAAAGATGGAAATGACGATGTTGGTCATGACCTCTTGCCGCAACTGAAAGAAAAGGGTTATGTAGATGTTGGTTCTTCTTCGGTTGATAAGTGATGATTTGGTGGTGACTTGTAATTTGTGACTTTATGAAGTTTATGACTTTATGTTCTAGTATTTGAGACATTAATTTGGTGATATAAATCTATTTTCTATGCAAAAATGATTGAAACTTGACTTGTGGAGTGATTTAGTTGTAGAAATGTAGGGTTAAACGTTTAATTTTAGGCAATTTTAGCGATCTTGTTTGTATAGGGGGTTGTCCGGTTCGGTTACTCGGTTATAACCGACACAATTCTGTTGTTGCGGTTATCACGATTAACCGAGCAACTAACCGGTAACCGACCGGTCGGTAGTCGGATAACCGATGGAATCCGTCGGGCGGTTGGTGTGCCTGGCTTCACGGTTAACCGGTTACCGAAATTTTGGTTATCAGTTATAACCGAGATAACCGAAAATCCAGCCCTTAGTTAGCACAGTACTAATGGTAGATTAGCGGTCAAGGGTGTTATGGGTATGATTTCACTAGATTCAAGCCCTAAAAAAACTAACGTGTACGGATATATAACAGAGAAATAAAGTCATTCTCTCTCCTCATTCCCCCTTTCATTATTTTCTCAAAATTTCCCCTTTTCTTCTCTGATCTGCTCGGTACTTTCTCTTGCCAAGCAATTCAATTCTCTGGTCGCCGCTTTTGGTGAAATTGTCATCCCCACGACTCCCGCCTTGTCACCGCCGCTCTTGTCATCGTCGTCGTCGTCAACGCAATCTCGAAGCCTTATTTTGCTCCGCCAAGACTCTTACCTACAAAGTCGTTGGTGCAGATCTCTCTCCCCAATCTTCGCCACAACTCATTTTTCCAAGTTCCATCTATCGATCGATCTCTTCCACAAACACCTCATGCAAGATTGGAAAATAGTTGGGCACTTGGGATCAAATGTAGATTCGATCATTTGATACGGAGATGATGACCTGGGAATAGGTCATGTTGTTTGGAGTGAAAATGGTGAAGTAGTGGATTTATGGATGTGGTAACCATTTCACTAGGACTAATTATGGTTTATAGTAGTAGTGTTTGTAATAAATTAGGATATTGTGGACTTGCTTTTTCCTTTGTTGGTTCAATGTCGTAGCAATTTTTTTTATAGTAGCAATTTTGTTGACACTGGCCTCCTGGAATTACAAGGAGTGCAAGAGAAGAGATTATGGAGTTGTTTTTATAAAAGATGTAGTGGTTTTGTAATTGTAGTATAGTGATTTCGTAAAACTAATTTCTTAGATATGATGGTTGTAACAATGGTTCTATAGTAGTGATTTTAGGGATCCTGCATACGTGGATATGATGTATGTAGTAGTGTTTCTTATTATATATTAGTAGTAATTCCTTATTATTGATAATAACCACCTGTATGATATATTGATTCTAATAAATATGATCAAAATCACTACTAATAGGAATCATAAAATTAGAGTACACCAAACTACTACTACAAACCTGGAAAAAATAGGTAGTAATGTTTTTTACGATGTGCAGTGTTTTAGTGTGTGCGAAGAGAGAGAGAGAGACGTGATGGACAGGAGAGAGAAAGAGAGATGTGGAGGGAGAGAGAGACTCTGTTAAGAGAGAATTTGTAACTACACCCTAAAAATCAGCCCACGTAAATAAATAAATAAATAAAAATTATTTTTAAAAAATCATATCTCCTATTACTAATCTACCCTTTCTCTATCTGTAGTCATCTACACACTAATCTATAGACATTCCACGGCAGGATGGGGTTAGACTGGAAAAGGAGGGCCTGTGCGCATTTGAAGGAAGGTTATATGTGTCATTCTACTTCTCTTTTTATTTATTTATTTATGATTTGTGTTCTTCTACTTCACATTTAATTTGCTCTAAGATATTATAATTACGTCAGGTAGCATAATTGCCTGCGTTTTGGGCTTTTTGCATGGTATTTCATCTTTTGATCTTCACATAAATAAATTGGTCTTCACAA